TCGTCAATGACAGATTATACGTTTCATTTCACGATCACTGATTATGTGGTGAGTTATTCACTAGTTCATATGTTTTTTACCAAAGGCGTTGTGACTGACTAATGACTAAATTATTTTGAATTGTGACGCGGCATTTTGTAAATTGGCACATATTTGGTTAAATACCCAGTCACTGGTTTTGAGGTCTACTACTCGGCTGCATTACCTGGATTTATGTATGTTGCAGTGTAAATTGGCAGATTTGAGGTCGATTATGCCAAATACGTTGCAAAGCACAATAATACTACACCATTTTTCGTTTAAGTTCGGGTTATTTCCGGTATATTTCGTCCGACGCACAACTGATTCACGCCATGCGCGTTATGTTCGCCAAGCATTCAATATATTTCGTCCAGACCCTACATGGTTGCAGTATATTTCGACTAATGCCCGGTAAATGTCACCCCACAACCAGTATATTTCCCATGTTGTTGTTCAATATTTTTTCAAATGATGTTCCATCTATTTCGATAAATCGACGCAGTAATCGACGGAACGAAGTAGCCAATGAAATTTTCAAAAAACACCTTTCGATCAATCAAATTGCAGTTGCATCCGGTGCATTGCCAAGCTTAGCCATTTCACAAAGAGTTCAACGTTGTATCGGACAAGAGTCGCAGTGAGTATATTTAGTTCAAGTAAAATGACGCTCGACGATTTCAGGTGGATTTGACATCGTTCGTCGAATCTGCCGAAAATACCAAATTTAGTTCGAAAGCACAATATCAATGATGTAGACAAGTAGACAAGTATCCACCACCTTCGATTTACTTGTTTGCTTCGAAAATCGAAATAACGTTAGATGGAACATCATTTGAAATATATTGACAGAAAATTATACCGCCTGGGGGACATATACCAGACATTAGTCGAAGTATAATGCAACGATGTAGGGTCTCGACGAAATATATCGAATGTTCGGCGAACATAACGCGCATGGCGTGAATCAGTTGTGCGTCGGACGAAATATACCGGAAATACCCTGAACTTAAACGAAAAATGGTGTAGTGCATGTACTGTAGTCAGACTTTCGAGATACTAGTAATATATTGTAACAATAATAATTTAGATAATTTTTTACGCAAATCATCTATTTTGGAATGGCGTATGGATAAGATTATCTATTTTCGATGGCAGTATCTAAAAATAAGCCAACGTTATCGTAAAATCATTCACTACAGTGTAGTATGTAGTTTGTAGTCCCAATCATACATTACCTCGTCATTTGGTCAACAGTTCGTGAACATTCATACATCCCAGCACAATTTCCTTCGTTGCAAAATGCTGCCCAATCAAATCTGTGCTTCATTGTAAGTGGTTAAAATGCATTTCACCGAAAACCTCTCCTACGAATTCCGATCACAATACAGTAATGCTACTATTAATATTGATATTATTAATTACTAGTAATAGTATAGCTACCGTTATGGGGCCAGCATCTTAACGTTGGTCTCGTTGAGGCCTTTAAAGTACTTGACGGTCTTGACCTTGAGTTCCAACGTCGCGTCTTCGTCGCAAACTACCAGTCACGAACGTTAGCACGCATCGTCCGTATCAGGGTATATGTATGTCCTACCAATTGCGGCATTGTTGTGGTTTTGAATTGCCGACACCGTCCACATGTGGTTGACGCCCTCTTCGATGCACTTGTACAACGCATACGCTTTCGAGTGTCCCGTGATGATAATGAGCACTTCGCGTGCGTCCAAGACGGTGCCCACGCCAACGGTAACGGCCATCTTGGGCACGAGATTCAAATCACCGCCAAAGAAACGCGAGTTCGCGACAATCGTGTCGTACGCCTAATTAGACTGAGAGGGGGGTCTAGGTCACTGAGAACCAAACCAAAACATACCAGTGTTTTCACACGTGTGCGAGAGGATAGTGACGAGCCTGGCTCGTTGAACGCAATATGGCCATCAGGGCCAATGCCGCCCAAGAACAGCTCGATTCCCCCGAACGACGCGATTTTCACTTCGTACAATCGGCACTCCTCCTCCAAATCTGACGCATTACCGTCCAAAATATGCACGTTTTCGCGCTTGATGTCAATGTGTTGGAGAAAGTTTGTCCACATGAACGTGTGGTAGCTTTCCGAATGGTCTCTGGGTAAGCCGACGTATTCGTCCATGTTGAACGTGACCACGTTTTGAAAACTCAACCTTCCTTCGCGGTAGTACTGCACGAGTCGCTTGTACGTTTGCAACGGTGAGCTACCAGTGGGGCACCCTATATATATGCGATGTGGTCAATTGCGACTCGGCTGTCATGACCTTACCCAGGACAAACGGTCGATCGGGTGTAGGTTTGAACTTCGTAATGCGCTGCACGACATAGGCTGCAACCCAGTCCGCGACGGCGGCGGCATCTTTTTCAATGATCAAGCGCATCTTGGTCGGAAATTCAAAGTGTTTGTCAATGATCACATGCATACGGATACCTATAGCTATCCGGAAATGTATCTTGGACTGAACTCATAAATTGCATCTGCTAATGAACGACAAGACCGTGAAGGTCGCGAATGTCCGCTTGCTGCGCGGCGGCAAGTTGACCAACACGTTTCTGTGGATCGAAAATGGAAAAGTCGCTGACCCTCAAGCACGCTACTGGCGGAGTCAATCGTCCGCGGAATATGGCCCGCGCGAGGTCGTGGATGGACGAGGACTCATCTTAGCTCCAGGGTTCGTAGACATCCAGCTGAACGGGGCGTACGGACATGACTTTAGCGATGTAAAGTGCACCGAAGCCGACGTGCTTGAAGTGCGTCAAAAGTTACTCGCGACGGGGGTCACATCATTCTGTCCCACCGTGATTTCGTCGGCCCCATCGACGTATGCTCGCGTGTTGTCGAAATTCCGGCGCACGTCCGACGGCCATCTCGTGCGAGGTGCCAACATGGTGGGGCTCCATCTCGAAGGGCCTTTCATCAATCGTCAGCGCAAAGGTGCCCACAAGGAAGAAGTGCTTCTCGACCCCGTGGATGGCCTGGCGTCGTTGGAAGCTGTGTATGGCCCATTGAGTCGTGACACGGTAGCTCTTGTTACATTAGCCCCCGAGCTGAAGGGCGCTTCATTGGCGATTTCCCAGCTGGTGGAGCGTGGTATCGTGGCCTCTGCTGGCCATTCGTCAGCAACCATCCAAGAAGCCGTCGCGGGGGTCGGTGCGGGGATCTCCATGCTCACGTACGTCGGAATATGCTAGTCGTTCAATCTTGCATGTTTGCATCGTAGACACCTCTTCAACGCCATGGCGTCGTTCCACCATCGCGACCCTGGCCTTGTGGGGCTTTTAGGCGCAACAGAGTGCCCTCGACCGTCCTACGGCCTCATCCTAGACGGCATCCATGCCCACGCCACGTCTTGTCGCATTGCGCAGGCCAGCCATCCGGACGGTCTTATCCTTGTCACAGATTGCATGGCGGGTATGGGCCTGCCGGACGGCTCGTACGTGTTGGCGGACCTCCCAGTCGACGTCCAAGGCGGCCGCGCGTACCTGCACAACACCCAGACCATTGCCGGCAGTGTCGTCCAAATGGACACGTGCGTGCGCACGCTGCGCCAGTACACCGACTGCTCCATCGAATACGCCCTGGAAGCGGCGTCATTGCATCCTGCTCGAGCGCTCGGCCTCCGCGCCAAGGGCTCGCTCGAGTTTGGCGCCGACGCGGACTTTGTGCTCTTGACAGACGACCTTCGCGTCGTGCAAACATATATTGCAGGAGTGTTGGTGTACGACCGACTAAACGAGCTAGATCTTCGCGTGCCCTCGCAGAATAATTCCCTCGACGCCGCGGTACTTCAACCATGGCGCCTCACTGCGTTCGACTTGGACGATGTCCGAGCGTTGGACAAAGCAGCGTCGGTGGGAGACCTCGCCTTGGTCAAGCAATTGCAAGCACATGCCAACATGCATTGCACCACGGATGCCATGGACGACGCCGCGGGCAATGGACACCTCGAGGTTGTGAAATTCCTTCATCAGCATCGATCGGAGGGATGCACTACCCGAGCTATGGACTATGCTGCCGCCCGCGGCCATGTAGATGTCCTTCAGTTCCTCCACGAGTACCGCTCGGAAGGATGCACTGCCTATGCGATGACGACTGCTAAGGCGAACGGGCACGGTGCTGTAGTGCGCTACTTGCAAGAACATCAGCATAGCGTGTGCTTGAACGACGTGAGGCTAACGGGCGACCGAGGTTAGGCCTGAGATTACACATCTTTGAATATAATTGAAAATGCATTGGTATATGTACGTACTGTAGTAATCCAAGTTCGTCCATTGTTGTGCGATTGTCGACGACGTTGGTTTATCCGGATTCGTGATATTCCCTTGCAAAATACAACAACTATTTACGAGACCAATATACTTAAACTATTAATACCACTATATATTTTGATTAGTATGGAAAGGAAAGCTAATAGTCCGGACAGTGTGAGTGTTGGTGTTCGAGGATATTATTCTGGTTTCAACCTCACTTTCAATTTTGCGCCGCCAAACGAGGAAAGTACAACAGCAGCATGGCCCGCACAAAGCAAACGGCGCGCAAGTCCACTGGCGGGAAGGCGCCGACAAGACAACAGCAGCAACAACGGGACTATGCGGTCGACAGATGCGTCCGCGGCACTATCGAGCTTGAAGGGGCGCCGAACGGCTCGAACGTCCTTTTGGAGGAGTCGCTTTTGCTAGCCGAAGATCGCGAGAAAGTGCTTGCATCCCTGTCTCCCGGATCGTCCGAGTTTCATTACTTCCGTTCGATACAATTGCTGCATGAACTGAACGTGGATGATGCGCCTGATGCCGACGACAAGATTGAAGAAATCCTGAATCACGTCAAGTCTCTTGAACAGGATGGAGGATGGCAGCGCGCGAGACGTCTACGTTTGCGGCTGAATATCGTACTACTGGAACATGGTCGCGAAAGCGCTCGCGAGTTTTTTGTAGACACGCTGGGTTTGGAATTGAACACCGTTCGTCCTCCCGAGGCAACATCGGCCGACGTGGGCTCGAGCCAACAAGTCAGACCCAGTACATTGAGGTACGTACACTAACTTTTACATCGTCTAGCGGAACCACATTGTCATATTGTACTGTAACACTACATGTAGCTATGACATTGAAGCCCTCAAGCAAGAAAAGATTGCAAAGGTGAAAAAGTGCCTGTACCTTCAAGACGACAAGTGGATGGTGCCGTACAAGGCCGAATCCTTCCTTCGCCAACTCAGTCCATTTGTCCTGCAAGCCCTCTTTGAAAGTTTAAACTCGCCATCGGGCCTGCCAGATTGGACTCCACCGCAGAAGAAGCTGGTTCTTCAGTTTATCCTGCAGCAAAAGTTGCTTCTATGGACCGACTTTGACTCGTACGTCCATGTTACATGCGTGGCATCTCCTAAGTTGAATGGTATGGTAGGTTTGTGGACGCAGTGGCCAAAGACATTTTGGACATTTATGAGAATGCAACGGGCGACAACAACAAGGTCCAAGTGTTTGGCGGGTTGGCCCACCACAACGACCTGAATCTGACTCAACTGGACGTGCTGTGGGATCGGTGCTCCACTGCACTACATGACAACACACCGTTTGCTCTGCGATATGTCCAGCTTTTGCAAGCCACGAAGGACAACGAAAGGCAGTTCTTGTCCACGGCTGTGACGTGGTTGAAGCAATTGGGGCCTCAAGTGAATGGCGTTCGAGTCGTGCTGCTGCATCGATGGCTCCAGCTCATTTATCATGACAAGAACGAGCCAACTTTGGGCAGTTTGTTCTTGCAGTACGTTGAGATTCCTCGCGAAGAGTGCCGCATTGCAAACGAAGACATGGTCCGCAACGCCGACTACGACAGTGTTGTGCGGTTTGTCAACACGACGAGCTCGGCATTTGGACGACCACAGGCGGAGACAGCTAGCAAACCCCTCGTGTCGACCCTTGCAACGGCGCTGGGATACAGTGTCGACTTATCGTCGGACGAGGTACCATCGCTATAGCAACCTCTCCCTTACCGATCTCACGAATACATCAATTCCCTGGCTAGGACTTGATCAAGACGGTCTTCGCCCTCCTTGTCCAACGAGGCTCGACGATCCAAGATTTTGCGCCATACTTGAGTCTAAAGTTCTTGAAGGCTCAGTACGCCACCGCCATGCTAACGTGTGGGCGGGGGAGTCGCGGCGAGTACGAGCGCGACATTGTCGACCCGTGCGACGTCCACAAGCTGTTTCAAGGGTCTGAAGTGTCATTTTGCAAGTCCAACCCGTCGTCGTTTGCCCCAGACGACCCCGTGTCGTTGGTGCTCAATGTGAAAAACATCCAAGCATTGACGATTCAGCTGTTTGAGATCAACGTGAGCGACCACTACCTCAAGACGTTTCGTGCAATTCCAAGTGACATTTCGTTGGACGGGTTGCTACCGAACGACCAAGTGCGCGTTCGCTTTGACCACGTGCCCAGCCACGTTCGTGTGCAACACCGTGTTGAGTTTCCATCCATGCAATTGTCTTGCCGGGGGGTATTTGTGGTGGAAGTGGTCGGGCAAGACATAGCGTGTCGCGCCGTGGTGCGGAAGGGGGGGCTTCATTTCACGCAGGAAATCACATCCCACGGCCATGAACTGACCGTGTTTGACGAAGCCAGCAACGTGGTGTTGGGCTGTGTGGCTGTGGTGCCCGACGTTCAAGACAAGGCGAAGAAGCATCATTCGTTTTCAGCATCCGAGGACGGACGTATTATCGTGCCATTTTACACGGCGGTGGATGAGCACGGACTGGAACCAGTTAAAAGAGCTAGCCCCATTTACATTGGCCACGGATCGTACGGAACGCTTGGCACGTTTACATATTGCGAAGAAAGTTACAAGCTCAAGGCAAACATCTACATTGACAGCGAGCAGTTGGTGCCAGGTACCTACCTACCTACGCCTCCCTTTGGTTTCTGTTGCTGAACGTGTTTGATTAGGAACCAAGGCCACCGTTCTCATTCGCAGCAAACTGTACGTCCACGGGTGCCCAACGTCGACGTCGCTCGTTCGAAACGTGGTGTTGTCGGTGGCGTTTGTCAGCCAAACCAACATCGAGACGAAAAAAGAAATTCGCCAGTTGCCACTCATGGACGACGCCAACGAGCTGGTGACGACGATCGACATCCCCCACGAAGCCGTGTCGTTCAAGGTCACGCTCAAAGGGGACGTCGCGAGCAAGGACCATGGGGATACCGCCGCCGCCACCACTTCGTCGTCATTGTCCACGGCGCGAGTGACGCGGCTTTGTCAAGTGTCAGACTCGAAGCACTTTGACATCCCGCACCCGACTCGAGACGACGTGCTCTTTAACCCGCACCTCAAGAAGGTTCCAAATGGCAACGGGGACGAAGACTACGTCGTGCTCATGTTGGGCCACAACGGCGAAGGCGTGCCGAATGTGGAGGCCACCATCGAGCTCCGGCACTTGGCGCTCGAGTCGCCCATCAGTTGCGACGTGGTGTCAAACCACCGAGGCGAAGTATTCTTGGGTCCATTGACCCATGTTGTATCCATCGATATGGACGTCAACGGACGACGATACGCGTGGAACCTGCCCAACTGGGCGCTGCCTTCGTGGTCGGTGGCTGGTCGTCAAAGCCATGTGACTCAGTGCGCTATGTCGACGAAGGACGTGCTCATCCCCGTCCCTCATGTTGTTGGCAAGGACTTGCAGCAGTGGATTGAAAGCGGTGCGATCTCAGTGTTGAAAATCTACACGGTCCAGTCCCGCACGATCCGACAACGGGCTGACCGTCCCTCGTTCGTGTGTGTGGGGCCAGGATCGAGTTTGCTGTTCAAGCCATCGAGTGTGGGCGAGTTTGAAGTAGTGGTAAAGCCTATCAATGCAACGTACCGCATCCACGTGGGCGAGTCGCAAGTCGCGGGGTTTGTCAAGGCCGCCCCCAGCACACTACTCAAAGCCGACCCGACCGCGCCAGTGGTGGTGCGGAACCTGCACATTGTCGACCACCAGCTCAAGATATTTGGGGTCAACACGACGCCAAACACGCGGGCCCAAGTGATTTTGAGACGGTTTGTCAGCCATGAACCCGTGACCAACGTGCTGAACGAGGGCATGCACGACGAAAACGCGGACCTTCGCCGCTTCGATGTGGACACCCCCACGTGCGAGTACTTTGAGAGCAAGCGCATTGGCGACGAGTACGCGTACATCTTGGAACGTCGGGCCTTTGCAGTCCAGCACCCATCGTCCAAGTTGCATCAAGGCAATCGGTTGACGTTGCCGTCACTCCTTCTCAATCCATTCAAGGTCAAGGAAACGTCTGGATCGACCTTGGCAGACGCGAAACAAGGTGAAGAGTACGGAAAGAGTCGGGGCGATGACAGCTCCATGCCGAAAAAGTCCAAACGGATGGGCGACCGTCAAAGAAGTTCGACTCGCGGGGGGCACTCCACATCGTCCCCCGTGCCACCCAACACGCTCTTCTTGGAAGCGCCATCGTGTATCATGTCAAACATTCGACTGAATTCGCTTGGCGAAGTCACCGTGGCGTTGCCGTCGACGCTGACAGGCTCGTACGACGTGGTGGTGTCGCTTGTGGACGGCCAAGACGTCGACTCTCGACAGCAAAGCGTTGTGTTCCACCCACGTGCTGGCGCACCGGCATGGGCCATGCCCTTGAAAAGCACCGCCCTCTCCCGCGACGCAGCGTTGGGTGTGGACAAGGACGTCCATTCGATTCAAGTGCGCGGCCATCGCTGCATTGCATCGAGCGACGCAACCACGCTACCTTGTGGTCCGGACAGCAAACTCGAGGTGTACGACTGCTTGGAGCACGCGTTTGGGCTGCTGGACGCGCTGACGGGCCACGATGTACTGTACAACGAATACTTGAAACGGTGGCCATCCCTTGACCTCCCCACCAAGCAAGCCATCTACAGCCAAGACGTGTCCAACGAACTGAACCTGTTCTTGTACAAAAAAGACACGGACTTTTTCAACGCAGTCGTGGTGCCCCATGTCCGCTCCAAGTTTGTCAAGGACTTTGTGGACTGGTACTTGCTCGATGCGAAAAACGTGCTGCTGCACTCATACTTTTCAAACGCTGCAACGTTCGACAAGCTCACGTTGGTGGAGAAATTGCTGTTGGCCGAACGACTGCCAAAAGAGGACGCTGCGACCGTGTGCCGCCATGTGGTTCGAATCATCGAAACGTATTACGGGGAATCCACGGGTACCAAGTTGGACGCTGTGTTCGAACACGTCATGACGGCCAAGAGCACCGAGCAATCTGACCTCGTACAATACCGCCAACACGACGACTCGACTACTCCAGCCTACTCCCCCACAAGTCCAGCCTACTCCCCTACAAGTCCAGCCTACTCCCCCACAAGTTCTGCACCCGTCCCTACTTTGAACAGAAGGATGGTTGCATTCCGTATGGCTCCACAGCGTGCATCAATGGAGGCGACTGTTAACCGCGACCGAGTGCTTCAATCAGCAACCATTGGAGGAGGCGCAACGTTTGGTGCGATGCGGGCGTTTGCGGCACCCCCTCCAGCGCCGTACGCAAGGGACAACGACGACGAAGACTCGGACTCTGGTTCTGACGACGACGACAGCTGGGAAAATATAAGCCACGATGGGGATGACGGGGATATTGACGAACGAGCCACAACCGAACCAACGACAAAGAAGCAACGCAAAGTGTATGTAGCCCCCGGGGCAACGTACTTGGTGGGCGAGCGCCGATATCACGATGGAAAGGACGAACCGCAACAGCCAGGAGGGGGGCTCGTGGCCACATTGACGGCCGTCCAACAAAAGACGTGGGTAGGGTCTGCGATCAATCGATTCTGGCTGGATTATGCCCGGTATCTGTTGTCGCCATCGTCCGACGTGTTTTTGTCGGCGTCGTTCCCGGAAGCGTGTTCATCATTTGCTGAAGCGACGTTGGCCCTGTCCGTGCTGGGGTTGCCGTTTGTCGGAGGGGCGTGGGAAGTCCAACCCATCACGGCACGAGACCACACGTCGTTGGCTATCCGCACGTCGAAGCCCGTGATAGTGTACTACGAAGACATTCGGGCTCAGCAGCCGTCACCGCAAGAGTTGACCGACGAAGTTGCCATGGTCGGGTCCAATTTAATTGTCACGCAAACCATCTTTAACCCGCGCGACTCGAACTTGAACCAAGGACAGCTCAAGCCTGTCAAGGAGTTTGTCCGATCCACACGGTACGGGTGCCAAGTGACTGTGAGCAACTTGAGTCCCCAGGCGACGCCGTCGCTGAATTTGCTCGTCCAGATCCCCGAAGGCGCGATTCCCGTGAGCACGGGGGGCTATTACACGCGAAACTCGACGTTTGTGCTGGCCGGCAACGAGACGGACACGACAGTCGTGTACTTTTACTTTCCAGTGGAGGGCTCGTTCAGTCACTTTGCCGCCCACGTGGCCATTCACGGCCAAACGGTGCGGTGGGCGGACGAATCGCCCATGACCACCCCCAGCACCATTTCCGTCGTGGCCGAGTCCAAGACAGTCGACATCACGTCGTGGAAAGATGTGTCGTCGCGCGGCAGCTTGGACACGCTCGTGACGTTCTTAAAGACCCATCGAAAGCTGGAAACCATTGATTGGGAGGCGATGGCGTGGCGACTCAAAGACCGAGCCACGTACGACGTGCTGCTGCACTTTCTACGCGAGCATTTCGTCTACACGGACGTGGTGTGGCAGTTCTCGTTCTTCTTCAATGACCAAGTGGCCATGGCCGACCTGCTGCAGCGCCGGCTGTCTGCGTACGAAGTCGGCCCGGGTCTGTCGTTGCCCAAGTTGCTACCGTTGGCGGTGTTCAATAGCACGGACAGCCGGTTGGTTGCCGACGTCGGGTTGGAACATGCCGAGTACATCCCGCTGATCTTTCGCCGGACGCATGGGGGGGTGAAGGACACCGACGTGATCCCCAACAAGGACGTTCGGGACGCGTATCGCGTGCTGTGTCATACGCTGTGTCTCTTGCCAAAGCTGGACGACGACCATTACCTGGTGTTGGTGTACTACATGGTGCTGTTGAACCGCATCGACTCTGCGTTGGAACTTTTCGGCCGAGTCAGCGCCTCTGCGGCCACCACCATTCAACTGCAGTACGACTACATGAATGGTTTCTTGGACTTTTTCAGAGACGACCCGACGTTTCCAATTGCGCGAGCGGTAGCCTCCAAGTACGCCACTGCGCCGTACGTGGCCCACCATCGTTGGGGGGCGTTGTTTCAACGACTTCAAGACCAGTTGCACGAACTCGATTCGTTGGCACATCATCACTCCGCATCAATTTTGTTGCCTGAACAAGACGTGTCGCTCGAACTGACCATGAGCGAGGGGTCGTTTGTGGTGACGCAACGAGGCTCCCGAGTCGACAAGTGCATTGTCAAGTACTACCCCGTGGATGTGGAAGTGATGTTTTCGCGGGAGCCGTTTTCAGGCCAAGATGCCAAAGTGTCGTCTTGCATTTCTCTCATCCAGCCACGGGCAACGGCCGAGATTTCCGTATCCGCCGGGGGGACGACGACGGTGGCTGTCCCACCGGCGCTCCACGCGACGCAGATGCTCGTGGTTGTGTCCCCCGTGGGGTACCCAGAGATGGAAATGTTGAAACCTCACTTTTGCGACTCAATGGACGTTCACTTTGCACTGGATGAAGGCCTTGTCCAAGTGTTTGCCCACCGGCGACCCCTCGGCAAAGCCTACGTCAAAGTGTTTGTCCAAACCAAATCGTCCAAACTGGCCAAGTTTTACAAGGACGGGTACACGGACATTTGCGGGCGGTTCGACTACATGGGCATCAACGACACCGCGCTGCTGTTGGACGTGGCCAAAGTCGCTCTGTTGATTCTGCACCCCCGCCATGGCGCCGTCATTCGACAAGTGTCCCCCCCGACGACGATTTCCCTCGAAGGGGACCACCGACCTGTCCAACGCGACTGGACTACGTACTAGGACAGAAACGGAAACCGCACATTATCTATCTACCTCCGTGGTTGGCAGAGTGGTGGGTTGCTGTTGCGCTCTAAATAAACATGCCTATGTTCTTGTGTTACGAAGGGTATAATAGTGGAGTTTATGATAGTCGTCGCTCTTGTCATCGTGAATACAACTTGACTGCACTTTCAAGAAATCACGATCTAGCTCAACATGGGCAACTAACTATAAGTGCCTCAAATCACTTTCTCTTGAGCAGATCGCACCTCTTGGTAGGACCAATCAAGTTCGAGTATCAACGCGATGCCGTCACCCTTTCGGCCAACCACATGGCAGTCGCCGCTGTTGGTTCAACCGGCACCGCCCTTGGAGCCTTTGCTCCTTCGGCTGGGGCCGTTGGAGCTCCTTTCGGCCGGACGGTGGCTACCCATCACGTTGGTGTATACGTCTACGATGCATGACACCATCGCCTTGCGTTCGTCGCTAGCCTCTGCCCTGGTGTGCCACCCCATCTTTGCAGGTCGAATGCACTGGACAGTCCCATCTATCGACTCCGTCGCATCTCGGGTATGTGTGCGCGTGGACGAAGCCACCAGTGGCGTGATGTTCTCGGAAGGCTCCAGTTCTCTCGCCTTGAGCGACGTCGTCGTGTGCCCTTCTGCCACAAAGTGGCATGCACGGGAACGCATGGTCAAGCAGTGCTTTCTTCCACCAACAGCATCTTCACCCAAACCAAAGGATGTTCGCACGCTTATCCGCTACTCGATTCCGCTTCTGCATGTGTCGGTCGTGCATTTACGCGACGGTGGCACCGTCGTATGTGCAGAGTTTGCACATGGAATCTGCGACGGAGGGTCGTGCTTTGAGTTCCTGTCGAGTTGGGCAGCTGCGACAACTAGAGGCTCTACCAACACCCTGGCCACCCCCACGAGCCATGACAACCGTTGCGTAAACTCGGATACTATGAGCATAACCAAAGGTCCATATGATTGGATCCGTCAGGCTCTTCACGACCATCCACCCCAGGCCCCGTCCTCATGGCTGTTTGTGTCGTCCACTCCAAAGGTCCACCAAACATTCGCTAAGGGCACTCGACTTGTGCACTCGGCCATCTATCGGCTCTCCGCCGCCCAACTCGACCGTCTCAAAGCCGCGTCGTCCCATCAACATGGTCGCATTAGTACCAACGACGCAGTGTCCGCCTTCATCTGGCGGGTGACGTCGTCGTTGCCGAGTCGGCTGCACCGGCCGTCGCATTTACGCATGCTGATGAACTTCCGCCCCGACCTGACTCTCCATCGCCAAGTCCCTGGCAACATGGTGTACTCAATCGTCGCCTCCGATTCTCAAGACACCCCTGCCTCCACGTCCCCCCTCGGTGCCCTCGCTAGCCTCTGTCGGGCAGCCGTGGACACGGCCAAAGCGTCCGTCATCGCCGACTTGGGCGCCATCTACGCCAAACCATGGACGCGAATCTTTTGGAACGAGCCAGCCGACACCTCTGCTTGCGTGACGTACGTGACCAACCTGTCGCGGTACAATTTTTGCTCGTTACCCTTCGCCCCAGGCGACCCCCGCAACGCTCCAAGGGATTCGCATCAGACGTCGGCGGTGGACCAGCTCGAATGTCCGTACGGCGCGTTTCCGTATTTGTTTCAGCTGTACGCCGACCCTCGCTGTGGAGTGCGGGTAGTGGCGCACTTGCCTCAGGACGAACGCGAAGTATTCGACACCCTCTGGGGGGGGCTTCTACCTAGCCCATGGGACAGTTGAACGAACCCCCCTCCCACGGCGTGTACCATCAAGTGTGTATTTGTTGTTACTATCATGGCACCGACGATACTTCTTGACCTATAGTTGACTTCAATGACACTGACTCTCCAAAATACAAGTTATTTTATGTTTGTATATATGTGTTAAATAGGATAGGACAAGGCCTTGATCTGTTGTCGAAGCAGCAGCGACACTTGCATGGCTGTGGGTCGGTTAGCAGGGTCGTGGGCAACGCATCGCAGGCCAAGGTCGCGCACCCACTCGGGACACTTGGTCGAGAACGTCGGCGCAAGCGTGCCCCGCATCACTTGCGCCATGATGGTGGTGTCGGCCAGCGGCTTTCCTCTTGCATTCGTCTGGTCCGAGTACGGAATGCAGTGCGTGTCCAGCTCCGACACCAGCACCCCTACACCCCCACGACCGTCAAAAACACATACCTAATGCTAATGAAACATACCGAACGAATACATGTCGGCCGCGACGGTGTAGTGACTGTCCTGCAGCAGCTCAGGGGCCATCCACCTGTATGTGCCCACGCCCATGGTCATCGTGTCTTGGGTGTCCTCCCTTGCAATGCCAAAGTCTGTCAGCTTTGTGCCATGCGTCGAGTCGAGCAGCACATTGCGCGACTTGAGATCCCGATGGATAATGTCGAACGAGTGTACGTATACGAGGCCTTCGACGATGCTCAGCATGCACTGCGCCTTGTCTGGCCATGTAAACGTGTCGAAACTGGTCGCGTCGAGCTTGTCCCGGAGGTCGCCTTGATCCATGTACTCCATCACACATGTGAGGTCCCCCACTCGCTTCCACGACGCCCCCACGAGCCCCACGACGTACGGGGACCGGAACACCGACATGAGCCCGATCTCGTCGACGAGGTGCTGGACGTCGCTCAGGCGGTTCTGCGGGTGACGCCCCAAGAGCGCCGACTTGACGGCTACGAGTCGCCCTCGGTATGTCGCGAGCCAGACTTCGCCAAAGGCCCCGGACCCGAGGAGCCGATCCCGGATGAGTTCGCGGTGGTCGATGCGGACAACGTCTAGCTTGGCCATCGTCGCATCGAGTTCGACTTGGTCGGGAGTGGTTTGGACTGGGGGACGGCGCTTCTTCGCACGGTTTGGGTTGGAACGAGGATGCATGTCGTCCTGAACGGGGTGGTAGACTGAAAAGTCGACCGGGGGAGGTGGCTTCGCAGCCGTGTGTCGGCGTCGGCGATGGACCACTAGGATCGCTAGTGCGCACAGTGAGATGGCGACCACAATGCCTCCAACGATAAGACCCATGTTGTTGCTGAAGGCTGACCCGGACGACGGCGACGTAATGTCCACAATGGCGGTTGGTCCTCCTGTGACTGGGGGATTGGGTTGAGCATATGGAGATCGTGTCGTGCCTATAATAGCTTCGCTCCGAGGCTTGGTAATGTCGGGGGATATGGACGAAGGCGACGGTGACGCTTCCACGAGCGACAGCAAGGACGAGCGGTAGTCGCGCAATGTGGCACCGTTGGCGAGCATGCAGTTTGACACATTGGGCGGTAGTAGTTGAATGAAATCATTAAGTCCTGTACACCATGCTACCCGGCACGATACTGACGTCGCAGATGTTGTGGTGTTGCATTCGGCCCACAATCCCGGCCACGACAACGCAGTCGGTTCTAGGACAATAGAATCGGTGGAGCCACATGACGTGGCGTTGGCTGTGGCATTCTTAGCCAAGTCGAGAAGAAGTTCTGGAGTACACCGCTCGGTGCCGCCACTGCTAGGAATCGACATGCATGCAGCGATACTGTAAATGGTGCTGGATTCGCCCGAGCGTCCAAGTGGCCAATCGGAATCCATGTTGGAAACCCTACGATATTTGATTCACTTAAGTATTTCTGTTCAATGTCAACCTTTCATTTATGTACCATTAATCCGAATGGGATGGGCAAAACGTACACGGCCAAATGTGAACTTTAACGTTACCGCTTCTGCGGTCAACCTAATAACTTCGCGAGTTACGAGTACAGTACGTAGTACTAACCGATTCCACGCAGTACTCTGCAAGTTTGTACTATCGATTAGTAGTTAGTTTGCTACCTGAGTAGTTTGAAGTTTACTCACCATCACCTTCCATTAAAGTACTCCTACTAGTACTGTAGTACTATAGTACTTACTGTACAGTACTACTTCGCAGTACTACATATCATCAGCACCGTACTGTAGTACAAATTGGTTCGAAAGACAAACACTGCCATGTGTTTACAGGATTGAGTATTAGTCATCGGAGAAAATCCCCAATTTCTTCTGGTCCACTGTGGTGACACTGGTAGCTTGGCGGCGATAATGCGGGGGCTTGGCCACCACCTGGTCCGCAGCAGTCGGCTTCGGACGCTTGGCATCAAAAATGGGGTCTTTCGTGTACATCCACGACCGTTGGGCGTGTGTGTCCTTTTGGGGGTCCGAATTCACCTTGATGACTTCGCCCGACGCCCCTGACGCGGCCTTTCCACGCTCCACGCGCCCCCCCCCTGGGCCCCCCGCAATGCCTTGTTGATGGTTCGGCACAGCAAGTGTGCTGGTCTTGACCACAGTCCCAAAGGCGGCTTGGTTGTTCGTTTCCATGTACCTATTTTCGACATTTGGGTCTGGCGTGGGCAGAACAGCTCCAAATCCGCTGTCTGGGCGGTCTCGCAGAGGTCGGGACTTGATCACTTGCTCAAAGTTGTCTCGACGAATCATGCGATGGTCCTAGAGATACATGTCAATTCTTTGGTGTGGACGGACACTCGAGTATGTGATGTTTCTACCACGAGCTTGTGGACTTCGTTTCGAACTTTGAGCGCTCCAGGATTGGCAAAGTCGTGTTCATTGGTCGTGCTGTAGTCGTTCTACTTGGGACGATGTTCAGTTGTCCTGAGCTCAAGTTGCGCGTTCCTTACCTTGCCGTCGTAAGGTAGCACCCCCTGAAGAGCCCCCGACCGCTCCTCGTACCAGTTATCTACGTATGCCTTTAAAGAGTGGGATAGTCAACGAGCCATTGTACCTTGCAAGGTGTCTTTACTGAAGGATCGCAGCGTCATCTCGTTTTATGGGCCAAGCCAAGGGAAAACAATGTAACGTTAGCATGGTGGAGATCATAACGCTAAATGTGCACAAGGTATAGAAGATAATATATGTAACATTGTGCTTTGTTGATACAAGCTGATAATTTCAATCATAAAACCATGCACCATCAAGCATATATAGTGTGGGAAGAAATTCTCACATAAGTGACCTTTCAGACTACGATTGGCTGGTCCCATATACATAGATAGTCTTCGTGCAGTCCTATTTATACCCTTGTGGTTTCACCTTCGCAAGGTAGTAGTGTCTTGGCGCAGGCGACATCATGAGCCACCGCTTGTCTCAAGCGGCGCGGCATACACAAGAGTTGCTGGAAGACCTAGAGCGGGACAAGGAATTAGATGTCATCCGCATTTTCCTCGCCCGATTTGATTTGTTTCCACGACAACGGGACCCCAAGTCGGCTCCCATTCGCAGCGAAGAGTTGCGGGACCTGGTCAAGTATTGGAAGTTGCATCGACAGCGCAACTTTTGGAAAAATCACACGACGAAAGAAGATCTCGTGCGCATGTTGTACAAGCACATCACGGTCAAAGTGCTGCCAAATGAAAAGTCGCCGCTCATTCCAGAAACCACGACGCCACCGACAACGATGGTCCCCATTGCCCCGCAATCCCCCGCCCGTCCGCCGAGTGGTGGCATGGCCATGGACAGTCCGTCGAAAATTCGTCGCACGTCGCGCCTGACAAACGGGACGACTGAGGGGTACAGTGGGGGGGTGATGTCCAAGGGCAGTCCGGCCAAAATGAACGCGTTGGGCGCGTACGGCGGCGACCTGTTTGCCCAGCGCGGCGACTACGACTGCGGCATGATCTATGTCTCCCGTCTTGCGCCCCCGGAAACCGACCTGGCGCTGCAAAGCCTCGTGCTGGTTGCTGGCGAGGAGTCAGCATTGAAGGACTCGGTGTTTTCTCCGCAGCTGAATCTACTCGACGAAGACTCGACGCGGCGCGAAAAGCGACTCATGACCGAGTGCGCGTGCAGTTTGTATCAGGTACCAAGGCTCCCTTCTCTTCCAATCAGATTGTAGCTGATGCGGTGCTAACTGTGTGCATGTTTGACATTGTAGTTGACGCTCGAGCCAGGCCACGAAGCCGACATCGTGCGTGAGGGCTGCATTCCCGCGATCGTGCGCATGTGCACGTTTGACGATTTGGATGTCAAGAAGTATTGCTCCGCCACGATCGTGAATGTGTCTGTGGACGCATCGCTCACGGCGCGGATGATCGACGAGGGGGTACTCGGGGGGCTCATGGAGCTGGCCAAAGTACAACAGGAAGACATTCGACGTAATGCTGCCATTGGCATTTGCCGCATTTCGTACGACCGACAAGGCCAGCACAAACTGATTCAAGAAGGAAGCGTGCCGGCGTTGATTTCGATGCTCAACAACACGGATCTTGAAACCAAGGAGGCGTGCGTCAAGACCCTTGTAAACATCGCGTCGTTTTCTGGTGGGGGAAAGAATCATGTCCAAGTCGTTTGAAACCTTACAAGTGCCATCGTAGGGTCGGTCGTGTCCGAGTCCGTGACGCACACGGTGACTCGCATCGCCGCCAAGAAGGACACTGCGTATGACCGGTTCATCGTGGAAACCATTTGTGACATGTCGCTCTTGACTGGCCCTCGTGCCAAGGTACTACTACCGTGTCCTTGACGCCTCTAACTCTCATGACTACCGGTAGGCGGCGGACGACGGGATTCTGCTGCCGATTTTCGACATCAACCGAAACAGCTCGAACGTCGACTTGAAGCGGATGATGGCGATTGCATTGAGCAACTTTTCGGGCATCGAAACCAACCACCAGCACATGGTCAATGGGAGAATTCTGCACGCGCTGGACAGTCTCTTGGGAGTTGACGACGACGAGATCAAAGTCATGGCGGCCACGGCCGTGGCCAACATTGCATGCACCCTCGAATTCATTCCGAAACTCATGGCAAGTCATGCCGAGCCCTTCAATCTTCCGTTGCGACTCATCCAGTCGGGGTATAATGCCACGGACGTCCTCCAAGAGAATATTTCGGCCGCGTTGCTCAGCGTTGGCCTAAGCCACCAAGCCCACCGACTGCATTTGACCCAGAACGGCGTCGTGTTGCTCTTGATCCACTTTTTAGAAACCAGCAACGCCACCACAAAGCGCCACGCAGTCGTGCTGTTGTGTGCCCTCATGGCCGACGACCTGTCCCGCGCCCAGCTGGTACAGCATGATGTCCTCAAGGTGGTCGTCGCCCTAGCAAACAACCCCACAACCCGCGAATTGTGCAGCGTAGCCCTCTTCAACTTGTCGTGCTTTGCAGACATGAGTCCGTACCTGTTGGCGCCGCAGACCATGGACGCCCTCGCCCTGCTCCTCTCACCCCCTCCTGCCCCCAGCACCTCTAAGTCGGCGGACGCCGCCGACGTCACCCTGTCCATCACCCAGGAATTCTGCCTCAATTGCCTCTACAACTTGTCCTTCTACGACGGTAGCGCGGAGGTTCTCATTTCCTCCCATTCTGTTGCCACGCTTGGTGCCATTTTTCGCAAACCGTCCAAGAACGCAGACGCAAACTTGCGCGCCGCCACCGCGCTGTGCAACATGTCGTTCTGTCCCGACGCCGCGCACATCACGATCATGTTGGACGACGACGCGCTCAAGCTGCTCAGGCGCCTGGCAACCAACGCCACGACCAAGGAGCTAGTGCTGTGCATCGCCACCACGCTGTGCAACTTGGCAATTCAGGCGCTCCAGACGTCCGGCCCCCTCCTTGTGAACCAACTCATCGAGTTATCGCACACACCCCACGCCGAAATTGCGTTTGTGTGTGCGATTTCGTTTTCGAAACTCGCATCCAACTCGATTCTCCGGGAAAGCCTCGCCAAAGTGATGGACTTGCCGCCCACGCTGACAGTCATGATGCGGTCCGGGATCGAAGACGTCCAGATCCACTGCGCCGCCGCGCTTTGCGGTCTGGCCTGCGAACGCGGACAAAAAGGCAACCGCCACATGTGGAAAGAAGGCACGATCACTGACTTCATCGTGAACTCTCTCCTCCGGATCAACAGTGACTCGACCAAGGAGGTATGCGCCCGCGTGCTGTTCAACGTGTTGACCCACGAAGACTGCCGCGGGCACATGATCAAGGACGGTGTCCTCTACGCCCTCGTCAAGCTCGCGCGTCTCGACAGCGTCGAAATTCGATCGCTGTGCGTCACAGCGCTGTACAACTTGAGCTGCGACGACGCGATGGTGTCGGTGCTCATGGACATCAATGTCGCACATGTGATCGCCAAGATGTGCGAGGGCGAGTTCAATCAAGTGGAAAACCGCCGTCGGCTGGCGGCGTGCCTCACCAACATCGCGCTGCAGCCGGGCCACGAGCTCAAACTCATGGAGAACGGCGGGCTCACGGCGGTTCTCCTGCTGTGCGACCACGGCGACGTCGAGTGCATGCGATACAGTGCGTCCGTGCTGTGCTCCCTCGCGACGCAACCCGCCAACTGCGACGCTATGGCGGGCATCCCAGCCCTCGAGCTGCTGCTCAAGATGACCAACTCCCGCGACAGCTACCAGTGCCTCTTTGCCCTCCACGCCCTGTGCAACATTTCGTGCGTGCCAGCATTGCACGACAAGATTGAGGAGGCCGAAGCCATCTGCTCCATCATCCGGGTCCTCGGAGAAGCGGAAGAGGAAGACATCATGCTCACATGCTCCAAGATTCTGTGTAACCTCGCGTTTCATGCAAAGCACCATGCGACGATCCTCAAACACAATTATGTGCCGGTGCTGCTCCAAGGGCTCAAGAAAACCAAGTTCCAGTCCGTCGCAGATGTCAACGCGCGCATCCTGGCCACATTGAGCGAAGACGCCGCCGTGGTCGAACTCCTCGTCGCCGGCGGGGCGGTCGAGGCGCTCCACATTGCGTCTCGGGAAGGCGACAAGGCTACGACCGTCGTGCAATGCGTGATCTCCCTCGTTCGGCTCTCCAGGGGAACTCTGGGCGGGTGCAAAGTCATCCAAGACGGGCTCTTCGACATCCTCCAAGCTGCGATTCCCCTGCCGTACGACCCCAAGATGCACCCCAAGCTTGGCGCCGACCTGACCGAGCGCTGCTCGATGATCCTGCGGACACTGTCGACCTTCCCCGTGTGCATCCCGGACCTGGTGGAGGACCCCCGCCTCATGCCGCTTGCGATCGCACTCACAGAAGACGGGGACAAGGACACGACCAAGAACATCATAATGCTGCTGCACAACATCACCGCCGCACGAAGCCGCGAGTTCCAGCGCCAGGTGCGGCGATCGGGGGTCATCCCCCTGCTCATCAAGCTGGCCAGGGTGTGCACGACGGACGAGCTACAGATCTGCGCCGTGTCCCTTGCGCACATCAACAGCGAGCTGTCCGAGGCGGACCGCCTCGCACTGGAGGAGTACCACAAGGGCCTTGTGCACACGATGATCTCGATGCTCGACATGGACCCCCCCACGATGCTACGCGCAGAAAAAGTGGCGTCTGCGATGCCGGCGCCGCTGGCCATCGGGCGGTTCCGCACGGATTTTCTCGTCGGATCGAATGCGTCGCGAGTGCTCACGCAGATCCCCGTGTCATGGCAAATCCAAAGCGCCCACATAGACGAAGCGACGCTCGTTCCAAACGCCCCGTCGCACTACTTGGCGCCGCTGCCTCAGAAACATACGTCGTTCCACCTGGCGGTGAAGGAGGACCTGTTCGGCACGTTCCAGATATTACAAGTGGGTGCCGACAAGAGTCGCATGAAGCTGCCGCTTCCCCGTACACTCATGAGCATGGACACAATCTTAAACATCGTCGACACAGTCGCGGAAGAGGTTGTCCCTGGCACGATGCCCACCGATGCGATGCACGAAACCGACGAGCTCGACGATGAACTCTGTGTGCCCCCAAAATCGCCCGCGGCCCCTTCGAGAACCCCCAACACCCCTGGGGGGCGACATCATCACCATGGCCTGAGTAATTCTCCCCATAGTGGAGGGGACGATGACGACGACTCGGGCGTCCGAAAACCGTCCAAAGCTAGTCACAAGCACCCGTTGAATGGCGGTCGCAGCAGCGTCAAAGGAGGACATGGGTTGAAGGCGTCGTCACGCAAAATTTCGCTCGCCAAAACCGGGTCAGTGAAGCACCTTCGAGCGGGGGAAAGCAAGACCAACGTCATCCACGAACACGACAGTGTGCTGCCCAAAATTTAATACTTCACCCTAGTACATTCGTACACGTTTGGGCGTTGTGTGTACGCTGGTTGTGATGAGCGTCTTTCGACTAACAATTATTCGTGCGTCCTCGAAAGTGTCCAAATACAGTGGCAACGACTGGTTGTAGACTGATCCAAGCTCAAATCAACCTACGACATGCCATACCTCGTCACCATATTTTTTGTCCTTTTCGCTGGAATTTCATAAGATTTGTGAGTATGATTTTAAGCTTATTCAATGTACAGTATACAAAGTTGAAGATGAACTCATTGACCAAACTGCTGGGCCAAACTAAACTAAACGATGATTGGTTGAAATTTTTAGTTTGTGGCATTTGATTGGCTAGGACATTCTCAAATACATATGTCATATTCATTCAATTCTACTCGGAAGTCCAAATTTGGAATGGATTTGATAATATATGCCTGGGAAGTTGGTGGTGAAATTGGTACATGCATCATGGTTTTGGGGACATTGATATCGTAAGTGTAATTGTAAATGAAATCGATGGTAGTATGAAACTGACAAGCGGATGGAAGAATGAAACCGACAGGATGTCAAATTTAGCCAATCAACGCGAAGTGGAACGGTGTCATGTGATTGGCCAATCGCAATCCACCCCAAGGTGGAACAGTGGCAAATGGGATCCGAGCTCGCAGACGAGCGCGATGACCTCGTCTCGCTTCTCAACTCAGAGTGGACACAACCACAGGGAAGGGATTGTCGAGACACCACACGCCTTAGGACAAGGGACCCTTTCTTGCTAGCCATCTTGCGGGAAGACGGAGAGGCTGTTGAAGGCGGCGACGTTGGTTATCATTCTGAACATCATACCATGCAACGGCCAATTTGGACCCATGCTGTCGCCACTGACGAAGTTGCCGTGTCGGCAAGCAAAACCACTCGGAGAACGAAGTGCGTGTGTGTGCAAATTCAACGATCTCACCTTCGTGCTGCTTTAGGAAGACCTTTGTCATTCCTATCGACACTTCAATCGTCCGAGAACCTCCGCCGACAAGTTCCATCAATGGACAATCACTACACCAGGATGAAGTGGAGAATTTGCGACACCAGTTAAAAGAGGCAGTACGTACATAACCCTGTGATTACCTTGTCACATATCTATCACCTCACTATCATCACTCTTTCATGGCTCTAGTCCAACGAACTCAAGGTGTGGAAACAACGATGGGCCATAAAGAACAACCCCACCGCAGCCTCAAATCAGGAGGCGGCTCCGCATAACCAACCTCCTTCGTCGTCCGTTCGTCAAGACAATCTACGGATTGCTGAGGTACCTATCGTGTGTTCGCTTATGCCCTCTTGACGATGGCTGTTGTTTCAAGCTTCAAGCAGCACTTGGGCACCTTCAAACACGCCACCAACGTCTTCGAACGAGCAATACTCAACTGCGACAGGTACATATTCGTCGCCACGCCAAACAAAATAGCCTCGGGATATGATTCCACCATTGCACGTTATAACATAGCGATGCAATGAACTGGAGGCCTTGACAACATCCCAAGCCACCGCGTATGCCATTCAAGAGCAAACGATTGCGTACTTGCAGGAAAAGGTAATGCGGTGACATATATTCCTGTGACATGATTGACCAGCATCGGGTGTGCAGTTGCAGGCACAAGCGCTACTCGCCAAGGATACCCACCGGCGAGTGGCAACGAGGGAGAACAACATTCCGCAGCATAGCCATACACGTGCAGCGCACTGCCAACTCGACTCTATCGCATGTGACCAAGCGCGCGTGCAAAGACCAGCCAGCACTGTTGCGCCTCCAGTCGCAACATCGATATCAACACCTCATTGGTCAAAATCCCGTACAGTTCCACCAATCACAAGTTCCCATTCCCACCCAGTGACTCCACCAATCACAGAGAAGCTTCGACAATTGTACGTCAAGCAAAAAAGTGCCGCCGCCGCCACCACCACGTCATGATCGCCCGCAGTGTCCGTGAAGCCGCCATGCACATGGGAGCTGTGCGTGAGCTAATCCTTCAACGGTCTGAAGACCTTCTGTGTCGCAACTTGATGTGCGAACGCGTGGGTGAAGCGTGCGTGTGTCGTTTCAGCATGGTCTTGGAAAAGCTGCCACAGTTGAAGGCTCTCAACGTGAGTCACAATCACCTGCATGCGCTCCCTCCCTCTCTGTTCAACTTACCCCAACTGGAAGAATTGAACCTTGGGCACAACAACCTTTCCGACACAGCCCTTGTGGGCCTCGAGGGGCTGCAGTCGCTCCGCCACCTCGACCTCTCGCACAACCAACTTACGAGTGCGCCGTCGACGCTTGCGCTTCTGCCATACATCCAAGTCATCGACCTTCGTGGCAACCCCAAGCTCAACCTTCGCTCCCTCCCGTCCCTGCCAGCCCATGTCTCGTTACTCCACGAATAACAACAGTACTAGCATTCCTTATAACTTAAACTATTTTCGGCAGCAAATGCACACTTAACGGCGGCTCTGGGTGCGTCGCCACCGCAGCTGCTGTGGGTTGCTTGGTCGAGCTCATTTGCGACCCCATGCGATGGATCGAAGGCTTGGACTTTTTGGGGGTGGCGGGCTTGGTGGCCCGGACCGCTGTCGCAGACCCTTGTCGCACCGCGTCGTCCTTCTTTAGAATAGATACCGTCGTGCTAGATGGATGGGGCGTTTTGGGTGTACCATTGCCGCTGGCTGTGGTCGAAACAACGGACGCAGCAGTGGGAACGTTGGCAGACGACGAGCCCAAGTGCCGCAGAACAGTCGTGGGGGACATGGCGGAATTCCGCGGCGCGGGTTTGAGGAAGCACTTGTCTGGGCTCACTTTGAGCACTCTAAACTGTCCAAACAACGTGTCTTTGACTGTGGGGGTGCGGTTAGCATTAAACGACGGGAGCATGCTCAGGAACTCGCTTGGATCGATGGGATGGAACCGGCCTTGGTCGATGGCGGCGCTCTGCGTGGTCCATGTGATGGGAATCTGCTGCAGAATGCGCGTGGATTGGACGCCGTGCAAAAAGTCCCAGTCGGCCGCCGCTTTGGCCGCGAGCACGAGCGGGGGGGGCAGCGCCGACGCGACCTTCTCTACCTTTTGCATCATGGACGCATCCATGTCGAGCATCGAAATGAGCGTTGCGACCAGCCCCTTTTCAAATTCGTCTTGGGCATCCCGCTCCGCCTCGGTCAGATCCGAGTTCAAGTGGGCAAGGGACACGGAACACACGAGGCGGACGTCGGCGGGACCGACCTTGGACAGCTTGATGAGCAGCGGGATCACACCCGAGAGCCGCGCCTCCTTTTGAAAGAGCCGGTTCCGGGCCGCCGTGATGTTGTGCAGCAGCATGACGCAGTTGGTGCACGTGTCCTTGTCGCCGTGGAACGCCAGCGCCGCCACGATCGGAACGATGCGGCGGTCTGCCACCATGGACGAAATGCACATCAAGTACGTGGACAGCGTGCGCAAGATCATGGAGCAGCGCTCCGACGTGGCGGCGCTCACGCGAGGACCCACCTGGGGCGGGTACTCGAGGGGGATGGCGGTCGCGATGATGTCGAAGAGCCCGTCTTCCAGGATGCGCATGCCGCTGTGGCCGCCGCGGGAGAGCCGACACAGCGATATGATGCAGTTGGAAACCGCGGACGGCGACCCGTAACGTGCGGCCACGCGGAGGACGTGCACCGCGCCGTCGTTGACAAGCGCTGTGATTTCGTTGGCGTTTTCGCTAAGGGTGGCAAGGATGCGCGCCGCGACGTCCGCCACCGACGGGTACACAACCTCCTGGCTAAACACTTTGACCATTGTGCGGACGAACCGGTATTTGAGGATGTGCCCGTGGTGCTTGATATCGTACGAGAGATTACACACGATCTTGGTACAGGTGAGAACAATCGCCTCTTCTTCCGACTCGTCCAGCACGCGCAGGACTGAGCAGATGGCGTCGCCTTCTTCGATTTTGTCGTGGTTGGTCACGATGCACGAAATGTTGCACAGCGCATTGAGGGCGAAAATGCACTGCGTGCCATCCTTGGAGTTGATCATTTTCAGCAGCAACTCGACGATCAACAGCGACGCCATGGCCACGCAGCAGTCGGGGACGTTCGAGATCGAACACAGCGCGGACGCCGAGTACCGCAGACACTGGAGGTCGCCGTGGTCGCACAGCAGCACGATCGCGCCGAGCACACCGCCTTCGACGAGCTTGGCTTCGTTTCCCGGACACAGCGCGATGTTGGTCAGGCACGCCGCGAGGCGTTGACGGTTCGCTTCGCTGTTGGCCTCGCTCTCGCACATCTTGGAAATCACCTGCGCCACGTTGATGTCCATGAGCACCGGGACCATGCTCTCATCGCAGCTCAAGTTGTACAGTGCCGTGACGCACAGCGTCCGGATTTCGACGCTGTCGAGGCGCGCGAGCTTGACAAGGGCGTACAGGACGCCGTCTTTGATGAACCCAACGCGGCCGTCGTCGTGCGTGAGCACGTTGAACAGGACGCGGGCGCAGATTTCTTTGGTCGAGTCGCTGTTGATCCGGAGGAGGGAGTTGACGATGAAGTCGCCGATGGCGTTGTCCTTCCACATCGTCCGGTGCAGCTTGGACGTCCGGTCGCTGGCGAGACCGCAGAGTGCGGCGGCGCAGTGGATCTGAACGTCCTCGACCCCGGACCGCATCATCATGGTCAACGACGGCGCGAGCTCGGCGCACCGCGATAGCGCTTCTGCATACCCTGAATTCCCCGCGAGTTTGTTGAACGCGATCGCGCAGTTGAGGGAGATGTCGCTGTGGGCTGTGTGGGACAAATCAATGAGCATCGACAGCACAGGCGAATTAGGCTGGTCGATTGCGACGGTAGCGATATTGCATAGCGCCGTGGATGCACACAGGAGGACTTCTTTGATCGTGCAATGCGCCGTGAGCCGTTTCATGAGGCGGAGCCCGTCGTCCGCCAGCAGGCGGGCCTGCCCCTCGACGCAAAATGTAAAGTTGCACACGGTGGCCACCACACGCTTGTTTTGGTCGGCAACGCGGGACGGTTTGCGAAACACGAGGGCGAGGGCCCCGACGCAGCCTTCCGACACGAGCTGCGCACGGCTGCCAGTGTAAAACGACAAGTTGTACAGACAGCTGAGGCAGTAGTCTTGGATGCGCGAGAGGGTGACCGTCGAGTCCTTGGGGTGTTGATCTGCCACGTCATCTCCGACGAAGAGCGAGATGAGTGACTTGAGCGTGTCGGGGGCGAGAAGGTATGGGCTCAGGTCGGCGTGGGCGGAAAAGTTGAGCATCGACATGGCAGCCAGCTCCCGCGTCTGGGGTAGGGGGGCCGACGCCAGCTGCAGGAGCACGCCAATCATGTCACACTGCATGAGTTCGCTGCGGGAGCTTTCGTGGGCCATGAGACTGCAGAGGGTACACACGGCATTCTCCTGCGTGACGGCGCTGCCGGCTTTGAGGAACTGCAACAACATGAGCACGACGCCGCTGCGCGTGAGGAACAGCTCCTTGTCTTCTTCGCTTATGGCCAGGTTGGACAGTGCCAACGACACGTTTTCTTGAATCACGTCGTTGGTCGTGTACCCGATTTGAATCAGCTTGATGGCAATGTTGCTCTGGATGATCGACTTGATCGAGTCGGGACTGCATGTGAGGTTGGCCACGGTGACCGCCCCCAGCTCCCGGATGGTCTCGTCTGGCACTTCCAACAGCACTTCGATGCACTTGAGCACCCGAAGCTGGCTCAACAAGGCGTGGTTTGCCTCCACAGTCGAGAAGTTGCACAAGGCAGTGGCGGCGAGTCGCAGGACGTCCACGTCCGTGGCGTGGTGTCCGATCACAGCTATGGGCTCCAGCACTCCGTCTTCCACTGCCTACATCCATTGTTTGATTCACTTGGCGCCGTAGAAACATGCGGTTGGGAGCTAGCTACCTTCACGCGAGGCCCAGACAAAAGCGAGAGGTTGCATATGGTTTCGCCCATGAACCGCAGACATGACAAGTCTTGTTTCCTCAGGCCAGACATTTTCACCATCGTGTACACGACCGACTCGGAGATCACCGAGCCTACAGGAATCCGTTGTCAAAAGGGAAAAGTGCAAACTGACACGGTGCCTGAGAAGGACGCGATGTTGACAATGGCCTTGATGCACGCTTCTTTCGTGTCGTTGTCGGTGCTGTTGAGCATCGAAATCATCGCCGGCACACTTCCTTCCTGCAGCAGGCGCTGCTGGCCCAGCCGCTCGTACGATATCCGGCACATGCCGATGGCAGCGTTACGACGGATGTCTTCTTGCTGTACTTTGGAAAACTCCATGAGCCCGACCAACAGGCCATCGTCGAGCATGCGAGAACATAGCGACGAGTCGCACGTCAAGTTGACTGTCGCTGCCGCCGCATACTTTTTAACGTCGTAGTCGTCAAACATACTCAGCCGGACAAGCGCCGGCACACACCCTTCCTGTACGATCCCGACTTCGTGGCCCACATGTAGTGTAAGCTACCATATATGACAAGTTCGTGTGATTACGACATCAACTTGACAATCAACAAGGGGATGTTTGTGGAAGGGCGTACATACTTGGTACAAACTGGACGCGCATTCTTGCTTCATTCTGGTTTCCCGGGTGGTCGAGTCGTCGTCCATGAGCTCCACGATCGACGACGCGTCGGAGAACGCGTTGTTTGCCGTCGCTGCGGTTGGGGACGTGGGGGCTGCGAGTATGGCTTGCCTTGACTTTGGGGTGCTCTTTTCATCGCCAATGTCGTCAGCTACGTCTGACCTGGAGCCTACATCCCGTTCGTGTGTGATTACTTGATTGCCCGTGATATGATTGTCTGTTGACGTACTGACGTCGACGTTGCCAAGTCGAGATAAATAGATCATGCCGTCCTCGTAGTCTCCTCGCTGGCCAAACAAGTCACCCAAATACGACTCCAATACAAACTCCCCACGGCGACTTGGCGATTTGGCCGTGGAACTCATGGCCGCGGCGAGGAGCAGCGATCGGTTGGACAATCTCCGGTCAAACAGGGGCTTCTTTGCTGGACTTTCGGGCACGGGGGTCTTTGGTCGCTCGGGGACGATGGGCGTGGGGGGCCCTGACGACGAGGTGGGGGATGCCAACCCCGCGGCCGACGCCATGCCAGCGGACTTGTCGCCGATCCGCTCGGATGGTAGCACCTTCGTGTTAATGTACTTGTACAGTGTCCGGACCAGTTCCTCCTTGGTCGCGTGGTTTTTCCAAAAGTTCCGCTGTCGATGGAGTTTCCAATGCTTGACCAGGTCTCGCAGTTCCTCGGCTCGGATCGGTGCCGTCTTGGGGTCACGTTTCCGCGGAAATAAGTTGTATTTGGTCAGGTAAACCCGCAGAACGTCGAGCTCTTTGTCTCGCTCGAGCTCTTGCAGCAACTCCTGCGTATGTCGAGCATTCTGGGACAGTCGATGACTCATCCCAGAGATTTTCCGACGACAGGGGCTGGCTCGATTGCGGTCGCCGCCGTGCTAACCGATGTAACTGGTTTTTGTGAACCCCCCGCTATTCTTAGGACTACTATGTGCTAACTTCCGTAGTAACGTTAACGTCGACGTATATTTATAACATGGGGGGCCTTCATGGAGACTGACGCAGTACATGTACTTGTGTACACTGGGAGGTGATTATCCATTCCACGAAGCATTAACAGGTATACTTCCAGTTTTGGCAGACACAGCTGAGGGTGATGATAAAGATGAGTTGCGAAACCTCTCTATTTTTTTATTGACAATCAGTCTAAATGGTACGTGTTGTGTAAATAATGACTACTAGTACATAGTACATGTCGGTCGTCGGGAGGCCAACACAGTCCATTGCCGAGTATCCCGTATCATCATATCATTTCAGGGCAAGGCTTATGTACGTGAAGAAGTCCTGTGGCCGCGATGTTCGAGTTCTTGGCAGTTTACACTATTAATATGTAAAAGCTGTTGATATCGGTACTTGGCGCTGTGAAGTACCACTCCGTCCCAAATCACTGACACGTTTGATGTTTGCCACCTTGTGGTATTATGACCAATGATTGGATTTGTGTGAAATTTGTACCAACCAAAAGAGTAGGATCTTGGCTATAAGGTCATATAATTATATTGCCATTCGTCCAACAACTGCGTGTGTATTCTTCGAATAAAATCAGCCGCTCAACCCAAAATTTTCAAATGTTCACCGGACTTGAAGAATGTATGGAGATTGTCTCAAATATATCGAAAATAAGAGGTGACTTCGGCTGTATAATTTAATTCCCAGGAAGATGTCAATGTCACCTAAATGTACCCATGTCACCTTCCTTGTGATTGGCTCAACTGTACTGGATAAAGTAATATTGTTAATAAAATTGATTGTTTTCTAATTTCACAACTAATAGAATGTCCAAACGTGTCAGTGATTTGGGACGGAGTGGTACTCCGTATATAGTCAATCACACTATTAACAGTCAATCGCGTCCGGATAAGCATAGGGTTAGGGGACAATATTTGGTTGGACGAGGGGCTTTTGGAAAGTCAGTTTGCGGTATGTCACGCTCATATTTCATTTTGCCAGGTAGTGCGTAGATGTGCGAGTTGAGTCTGTCGAGTAGTTGTCGTGTGAATACCAGTACAATCCCAATGATCTTATCTATCGGATTACTCTGAAACAACAATCAATCAGAATGAAGATAACTTTTGTTAGGACGATGAGGGATTTAAAACTATACTTGTATATTTGGGGTGTCGACTGCGTGTCGTGTGTCGCTGCAATTCTCAATCGGAGAATTACGAAGTGGCTTTACACGTGTCTCTTTGTGAGTCATACACCTACCTGGCAACATAGCACATACCAGGGTTGTAGTGATAGAAAGCTTCAGTAAATCGGTGAAGAAGCGTTGAGCACTTGGCTGGGCAGGTTATTCCAGTATCCCCAGAAGTCCTCGACTGCCTTGAACATGTATAGGTTGTGCAGTTTGTTGGCGTAGTTCTCCTTCGACATCTCACAGAGCTCCCATATGCTCCACGCCGTATGCAGCGGATGCGTCCCTTCCGTGTCGGCCATCGTCCTGTGTAGTACTGTAGTCCATTCATTACACAGGCTCAAATGTCGACAGGCTGATGAAAAAGGCAATTCGACTGTACTAGTACCAGATAAAAAATGGGTGCACCACCAAATCCCATAGCATCCTTTCCGTTGCCTACTAACATTACTATTAATAGTAAGTAGTACAGTAGTGCACATTGTGACGACCGCGTTGCGATATGCACGATCCCTATCACTCGCAAAGTTGGCTGGTTGTCATCATGATGCACATCAAACCACGGAGCACGTAGTACCGGTATGACAGGAAATGCACCCCCATCAAATCACAAGATTCAAGAAGGGGCCAGTTTGCCGTTGCGATATTCGCATGATTCACGCGACACGCGTCAAGGCGAACGTCTTGTGAAGCATGGACACGCTAAGCCTTGGTCAACCACAATCACAGCAAACTATAGCGGCGTAGCAACGACGCTTCACTGTATGCAACAAGAGGCTCAGCTACAGTGCATTCATTGCACACCACTGGCGTGGGTGCAAAAGCTTACGCAAATAAAAATACAATATCTACGGCTCTTTGCCTTCGTATTTTAATTCCCGCCGAACTTTAAGGTGTGCGGCACATTTCAAATTTCAGCCAATGAAATCGTCATATTCTCGAAATCAATCACTTCTGTCCAATCCGACACGAGTACAATCACAGCTGCATTCGAGGAACATGGCTACACGATGGCAACAAACCTCATCAGGTCCATCCTCCCACATTCGATATTTATTGCCCATCTTACTGTTACCGGTAATCGGCTCCACACACAAACTCGATGCCCCTTGACCTGATAGCATCCAAGACGACGGCAACCGACGCCGACGACGGATTCAACTACGTCCTGCATGCAGTCACACCCACGCAGCTACGAATCCTACGGCCATCGATCCTCAAGCTTTGGAACTTCGAAGCCAACACGGCAGCTCCATTGAGCATGGAAGAGCTAATGGAGTGGGCGGATGCTGGTGAGTTTGCCGTGGCCATTCGTTTGCATGGCACTGCTGCCTCCTATTGCACCGAAGATGAAGCATTGCTAGCAGTCGTCGAATCCACCAATTCAATGACATCCGACGACCTGGTCGCCAAGGTAGTTGGCACCGTGCGCCATGTGTCAGTTTACCGCACCAAGCACACGACGGAATTGCTCATGCACATTGGATGCCCGTCGTTTCTATGGGATCGGTCGAGCCGGAATCGCGATGGCGCCGTCGCGCAAGGCTACTTTCATGTGCCGTCCAAGTCCTTCCAGCCCGCTTCCCTTGGCCAGCGCCTTCCCCGCATCGAGGCAGGCAAGGACATTGTCACGTACTTGAGCACTGCGTTCGTCGCCCCAGAAGTAGAAGGCACCGGTCTGCGCCACCACTTGTCGTACGGCAAACTGGCTCGCAACATGCCCAATTACCGGCACGCTGCTCGGCTTGGCCATCGCATCTTCCTCACCACCACGCTGTACGACCACCGAACCAACGGGTTGAAGTTCGCCCACCCGTTCTTGCAATTGGTGGCCAAATTGGCTCGAGACATCGGCATTGAGCTCGGCCTCGGCGCCGCCATCTCGTTCAATGTCGTTCACTGGTCGGTCCAGTCTTGTTGGCAGGAAGATGCTACTGTTGTCATGGCGTGCATTGATCCAATGGATGGCTTCGACGTCGACTCGAGCTACATGTACACAAGCCCGCGGGCGTCGTCCATCTCCAACTTGGCGCGGGACTCGTCCCACAACTACACGATGCGGCCCAGAGCGCAAACGCATTACCAAAGTACCACGTGGTGGAACTGGCCCAAAAGAGTTGTGCAGTCCATGATGCAGTCTAAGAGGAGGGGCAGTGTCGTCGATCGATCAAGTCGGGTCTACTAGGACTACCGGTAGTTTGCTCCATGTCTGTCTCGTAATATAAATAGTTAAGTAGTGGTATTAGTCATGTTCAGAGTTGGTAAACTTGCATTTTTTGATATTCATGGTTGACCCGACTCGTGGGAATGCCTAACGTTGATATGACATGGCGCAGTTTTCAGTCGTCCTTGTTATTGTGGTGGCCACAATGGACATAACATGAAGGGCGAAGCCTTGTTGTAATTGCCTGTACAGCGGTGTTAGTATGTACGACCAGTAATACTCAACTTGATGTCATATATATTAATACTCCAAAGTACGCACAACTTCGCAAGTCCAGTGTATTCACTCGAGTAGATCTGGCATCGTGTGATCGTTTAGAATGTACGCGTCAATGTTGGTTTGGAGTTTGGACCACTTGGCGTCTTTGTTTGCGTACGGCACGGCTCGCTGCTCGTACACGGCAATAAAGTGCCCAAGGAAGTGGACATACCAGACCCAGAATGCCTCGTGGAGGTGCAGTCCGCATTCCCTCGCGGCCCAAAAGTGGACGCGCATCCACGTTCGAGCGTCGACGAGGTTGAAGTGGTTGCCCCGCACATTGTCGTGTCGTTTGGCGTTGTTCCACGCCTTGTAGTGGCTTGGCTGACGCATGCCGCGGCGGCCACTGTCGGACCACGGCGTGCCCTGTCCACCCATTTTTTCAATGATCCAGTCGGCGAGTCGCTGGCCGTGGGCGGTGGCACCGTCGTCTTCGAAGAAGAACGGCTTCAACTGCGAGTCCAGAAACGCATGGGCGTAGAATCGCGTGCAACACTCTCGGATTTTGTCACCACCTCCAATGTCTTGGACGAGCGCAGCGCTCGTGCTGGAAGTGACGAACGTGCCGCTTCGAACAACGAGGTCCACGGGTGACGTGATGGACGCGACCGGAGCCACTGCGTGCGCATGGAATCGACACGTGTGCGCAAACTGGCTGGTGTCAACTGCTGAAATAGCAAGATCAACATTGGCAAATGGGCACTCGAGTCGGTTTGATGATGCATGATGGGAGGATCCATGCACTAGCTTGCGAATGGCGGCGAACGCTGGCATTGTTGTCGGTGGTGGTGCGGCGGGTTTGCCTGACTGTTTTGAAATGAGGATGTTGGGCTAGTGAAGAATGTACCGTGGCATGCCTAGTCGCTCACAGACCCCTTCCCACGCCGCTGCGGTGGCGACGCTGCCGGTCGATTCCAGAATCGAGGAAGCAGCTTCCGTGACGTGATCAAAATGCTGGAGCAATCACTGGAAAAGGCATGCATTATGATTGGCCTAGACTGGGCCAATCATACTACTGCATAATTTTCCCAAGCAATTGTTTTGACAGAATGGCGTGGGCCGTGGCACATGCGTTGGCAGTCGTAGCGACGTACTTGACGACAAATGAGAGGCAACTTTGCGCATCGACATGCAAGTTATGGAGTGGCATCCTAAAGATGGAATGGAGAGGCCGAGCCCATCACTGGAATATGGCCGCCACGGCCGCCAATGTCATTGATGTGGTCAACCAGGTGCGAACAACTTCCCACGACTTCGTCATCACGACTGGATGTTGTAGTGCGGGCAATGTAGGTCCAAGAAACGCATATGGTCGTACAAGCAAGCCCAGACTCTTGGTAACGACCTGTACTTTGTTGCAAGCGGCATTCGGCTATCGTGCTTGGTGGATTGCATGAACTTGACCGCCGCCGCTGCAACCACCCTCTTGGCCGTGCTGACAAAGGCATCAATCTCCACCTATATGTCATACAGTACATACATTACTTTATGACTCATTTGCTGCGTTCTAGGCATTCCCAGCATTCGCACATGTCGTCACACTGTTGATCGACGACAACGTGTTTTATGTCCATCGGCTGCATTTCATTCAGGCAAAACTCGTCGACATTGCCTACAATGCAAGCAACCTTGAGCTTGTAAACATTGCGAAACCCCACGCTAACTCTGTTCCGACGGTAAAACACGTATTCATTTCCCCTTGCTTTGCCTGACTTTGCTGGTGTAATCCTGTGTAGATCTGCTTGGACGCATCACCTTCAACGGTGCACTTCCTTCGGTCGCTCGTCTCGTCCCTGGCGATGATTCCACCTCCATCTGCCTTGGACCTGACCACCATCACACCTTCTCTGCCACCCACAGCTGTGGCCGGACTTGTCCTCAACTACCCCGTCGTCTACACGTTTTCGAGCCAGCCACCACCACCCACGGACAATGCACTCGCGATGCAACCGCTCGTCGTGTTTGAGCTCGTGATTTCGGATGTCAAGTACGTATATATATATATATATACATGCTTCCTAGCGCATCCTTTCACTGGTCGTGAATTGTATCTGAACTAGCACTGGTCACACGCATTCCCTTGTCAAGTACTCGCTGCCGCAGTTGCTGGTCACTCATCCCAACCACGTCGCAGTTATGCGTGCCAACTTGCTCGTAGCTTGTCGTCGACATATCCTCCACCATGAAGCCACCAGTAGTACTATGTCTGTCCACGTCACGACCATCACGTTGTCCTCGGTCGCGTTATGAAGGTTGTTTACATATCGTCGAACATAGTTCTAATTTTTCGGCTGTCGTTCAAACACGATGATCATTTCGCAATGTTCAGTGTGAGGAAACATGTCGACGGGGGCGGCCGCCACGGGTTTGAACGCTCGGCCCTTCAAGTTGCTCGTCTCAGGGCCGCACAAAGTCGCAGCATTCTACAAAGGATTCTTAACGACCAAACAATATGATTGAAGTGCGTACCTCGACGAGCGACCCGGTGGGGTTGCAGCTCACGTACACAATGCGGGTGACAGGATTGAACTCGCGGAGTGCCCGAAGCACCTTGACGTGGAGGCCGGCGCGAGGGGGATCGACCACGGCCACCGCTTGCTCCAAGAGGAGGTCGTTGCCTTGGCGGGGGGTGCGGAGGACGTTTTTCATCACGTCTTCGGCCTTGGCATTGATAAACGTTGCGTTCGAGATGTTGTTGAGCGAGGCGTTGACGGCGGCGTCGTCGGTCGCCGCCTTGCACAACTCGATGCCGACAACTTTGCCGGCGTCCGCGGCCAGACAGAGCCCAATGGTGCCGGTCCCGCAACACACATCGTACACTTGCGTCTTGGCGTCGGCGGCGGTGAACTCGCGGACGAGCGAGTACAGGGCTTCGGCGCCGGGGGTGTTAACTTGGAAGAACGCGTTGGCGGAGATGCGGAAGCGGAGCCCCAGCAGCTCTTCTTCGATGTGGGACTTGCCGTACACGTGCACCACCGGGTGGTCTTCTTCGGGGGCGGACACGCCCGAGTATTCTTGCACAAAGAACGACGTAATCGCATGCTTGGACGTCAGCGCTTCAACTAGCTCGGCCTTGGCGGCGGTCCAGGCGTCGGCGTCGAGGGCGGACGGGTTGGCTTGCACGCACACCATCACTTCGCTCGTGTGCACACTGGCACGGATGGTCAGGAGGCGCCACACGCCTTGGTGGGTCAACACGTCATACACTGGCATCGACGACTGGTTCAAAAACGCCTACAAGGAGCAGCACGTGTCCAAGGGTTGTTTTATCTTTACTTTCACACAACCAAAAAAGACAAGTCTACGAGTGCGATGGATATGGACGATTCAAAGGCGCACACGAAATTACTTGAAAGGTGGCCACCATGGCCTTCATGGTTGCCGGCACGTTGATGCACTCGTCGGGCGCCCCCACAGATACCAAGCCGTCCTTGTACGTGCCAAAGCGGAACCCGACCACCGGGTTGCGGTCGGCGTCGTAGCCGCAGCTGAACTCACATTTGTTGCGGTAGCCCTCCAACGCGGGCGACGGCGCGATGGGTTGCATGCTACAGCACAAACCTGCTCCGCAATGTCACATGTTAGCATTATTGTCAATTCGATTCGAAACGTAAAGTATCAATTGAATCAGCCGCACCAAATACATCGGCAGAGAATCGATACATCGACCAAGCAAAACCCAGAAACACGAATCAAGCAGCCAATCAAACTCTCGCGCATCAACAATAGTAGGGTGGGAATGAAATTAGTGTGATACCCTTCACATACATCATGCAGTACAAGCAATATTGACCCACACAATATGAATAGAGTAGTAAGTACCCTTGTGCGAGGCAAAGCCAACGACAACAGACCCCGCCGCGTCAACGTCATGCAGCACGACCTTTTTCTGGGCTCGGAGGATACCGTCATCGTTCAAAAATAAAAGCTCCGTCGTCGATCCGGATTCTGGCTGCACGACGATGATCAACTTGGCATCGTGGGACGTCATGCCTTGGACATGGGCAAACGCAAACGGACACGGTTCAAACACGAGCGCTTCCGTGGCGTCCGAGCTCAGCGGCGCGCGCTTCCACGAGCCATCTGCAAGCGTCGCGTAAAAGAAGCTCTGGTGCACTGTGATGGCCGTGGCAGGGACGTTCAACGACGCCAGCGGCACCCACGCGGCATCGTCGCGACTGCCCGTCACCACGCGCTTCACAATCTACCCAGCCACAACTAACTTGTCAAAACTAGTATATAGTACACAATGCATGCACACACGTACTTGGCCATCGGACGTGGCGCACACCAAATGGCCCCGGAACGACGCCATGGCCGTGACGGCGGCCGCGGGCGCGCCCGACAGCTTGGACCACGTGAGCGCGGTCGTGTCAAAGATGTACAAGTGGCCATCCGAGTTGGTGGCTACCAACTCAGACGCGAACGAAATTAGACCGGTGAACCCGTCGGCCTTAGCCAAAAACACCCACGGGGCGTCATCAGATTGCAGGCTCTGTGCAAACAATCCGGTCGGCGTGAGCAGGTACAGCGACCCGGTGCTGTCGAGCCACGAGGGCACGACCACGTCCGCGGGGCCACCGACTATATCGTCGAGAGTGGCCACGTTTTGGGCCTTGCGAAGGCGCTTGCGCTCGTCGCCGATGCGTTTTTGCTTGTCCATGTACTCCTTGCGCGTTTGGCGCACGATGCGTACCAATACCTTCTTCATCGCGTCCTCCTTACGTTCCAGCTGCTCGACGTATGGGACATTGCGCCACGGCGTCACAGCATCCATCACTGTCTTCGCCTCGCCGCCCGTCGTGGCAGTGTCCACTTTCATGGGCTTGAGGCTGCGCTTGGCCAATGCCGGCTTGGCTTCAATGGTTTCACTGTTGGCCCACTCGATCGTCGCGAGGACGTCAAGCGCGGCGTCACGCTCTTCCTTGGTCTCATACAAGATGAATCCGAACGTGCTCTTCGGAAGCTTCTGGATCGCCTTGTACACGTGGTTGTGCTTGGTCAACACGGCCTCCATGTCCTTCTTATCCTTCCACGCGCCAAAGTTCATGACAATCACCTTGCAATCGTCTTCCTTGGAAGGTTGAGGCGCATCGTCACCCGCTGCGTTCTCTGCCTTGCGCTTGTTGTTGCGCGATGGTTTCCTCGATTTGCCCATGTTGCTTCAAGTCGGTGGATAAACTCAACCATGCTCCAATTCATTGGTCAAAATGAACTTCATTTATTTCACCGATTCGAATCATTCAAATGAACCCACCTTCCTACAATAAAATTGTTCAATATGAACTTAAAATTCGTATCGATAGCATTTATATATTTCGTAGCTGTCCCAAGTGCCTGATTGGACAAAAATATAATTATAATTGAACCAACCAATGAAATTGGCGCGTTAACATTGCATTGGTTGACATCGCATGAGACAAACCAGATCCACATTCCTAACTTTTCATGGATTGGCTAAAATGCAATGGATGCGGTTTCTGATTGGTTTCTGTAACTTCGTCAACTTCGTTTTCATTTATTTCAGTAGTCGAATCACTTGCAAAAGGTTGATACAATTCGAAGTTCGAAGTGCAGTGGTACATCAACCAGGCAACGAGATGGAACATCTGGATGCCAACGTCGACCTCCGACGACACGAAGGACATCAGCAAAGTCGAACACGCCAGAGCGAGAGCATGGCCCCTCCTGCAGCAGAAGACGCTACAATCCAGTCACAAGGTAGCCACCGGGTAGTACGCCAGCCTCGCCACTTGATTCTCCTGCAACCCACAATGACCACCAGCGGGTTGGAAGTGTCGGTGCACGAATGCCCTCGCACGATGATGCGAGAGCTCGTGCATGTGTTCCCAAACACACTCAAGAAGGACTGCAATGTGCTGGCCGTGGTTACAAACCAACGGGCGAGCGTTGACTTGGCGCAGTTCGGGGAAGAAGCCGACAAGGAGAAAGATCGCCTGCTGGAGAACTTTGTCAAGTGGGCACATGAAGTGGCGGAAGCATTGACCGCCGCGGGTCATTGGGCCGACTTTATCGATCCGTGCTCAGGACTGCCAGTACGTAATGCAGCGCCAAGAATGCGTTGTCGTTGTGGCACGCGTTCCGGTGTGGTGTACTCACATGCTTGCCCTGTAGATGCTGGCGTTGAACTCGAACAAAGTGTACAGCGAAGTGGACGGTGTCGAAGTGCTTCTGCGGTACAACTGCTTGAGTGCTGGCATGTGCAAGATCTTGATCCATCCAGAATGGGGTGCCGCCGTGTATCCTGCGTCGTTGTTTACGACAGCCCCGTCGGACTTGGTCCTCGACATCGTCTCCAAAGGGTTTGTCCAACACTAGATCATTCCTGCGTGAGCCATATCGTAGGGATTCACGCAGCAGCATATATAACGATATCTAATACTAGTACAATGTACCCCAGTTGTTCATGTACACTGGTGCTGGTCAATCCCACACCCTTGAGAGCACGATGTCAGGTCCATAGCGAATGGCAAACTGCTTCTTCCAAAGTTAATGCGGAACAATCGCATGGGAGCTCAAGGTACCGGCTGTAGTGACCTTGGCTTGCAGCATGGCACTTCGCCAACTCGCCTCGAGTACACTCCGGCCAAACCCAAATAATGCGGTGTTTGAGGGTTTTGAACCATTGTAATATCCAAACTAAAGGGATATCGGATGTTAAGGGTATAGGATGTTGCAGTGCATCATCCTCAATGTAAGTCTTGACCAGCAGCGGGAAAGATGCGGCTGGAAATTGAAGGGCTCGAAGTGCTCTTTCCATATCCCCGTGTGTATGCAGAACAGGTCACATACATGCGGGAGCTCAAGCGCGCTTTGGATGCCAAGGGACATGCCATGCTTGAGATGCCCACGGGGACAGGCAAGACAGTCGCGTTGCTGTCGCTTGTGTTGTCGTACAAGGTATCCAAATTGTTGCCACCATGTTGACTCATGTGCGGGTGTGTGGTAGTACGCCCATCCCCAAACGACAGGCAAGCTCATCTATTGCACGCGCACGGTGCCTGAAATGTCCAAGTGTGTGGAGGAAATCAAGCACGTGATGACGTATCGCGCCGAAGTGTTGGGTGCCCAGGCCACGACGATCACGGCAGTGTGTCTCAGTTCTCGGCGCAACATGTGCGTGCATCCTCGCGTCATGAACAACCCCGACGGCGAGACCGTGGACGGGCAGTGCCGGCAAATGACCGCGTCCTGGGTGCGTGGCCGCGCCGACGCCGGCATGAACGTGGAAACGTGCAGCTTTTACGAAAACTACGACCGGCGGTCCACGGACGAGCAGGTGCTCGAGAGCGGCGTGTACACGTTGGACGACCTCAAGGCACTGGGCACCAAGCGGGGCTGGTGTCCGTACTTCATGACGCGCCAAGCCATCGGCACGGCCGACGTGGTCGTGTACAACTACCAGTACATGCTCGATCCCAAGGTGTCCCAGATGGTGTCGCGCTCCCTCGAGCGGGATTGCATTGTCGTGTTCGACGAAGCGCACAACATTGACAACGTGTGCATTGAAGCGTTAAGCGTCACATTGAATCGTCGGGCACTGGATCGGGCCTCGCGCAACCTCACTACCATCAGGTAGGTACTTTCATTCGATATACTTACTATGCACATGTGGTGTCCTGATTAGTCTAATACGTTTACATGTTCTTGTCGGGTTGGTTTCGCTTTGCACTCATATATATGTCCATGTTGACAGTACAACCGTGAGCCGCATGAAGCAAGCAGACAAGGCCAAGCTCGATGCCGAGTACCGCCGCCTGGTCGAAGGGCTGCGATCGAGCGGGACGGTCGTGGGGGTGTCGGACGCGAGCGACTTGGCGGCTGCCAACCCCGTGCTGCCCGCCGACGTGTTGGAAGAGGCTATTCCAGGTCTATCAAGTCAATTCGTCGCCGCCAGCGTACTTATCATGTGTGGGATTCTTAGGCAACATTCGCCGCGCCGAGCACTTCCTCGCGTTCCTCCGGCGGGTCATAGAGTACCTCCGCAAACGCATTAAAGTTCGCCAAGTCGAATCCGAAACGCCCGCCGCCTTTCTCCATACAATGCAAGTGGAGATTGCGATCGACATCAAGCCACTCAAGTTTTGCTACTCGCGGCTCAACTCGCTGCTGCGGACACTCGAGATTACAAACCTCGAAGAGTACAACTCGCTGTCCCAAGTCGCCAACTTTGCCACCCTCGTGGCGACGTACACGGAGGGCTTCATGCTTATCTTGGAACCCACAGACGAATTCAACCAGCCCCAGCCCATCCTCCAACTCGCGTGTCTCGATGCATCGCTCGCTATGCGACCGGTATTTGAACGGTAGGCCGACGGCAATGAATGATCACCTCGAGCTCGTCGATTTCGATCTGGTCAAGCTATCAAGGCTGCTCATCTCAGTCTTGTGTTGATTTTAATACGGGTGTGTCGGTCTTATCGTCTAGTGTTCCTTTGTCACATATTGTCCTTTTCACTGAAATTTGGACTTTTGGCCACCTGATTCACATTTGCAGGTGAACATTTTGATCTGGGCCAAACTATACGATTCGATATGATTGGTTAAAATTTCTCGTTAGTGAAGTTTGATTGGCTAGGACATTCTCAAATACATTTGTCAAATTCATATACTCGAAAGTCCAAATTGGAACAGATTTGACAATATCCTTATATCGCCTTTTGACAATATCCTTGTATCGCCTTTTGACAATATCCTTATATCGCCTTTTGACATTATCCTTGTATCGCCTTTTGACATTATCCTTGTATCGCCTTTTGACAATATCCTTATATCGCCTTTTGACAATATCCTTATATCGCCTTTTGACAATATCCTTATATCGCCTTTGGACATTATCCTTATATCTCCTGTTTGAACGTGATATTCGACATGCCGTTCGCACTTACAATTGGTGTCATCTACAGTGCATACATTTCGCTAGATTGTGTTAGATGCGAATAACACTGTAACAATATGATTCCATTTTCAGCTTGAACGAGGTTTGGACATATAACTTTAACTAATTCATTTGCTTCTTTGATAGGTTTTCCACGGTGGTGCTGACGTCAGGGACGCTGTCACCAATCGATTTGTACCCTCGTCTGTTGAATTTCTCGCCCGTGGTGCGCGAATCCCTGCCCATGTCTGTGTATCGATCGTGCATTTGCCCGCTCGTGATCACGCGAGGCAGTGACCAAATGCCCGTGAGTACCAAGTTTGACCTTCGCGACGACTTAAGCGTCGTGCGCAACTACGGCGGGCTGCTGCTCGAGATGGCGGCGTGCGTGCCGGATGGGATGGTGTGCTTCTTCCCGTCGTACATGTATATGGAGAGCATCATCCAGCAGTGGGACGTGCTGGGCGTGCTCAAAAAGGTGCTGGCACACAAACTCATCTTTATCGAAACCAAAGACATTGTCGAGACCACGCTCGCCCTCGACAACTATAAGCGCGCGTGCGAGATTGGCCGCGGCGCCGTGTTCTTCTCGGTGGCGCGGGGAAAGGTCGCGGAAGGCATCGACTTTGACCGCCACTATGGCCGCGCCGTGCTCTTGTTTGGGATTCCGTTCCAGTACACGCTGTCCAACACGCTCCGCGCGCGCCTCGAGTACCTTCGGTACACTCACCACATTAAAGAGGGCGACTTCCTCACATTTGACGCGCTCCGCCAAGCCGCGCAGTGCGCCGGCCGCGTCATCCGTAGCAAGGCCGACTATGGCATCATTGTGTTTGCCGACTCCCGCTACAACCGCCACGACAAACGATCCAAGCTGCCCCCGTGGATCAACCAGTTCCTGCTCGAGTCGCACTTGAACTTGAGTGTCGACATGGCTGTGCACATGTCCAAGAAGTACCTGAGTCTCATGGCGCAACCCGTCGATGAGTCGACGACCGTGGCCAGCATCTTGCTCGACGAAGCCGCCGTGGTCAAGCACTTGGAAGGAGGCAGCAGCAAACGGCCTCGGCTAGAATAAGCATACTGCTAATCGAATGTGCGCAGCCAGCATTTGTTTCATATTGTATGTATTATGGCCACCCAAGCGTGGGGGCATGTCAACTCTGATTGAATGTGACGGGAGCTCGGTCGACTAAACCGTGCGATGAGGAGACCCATCCAAACTGCCAGGAACAAAAAGAGCCGAAGTATAATATGCCGTGTTGCCATTGCTCTTTCGAAATACCAACTCCATAGAACCCCAGCCTCGTACTATATCAAGGTACAGGTACTGTAGATACGAGACTGCCTTGACACACAGCCTCGGTTTATATCTTGTCAAGAGCTCCACCGAAGTAACGAGGAATGGCATGTTCCACCCCCGCTACGTTTTCCGCTGCTCGAATGTGGCCATGGTTTCTTCGGTCATTGAGCAGCGTTGGCAACCATTCAATGGGACCAGTGTTCTCGTTAAGTTATGGCTTTTTATCTTGCACTGGAGTCAGCCGGACCTTTCGCCCGGGGGTGCCCACTCGAGGCGACGCTCGAACGGGCGACCCGAGGACTGTATGTTGGATGGTAAAACTCGCAATCGATTTCATGCCCCCCCCTACGTCCGCCTTCTTGACGTCAAACACTGGTGGCGCCCTCCTCAGGGCATTGTCCTTGGTCACTGGTGGGGGGGCCTGTGGTTGCAGCGGGTCCAGTTTCCCATCGGGCTTGTCTCCGTCGGGTAGGATCGCCAGCCCTGTGACAGGCACGGGGGCGAACGGAGTGCGCAGCTTGGTAAACATCTTCTGGCTCGAGAATTCCATGGACACGAGTTTCTTCCACCCCGCAGATCGGACCGCGTTGCCTTGGTTGCTGTGCGAAAACAAGACCTTGCGCAGCACGTCCAAGTTGTCTTCCATCTTGTCGGCCGAATTGCGGTTTCCGTACGCGTTGTCGATGCTTGGCACAACGCTGTCGAGCGTGCGCATGACCATCTGGTCGCGGGAGACAGTGAATCCCTCCGAGTACCCCAGCGACAGGATTGGAAACAGGGGCACGTGGAGAGTTGGGATGTCGGCGGGGCGGAGCTGTCTCGCCGCCGACGGTTTCGCAAGGGGAAGGGGGCCGTCCTGCGCCCGCACGAGGAACTCGCGGTCCTGCTCCCACTCACACGCCACGCCCGGGACGTACCCGCCGTCGTCCCCGGCGTCGATGAGCTGGAACAACATGGACGAGATGTGCTTTTCACCCGCGACGTTGGGCCGGACAAACTCGGCGAGCGCTGTGACCAGGTCGATGCTCATCTTTTGGATGCTGATCGTGACTGCGTTGTGTATGGTCGCAGGTTTTTTCAAGTCTTCCAGCAAATCCAACGTGAGCGAGATGACGCCATTTGACGCGAGCGACGGCTTGACGCTTTGCTTTCGGGCGAGGAGGCAGAATGTCGCGGTGCAGTTGCGCTTGACGTACAGGTTGGACGTGGTCGCCAGCAGCGACACGACGCATGGCACGGCGCCTTCGTCCACGAGCTGCTGGATGTTGCCGGGCGGCATTGACAGTTTTCGAAGCACGGCCGAGCACAACACGTTACTTTCGACGCCCCCGACGGCGTGCGCGCACAGCCACAGGATCGGCGTGAGGGCGCCCTGCGTGAGCATGACACTCGAGTTGACCCGGCCAAGGAGCAGGTTGCACACGCCGATGGCTGCGTCTTCCTTGGCAATTCTCAACGCGTTCTTGGCGTTGAAAATTGACCCCAACAACGTCGTCGCATGGTCGTTGACGAGCTGCGCGTGGCACGACCCTTCGCAGCTCAAGTTGCGCATGATGGCGGCGCACATGGCCACCGACGGCGGGCTGTCCCCTTGCGACGACACGATGAAAGAAATCGCCGACACGATGCCGCTCTTGCAGACGTGGACGAGGAGGTCGTCTCGGCACGAAATGTTGTAGATGGCGCGCATGAGTAGCAGCATCACGTCGAGGTTTGGACCGCTTTCTCGAATTGTGTCGAGGACCTTGGAAGAGGTGAGTAGTACTTTCAGGTACATAGCCGACATGACGTAGATAGCTACAAAAGAGATCCAGTACCGTGGTCATGGTGTCGTTGAGGATCAATACACGCACAGTCTTGTCGTCTAACGACAGCACGTGCAAGAGAATGGCACAGCAATGCTTGGTGGCGGCGTCGTTGGTCTTGAGGAGGTGGCCGATGATGTGCAATGTCGCTTCTTCCATGTACTAAGCAATACAATTAACTACTACGTATTAATCAACATGTTATGTTGTGACATGCTTTCGAGCGAGCTTCGGGGGACGACTGGAACGCCGCCGTGAGGATCTGCGCCACCATCCGTCGGATGTCCACAGACGCGGCTTCAGCCAAGTGATTCAATTCCCCCAACAGGCCCGCGTTTAGCAGCGGAGGCGCCACGTCAATGTCCGTGAGCAAGTTCAATATGCCTAATCTTCAATCAACGGAGACTGTCAGGGTCTACCGAAAGGTACCTTTGAGCATCGTGGCGCCGGCGGGGGTGTCGTAGATACGGTGCAAAATGTGCAGAAAGCACGTCAACGTTGAAACCTACACGAATCGACGACATCACGAACGAACGACGAAGGAATGTTCGTTACCTTGGCCAGCCCCTTGCGTGTTTCTTTGTAGAACGACAGCCCGCAAAACGCATCGGCCAAGATGGGAAAATCTTGTTCTTCGCTCGACATGGCAAAGATCGTGAACGCCCACGGGAGGCCATCGTTGCACATGGTGGGGATGTTGGCTTCGGACCGCATTAAGTTCATCACCTACACACAACAAGACAATGACAAGTGGCAACATAGACTAGACTTTTGGGACATACGGCCTTCATGCACATGCGGCGGGTGATGGCGTCGTTGGACTTGACGCACGAAATGACCAGCAGCGCTTTCAACGCGCCGTGCTTGACCAACGTGACAATGTTGTCTTCGCTCGTAGACAAGTTGCAAAACGCAATCGCACATGCGCGTCGCACATCCTCTTCGGGGGCGGCTGCCAAACTCGCCAGCGAATGCACGATGCCCTTTTCAATCAGTTCGCGACAGATACTCGGGTCGCAGCTCAGTTGCGAGTACGTGCTCACGACGAGCTGTATCGTCTCGGGGCTGTCTTCTCCTGCCAAGAGCGACAGGGACGCAATGAGCCCGTTGCGCACCATCTGCACTCGACACGGCTCGACCATGCCAAACCGAGCAAAGCAGGCGGCACAGCCAGCATTCACGAGCGAATCACCTCGCTCGCACAGCTGAACGATGGTGGGGAAGACGGCGTAGATGAGTGCCATGGCCAACGCTTCCCCGAGTTGTTGCTGGTCCAAGACGACGCAAATGATGTCGAGGCATTTGCAAGGGGTTTCAAAGTCCAATGACGTCGCGGACGGGAGCTGCAGGAGGTTCACGAGCACGTCGAGGACCCCGTCGTGGGTGAGGAGGGGCTGGTGCAGCGACGGCGCTTGGAACAGGTTGAAGAGCATGCCGCACGCCAGCGCACGGATGTCTTCCCTGGGGCTTTCCTTGCCAAAATGGAGAACGCGAGCAAGCGATGGCTTGGCCACGTCTGTGGGGGGAAAGCGCAATGTAATGTTGTACAAGAGGACCCCCTGGAGGTATTCGTCGGCGCCACTCGGCTCAAAGCTCTTGTACAGCACGTGGTAGAGTAGTTTGGGGAGGTAGGCCAAGTTGTACAGGAACGAGTGCGAGTCTGGTTTGGTGAAGGCGAGGAGACAGCCGAGCCCGTGGAGTACGTACCGGGAGATGTTCTTCATGTCCTGCGACGTCGAGTGCGTGTAGGACACGAGCAGTTCGAAGAACGCCACGTCGACATGTCGGACGTTGCGCTCGCCCGCGAGGATCAGCGACATGCATTTGTACACGGACGTTTTCAGAGCCGGGTCCACGAGGAGGTTGGAGAGGTGCGCGAGGGAGCTGAGGGCCCCAACGTTGGCCATTGCTTCGCAGCCGAGGGATTCCGTGGCCACGTTGTCTAGGGTGGCAAAGATGCATCTACCGAGAACCATCAGTACATTATGAGTGTGGGGATCGAACGAGGGGGGATACCGCAGGTCCTGGATATCTGTGGTGGCTTTTAAGCTCGTGACAAGTGCCCGAACCGACCCGTGCAGGATCAGCGCCCGGCGACAGCCTTCGGTATCGGACAAACACCACAGCGAATGCAATGCGTTGCTTCGAATGACTGGGTCGGACGTGGTCACCGCGAGCACGTTGACGACCTCGAATGCGTCCGGGATGGCGGCGATTTTCATGCGGTTGGACTTGGTGGCCGTGAGGTTGTAGAACGCTTGACTCAGCAGCAGCCGGTCGCGGCAGTCGCGGCCTAGTTAAAATGTAAACACCATCCAAAGAAGGAGACTCCTATACCGTGCTCAACCAACGCACGCATGACGTCGTTGATGCGCGGGTACGTGTACGATGGACAGCTCAAGTTGAAGAGGGTGAAGGACGCGAGTCGCTCGACCGCGTCGCTGGCTTTGTGGTGCTGCACCATGCTTTCCAGCGCTTTCTCCTTGACAAACATGGACTCGAAGCTGTCTTCAATGCTCAAGTTGGCAAACGTCGCCAACACGTTGAAATGGTGGTCTGTGTTGCCAGGCAGGAGCAAGGCCGCTTGGAGCAACGACAGACACCCGTGCTGCAGCATCAGCTCACGGCCGCGTTGGCTGCCGCTCAAGTGGCACAGCGCCGACACGCACAGCTGCGACGTGACCGCGTCCTTGGACCGACACAGAGACAGCAACGTCGGAATCACGTTGTCGGAGAAAAGCGTCGGGTGCAAAATCGGGTTGGACGCCATGGCATCGATGGCATGCGCACATTGCCGTTTCCGAGTCGTGCGGGAGTCTCGTCCTTCGTCCTTGACGTCGGGGATGATGGAGTCGCGGTGGTTCCCTGCCCGCGACATGGGCTTCAACTTGGACATACCCGTTTTGCGTGTGGATGACGAGGATGATGGGGTCGACAACCTGTGGTTCAAGTCCGAAGGAAGGGGGGGGTTGGTTTTGCGCGGAAGGCGAGACAGGTACAGCAGCGCTTCCGTGTACAGACCTCGTTGGTAGAATACATCGCCGTGGTAGCAGAACCCCAGATGCGGAATCGGACTGTGGTGTATCATGTGTACGTCGTTGTCGTCGTTCAAGTGGTCGCTGTCCTCGTCCGAGTCGGAAGCATACGGCTCCACATCGTCGAGGATGCTGCCCCCCCGGCCAAGGATATTCGCCAAGCTGCCCCGCCGATGTGGCACCCCCCCGTCATCCATCGACCGATACAGTCCTTCCCGCCCTTCCATGTGTTGGGGTTGCGCCACACCTTGGCTAAAAATACTTGGCTCCATTTTGTGTTTATTCAGCGTCAGGCTAACTATTTAATTGTCCTTTTTGTTTGCTGGAGCATAGTCAAGTCAGGGTGTAGGACAGCCGTTGCCTGAATGTAAGAGTAACCTACAATTACCATCAAGTACCTTGCTTGGCACTGCTTTGCGATGGTGGAATTACACGTATAACGTTATTTGAACTGATATGAGACTCTTCTGTGCTTTAGAAACGGCCAAATCACCAAACCTGACGGGTAGGTGGTATATGTATTGACATGCTGTGGGAGGACTTCGTATGCCTCAAGGTATACAACATAACACCCACGTGATTGCTATAGTGTATTATTTTACTTGAAGTAGACTACTGTCTTCAAGAAGAGGTGCCTAATTAATCGCCGAAAAAGCCGCCGTCGCCGCCGAAGAAGCCGCCATCGCCACCGTAAAACCCGTGACCGTCATCCGACAAGGCCGCGCCAAGCAGGACGCCTCCAGCCACGCCCAGGCCTAGACCAAGGCCAACCCCGCCTCCGTTGTCACCGTAGCCGTAGCCATAGGGATTGCCGTACATGGGACCTCCCACCACCACAGGCGGACCTACGACCACTGGAGGGGGCATGTACACTGCTTGCGGCTGCTGCACATACACCGGGGGCGGCTGCGCATACACCGGCGGGGGCTGCGCGTACATGGGCTGGCTGTACATTGGTTGTGGTTGGGGCGCGTATTGCGGAGGTCGCTGGGCCGCGGCGGCCATGTTGGCTTGCTGCTGGGCCAACTGGGCTCGCTGCTGCTGCAATTCCTGCTGCTGGTGTTGTAGTTGGGCTTGCTGCTGCTGGATCGCTTGCTGTTGCTGCTGGTTCAGCTGCTGCTGTTGCTGTTGAATTTGAGCTTGTTGCTGCTGCAATTGGGACGACGGATTGCTTGGCGCACCGGGGTACGCAGGCGGGGCTGGGGCAGAGGGGGCGCTAGGATACGACGGTTGCGGGGCGGTGTACCCTGCCTGCGGAGGAGCTTGTGGGGTAGGATAGCCATGTTGCTGGGGAGGAGCATATCCTTGTGGGGGGCCAGGGTAAGCAGGTTGAGCGGGGTATGCAGGGACGGGAGCTTGGTAGCCACCGGGAGGTGCGACACCAGGTTGACCTGGCAATCCCATCAACTGCACGCGAAGGTTGATTTCGCCGCGGTGATTCTTCCCGCGAGTGACGGGGTACCATTGGTCCACAACTTGACCATGAAGGAAGGAATTGACGGGGACGCGGCATTGGCCAATGTACGCATTGTCCACGACATTCTTGTCTTCGATCGTGATGACGATTTGCTCCAGTTGGGGATCGTTCACCCGGAAGATGAACTTCTCATTCCACACAGGGAAACGGCCTCCGTTGTCATGCACCTTGGTCTTCTGTACTTGGTTCCCCACTTGGACCTTGCAGAACGGATCCTGCTTCCCAAACGTCTGGGCGTCATACAGGTTCCGACCGCTCACCGCACGGACATGGAGCTCCGGCATTTGTTGGGTCCGTCGCCAATCCAAAAATGGAACCACAGGAAAGCTATTTTTATTCCCGAGGGATTACTTACATACAAATACCAATACCCGTTGTCGACTTTGTTTTTAAATTTTTCCCTGTCCCACGCCTTGCTGAATTTCTTCAACCAACATTCCGAGACACAATTCAAATCTGCCTGCTTTCGGTATATCTACTGTAGTGTATGCACCGTATAAAGACCTCTCTATCGCTCTGTTACTACGTACTACGTGTAGGTCGAGCGCTAGTACGTAAGTTAGGTCGCACCGTGGTGCTGTACAGGTTGACGTTGCAGATTGTATGTATGTGGCCGGCCTGTGAACAAAAATGTCAATGACAAAAAGTGATACCCAAACACCCACCCACCCACCCGGTTAGATCGCCATTAATTGCAGCATTGTATGTTAAAATACTACTTGGACTATTTTAATCCTTGGAGTATGGATTTTATAACTTCGTACTTCGAAGTACTCATACAGTACTTTGTATTAATAGCCGTCGTATTCGACATTTAAATACTTCGTATATTAGTATTAATCCTCATTGTTGTATCTTTATTTAATGACGTTATGAATTTCGCACTTCAAATACCCGATGCAGTCAGGGATGTATTTTTATGTTGATGGAGGAACTTTTGCATTTTTGAAAGGCCAGTTTTGAACGTCGAAACAGCATGCCAGAGCTCCAAGTCCGCGTCAAGGGCGCCACCAACCTCCGCAGCGTCCAGTTCATAGGCAAACAAGATCCATACTGCGAAGTCAGGTTGGGTGGACGAGTGTTTCGCACTCGAACGCACGACAATGGCGGCAAGAATCCACGATGGGAAGACACGTTCGTGTTCAACGTGATGGACCCACAGGTGGAACAACTATTGATCGTCATCAAGGACCACAACTGGGTCAGCGACGAATTCATCGGCACGTGCAACGTTCCTTTGAATGCATTCCTCCACGGTCAGATGGTCGATCAATGGTACCCCGTCAACCACGGCCGCAAGCAGAAAGGCACTATCAACCTAGCCATCCAACTCCTCCTCGGCACAGGGCCTACGGCGGGCTACGCAGGCCAAGGCATCGTTCAACCAGCGTACCCTCAACAACCTCAATATCCTTCTCATCCGCAACCCCATTATGGCGCTCAACCTGGGTACCCCGGCTATGCACCTCAACCAACGTACCCTGCGCAACCGAACTTACCTCCGCCAGCATACTCTGGCTATGCCCAGCCTTCGTACCCTGGTGCTCAGCCAGGCTACCCCGCAACCCACGGAGCGCCCAACTATCAGCCTTATCCTCAACCGGGCTACCAAGGCGCCTATCCTCCGCCGTACCCCACGGCACAACCTGGCTACCCAGGGTATTCATCCTCACAAGTGTAATCAATCGAGATCGTTTAGAGTGTTAATCGTTCATGTTTGTGGACATCTGAGACATAGATTTCGTCCACAAGTACACATCCACCATCCGTTGCGTCGTGATCTACTAAGCTACACTGTGTACTAGTTAGTATGCCTACCTACCTCCTTCATCGGGTGATACAATATACTGCTATAGTACTGCAATATGAAGTTATATAAAGGGCAGCGTTACTGTACCCCGTAGGTTCGCTTCCTTCTAATGCGAAACTTGGTGTTGCACTAGGTGTACATACTTTCCATCGGGGATCGCCATGAGTTGGTCGTGGGTGCCAAGCTCGACAATCTTGCCTCCGTCCGTGACAGCAATCACGTCGGCATTTCGAATCGTCGACAGCCGGTGGGCCACGATGATGGTCGTGCGCCGTTTGAGCTGCAGCAGCGCGTCCAACGAGGCTTGGACGAGGCGTTCGCTTTCGTTGTCCAGCGCACTCGTGGCTTCGTCCAGCAGCAAAACCTCTGGATCTCTCAGAATGGCCCGGGCTATCGCAATGCGCTGCTTCTGTCCTCCCGACACTTGTACACCTCGGTCCCCTACTTGGGTATTGTACTTGTCTGGGAACTGCATGATAAAGTCGTGCGCGTTGGCCTTCCTGGCCGCATCCTCCACCTCATCCGCCGTCGCCCCTGCCTTGCCCGCGGCAATGTTGTCGGCGATCGTGCCTGCAAACAACACCGGTTCTTGTCCGACAAGGGAGATGTGCTGCCGCAGCCACTGCAGGTTGAGCGAGCGAATGTCGACACCATCCAGCAATACGCTGCCCTCCACCGGATCGTAGAAGCGCTCGACGAGGGAGATGGCCGTACTCTTGCCACACCCGCTGGCTCCCACTAGGGCCACCGTGGCGCCACTTGGCACCTTGAGCGAGTACCCGTCGTAAATGATGGCATGCGGGCGACTCGGGTACGCGAACTTGACGTTGACGAACTCTAGGGCGCCTTGGACTGTCGGCAGCGTATCCCCGTCTGAGGTGGTGGCGGTGGACGTGCACTTGATAGGCGGCTCGCGGTCGATTGCGTCGAAGAGGCGGACCGCGGCCGCTTTGGCCTTGCCGCTGTCGGCCACGTCTTGCATGGCCATGCCCACGCCGAATGTACTCAGCATGATGGCCATCATGACGACAAACATACCATGAAAGTCGACGTAGTTGCGGACGATCAGCCACCCGCCAAACCAAAACAGGAATGCCAGTGCAAAGTACATGACTCCCTGGCTCACGCCGAACCCGACGCCCCCAAACAACCCTTTCTTGACGTCTTTCGTGGATGACGCTTCGAGATGGCCAATGTACCGACTGTGCACTTGCCCCTCTAGGGTGAACGACGCGACGGTGCGGATCGAGTTGATGGATTCCGACAGCAGCGCGCCCGCTTGGACGTCGCCTTCGTTGAGGGCTTTGCCGTGGCCAGACATGAGCGACATTTGAACGAATGTGGCTGCTCCCATAAGGGGAAACACACCAATGAGGGCCAGCGTCATGTGCCAGCTGTAGTAAAACCCAATCGAGAACGCCACGACCAGAGTAGACGATGCCACAAAGACTCGGTTCATGAGGTCTCCCGTCATGGACTGGATGATGGCCGAGTCGGTGGCCAGCAGCGTCGTGAGCGCGCCGGACGAGTGCGCGTCGAACCAGCCAATGTCCTGGTGCAGCATGGAGACGAAGCCTTGCTCCCGCAGCCGCCGCGTGAGCCGTTCCGACACGACTGCAAACGAGTAGTTTTGCGTCGTCACGGCTACGAAATACGTTGCGCCCAACACGAGAAACGCGATGGACCACGTCACAGCTTCGGCTTTCATTTCATCGGGCGTCAAATTGTACTTGAAGTACAAGACTGTGACGTTGACAAAGAGGAGTCCCCACAGGGGAAACACGGCGCCGTGGATCAAAGCACCGAGGGACCCGCAGAGGATGTACCAGGCTTCGGGACTGTTCATGCGCCACAGCCGACTAAGCGCAACGGACTTGTGTGATGCAGCGGCGTCTGGCGCCATGTCAGCGGTGGACACGACCGAGTGTTCGGAAACTTTGGCGACGTCGATGGACGTTTCAGCCAGCTGGGTCGTCTTTGTGGCTTTAGCCGATTGGGTGGTGGCGGTACTCGCCGCAGTGTTGGGGGAGGACGTGGTGGGACGGGCTTGGGCTTCGACGAGTTTCTTGTAGTGGCTGTCTGGGCGACTGATGAGATCGTCGTGGCTACCTTCTTCCACCACGTGCCCTTCGTTCAGCACGACAATGCGGCCGGCATCGCGGATCGTCGAGAGGCGGTGGGCTATGATGATGGTCGTGCGCTGGCGAGTGGCGAGGAGGGCATCCAGCGACGCCTGGACCACATGTTCGCTCTCGGCATCGAGCGCGCTCGTGGCTTCGTCCAGCAACAACACTGCCGGGTTCTTGATGATCGCCCGGGCGATGGCAATGCGTTGTTTCTACCAGCAGCCATCACTCCTTCAAGCAACGTCAAAGCGGTGGCAGATTGAAATACCTGGCCTCCAGACAGTTGGGTGCCTCGCTCGCCCACTTCCGTGTCGAATCCACTCGGGAATGCCACAACAAAGTCGTACGCGTTGGCTTGTTTGGCGGCTTGGTAAATATCGTCCAAGGTCGCGTCGGGCTTGCCAAATCGAATGTTGTCGGCAATCGAGCACGAAAACAGGCATGGCTCTTGACCTACGAGGCCAAACTGCGCGCGGAGCCACTTGACGTTGAGCGTCTTGAGGTCGTGGCCGTCCAGCTTGACGGTGCCGTCCACAGGGTCGTAGTAGCGTTCGAGCAGCGACACTATGGTGCTCTTTCCACTGCCACTCGGGCCAACGAGGGCTACCTTTTCACCAGCTTTGATGTGCAACGAATAGCCGTTGCACACTTGCACATGGGGGCGGGACGGGTACTGGAACGAGATCGAGTCCAGTTGAATGTCCCCGTCGACGTGATCCAGCTTGGTGCCGACGTCCGACGTCGCATCCACCAACGATGGCCGCTCAATCATGTCAAACACGACGCTGGCGGCGGCTCGGGCCGAGAACACCGCCTGGAGGCTTGGACCGGCTTGACCCAGCGCCATGGCGCTCATGATGATGGAGAAGAACACGATGAGTACGCGGCCGCCGTCGTAGCAGTTGTCGGTGCACTTGGGCAAAGTCAGCTGGTCGGTGGCGACTTGCACGGCGCCGTACCACATCCCAAACGCATAGGTTATAAAGACCATGCCGAACATGCACCCGGCGCCGAGGCCGACGGACAGCCCTTTTCTTATGCCGGCCTTTTCCGTGGCCAGAAGCGCCGCCTTGTACTTGGCTGCAAATGTGTCCATCAAGTTGAACATCTGGACGGTGCGGACGTTGGACAGCGATTCTTCCGCGATGCCGCCCGCCGTGCCGTACGCGGCCACGGACGCCGTGACGGCCGACGTCAGCGCTTTGACCATGAAGAACGCGGCGATGCCAATCAAAGGCGTGAACCCGAGAAGCGCCAGCGCCAACTTCCACCCTTTCAACAGCCCAATCACGAGGCCGCCGACCCCCATTGCCGTGAAGTTGATCCCGTCGCCGAGTTTGCGGCCCATGCCGTCGTGGATGATTAGGGTCGTGTCCGCGACCTTGGTCGCCAGTTCCATGGAGTTGTTGACGTCGAACCACCCGATTTCCTGCCGCAAGATCGCACGGATGTACTCTTGCTTGATGCGCTTGCTCTGACGGCTGGCCGAAATCGACCAACACGCGACTTGGCCAAACCCACACACCAGCACACCAAGTCCGAGCCAAACGAACTTGATGGCAACTTCGTTGATGCCAGAAGACATGGACGTTTGCATGGCTTCAACGTCGGAGGCATTCAGGACGACAGTGGGGGGGGGCGGGTTAAACGAGTTCATGATTTCGCCAAAGAGAAGAATTTGAAGGGGCTGGGAAAACCCAGTTCCCGCGGCGCAGATCGTACCCACGAGCATGAGCCAAACGTCCGTCGAATCGGCAAACTGGAACAGCTTTGTGAGCGGTGCCAACTTCTTGTCGTCTTCTTTGGGGGTAGCGGTGGCTTCTTGGTCAGATGGAGCGGCAACGTCCACGGCTCTCGCAGACGGCGATTGCACGGCTTGATATGGAGTCAGCTCATGCTGGTCGTGTTTTGGCATGGCCATTTCGTTTCACTATTGATGGCAGGTTCAACAATGATATGCACCTTGCGTCATGCTTCAAACGCACAATCGGACAAAAACACGTCCAACGCTTGCAGTGAAAAAATTGTCTTGAGAATTGTATGCATGCCATATTGTGGTTGTTCCTATACAAACATATACCAGTCTGTTCCGCAACAGCTGTCACCTCCAACTTCTTATTGGCGGGATTTTTCTACAGTGATCCCCCGATTTTAGCAGCCTGGTATAAACTAATATCCCATGTAAAGCTATACAATATTAAGTTCAAGAGGGATTAATACAATTTGAAATTCAAACGATTGTAGCCAATCCGGCGCAACAACCGCAGGTCAACGACATTTGATCTCAGTGCAATCACACAATGCCATCACCTGCCAAGCGACTGACGCTCATTCAAAAAGACAGAGTACGAGCATATTACAGCTGCTCTTCCGACCGCACGTTATCGATTACATGTACGTGGATCACACAGGAGGTCGGCGTCATCGTGCATCCCACTACTGTTGGTCGCATTGTTCGGGATGATCGCACCAGCTCAGCAGCAAACATTGATGCAGACGTCACTGCGTCGCGCTGCAACATCAAGGGGCCAAAGCTAACTGAGCTTGACACTGAGTTGGCGGCTTAAGTACAAAATTCTCTCCGTAAGTTGCGTATTGGCGATCCCATGTCATTCGATGTACTTTTGAGTTAATAATGAAAGTACAATCTGTTTACTCCTCAAGTACTTGTTTATATCAGCATATACCGGGTATAACAGAACGTGGAGGTTAAATGCTCTTTGAAAACTAACAAGCTCTAACATAGCGTGGCCAAATAACCTATAATTGCCTTATTCAGTCAGGTATTTAGCCGAGGAACGGGTAGGAAAACCTCCTAATATGCATAACCCTTGGCGCTGATACCTCTATCTTATTATATTCCGACCAGGCTGCAAAAATCGGGGGATCACTGTAATTACATTTTAACCCCTGATTGGTGCATCGAACAGCGCAAGATCTCGTCTATGATTAGATAGTTTCAGCGAGTTCTAGACCGTTTTGCTCGAAAAGTTACGCGACCCCCAAGTATGCAGGAAATTGTTTTTGAACATCTTTTGTACGCAGTGCATTCATTACTCAATCTTCCAACTTCAAACAACGTACCAATCGTTCGCTAACCTGGTGGTATGCCTCCACCACAACCGTGCGCCCCTCCAGACCCTCTAAATGCCCCGGCACGCCGATTGGGAACGGCAACTCACCAGCATGGAGCGGCATACCATCTACGATACCCTTCTCGAAAGATCCGCAAGTGGCATACTGAGTCGTGGAGACTTCGTGGACGCTGCAAAGGACTTCAACTGTCAAGCACGCACAGGTTCGCGCGTGTGGTATCGTGGACGAAAGTCGATACTGAACGGCGATGTCGTGGCGGACGTAGCATCAAAATTACGTGGAAAACCTCTAGTAATTTATAGATATATTCGTTTTCATAGATATCAATATCAAGCATTGTACTATTTTAGGTAATTCTGGCAGTAAAAAAACGCGCTCAAAGGAAGAGATCGAAATAATCATTCGACAAGTGCCGCACCATGACCGCCAAACCTTGTGCTCTTTGGCCAAAAAGTCGAGCATTTCCAAGACAACAATCGTGCGACACATGAGGGATAATCCGCGTTTGAAGGCTCGCTCAAGTTACGTCAAGCCATTTCTGACCCCGGCGAACGTTGAAGCTTGCCTACGCTTTGCAATGGGGTTCGTTCGACCCTTGCCAAATGGAACCTTTTCTTTTATCAGCATGGACAATTATGTGCATCTTTCTATTTGACAAAGGTGAATCGAAGGTACTACGTGTAGGATGATGAACAAGTGGCGGCGCGAACTGTCAAGTGGAAGCACTTCATTACTAAGGTCATGTTTTTGGCGGCTGTTGCCCGCCCACGTTTTGACCCGCACACTAGGCGCGTTTTTGATGACAATATTGGCGTGTGGTCGTTCGTGGAGGTCGTGGCGGTGAAGCGAAAAAGCGTCAATCGCGACAAGGGAACCTTGGTGACTGTTCCCTTGTCTGTGAACGCTGAGGTGTACTATGATACTGTAGTTACTAAGGTTATTCCTGCTATAAAGTCGAAATTTCCTAGTAGTACTACTAGTAGTGGCAAATGTTTTATCCAGCAAGACAATGCGAGCCCCCACAAGTGCGTGACCACAAGAAAGCTCGATGACCGTGGAATTAGTGGTATCGAAATTGCTAACCAGCCTTCGAATAGTCCAGATTTTAACGTTCTAGACTTAGGATTCTTTAATTCTATTCAAAGTCTGCATCATCAAAAGTCAACTCGTTCAATCGAGGAGCTTGTCGATGCTGTGCAAGCCGCGTTCTATGAAATGCCTGTTGCTACCCTCTCGAAAACATTTATAACTGTGCAAAAAGTTATGGAAATGTCGATTGCAATTCATGGAAGTAATGACTACAAGCTTCCGCACATGAATAAAGACGCCAAGATAGCCGACCTCGCCTCGTACAATGTCAAGTGCGATGGAACAATCTATGAGAGTGCACTCATGCATTTGAATTGCCGCTTGGAACAAGAAGCACACCTCGAAGCAATCGTAAACTCCCAAGATCAAGACACCTCCGGCATTTAAAAAAATATAAAATAATTTTAGTTCCCATTATGTGTTGTCAGAGTTCAATACAAATTTCAAGACAAATAAATCGAGTGAGTATACATTAATCAAGTGAAATGAAGGATACAACTAATGGGGAACAGAGTAGTAAATTTAGTTACTAGAACTAACGATAGTTATGAATAAATTGTCTTGCGAATTGTATGGATGGATGCCATAAATATTATTGGTTGTTCCAATACAAACATAAAGTCACTGGAACAAACATTCTTCATGATTAGTGGCACATTCTGTGTCCGCGATCATGGGAATGCAGGTGCAAGCAATGAAGAATGAAAGTTCATTCCAGTTCAGATGAATATGGATTGACCACGTCATTGGTTCTTTGGGATTAAGCTAGGAACTCGTTCTACAAAGTCCTCAGGGGACCAGATGGGACACGTTTCAAACCGCCGAGACCTAGGGGGCTTGGCGGCTTTCTTGGCCACTGGCGGGGGTTTGGTTGTAGCAGGGTCGGCGGCTTCCTTGGCTTTGGATACCTTGGCTGTCGGCGGCGTCTTCGTAGTTCGTTTGCCAGATACGGCTGCTTTCTTGGTCGTGGGGGTTGCGTGGGGGGTCGTGACCTTGTGACCGCTGCTCTTGCGGCCCAACTTGAACAGCTCTCGGAGGCCGGCAAGGTCCACCACGTTGGTCAAACTCGCAGGGAGGCTCGCCACCATCTACACTACTGTGTCACACATATGGTTCTATACATCACATACCTTGTTGTACAAGCGATTTCGTTCTTTCTGAGTCGTCAGCGCCACAGTGTCTGCTTCGTCCAGTTGCTTCTTGTCATCTTGCTTGAGCAAGGGTCTACACACATCCATATCATCATATCCCATGAGCGTCGCCTTCAACAATCCCTCGTTCCATATGTATGTATACCGACCGGTATTCATTCTCCTTCACAACCCACTCATCCAACGTCGTCAATGCAAAGAACACTGCCTCGGCCAACGGTCCATCTGCCATCACAACTATATAGCACAACATGATCAAACACTTGGTCGAAAAATTCAACCATTCAACATGCCCAACCTTCTTTGATCTGCTCCGTGGTCAGTCGTGTTGGTCCCGCTTCGACTTGGGCTGCACGTAATGCCACCTACAACAACTCGCCCGTTCATACCACTTTGAGATATACAAACGTGTTCGAACTTGGGATTGAAACGCCGTGAACTGGTCGTCGATTTTCAACTTGATCTCTGCGGCATTGTCCCGCGCTTCCAGCATGATCATGCGTGCACGGAGGGTGGTCTTTGTGTACGGCAAAAACCCCATGAGATGCCCCATGTAGCCATTCACGCGCCACCGCTGCGGGTGCGCCGCCACGACCACCTTGTCCACTTCCCGCAGCCCTTCGTCAAGCGCTGGCGGCCACAGCTTGGGCGGTGGATTATTTTGACTGAAAACTATTCACAAGTTATTCCGTGAGATATCGATCGATCGACACGACGACGACGAAAAACGAACATTCAGACGCTTGGAGCTTGAACTTGGCGACGAGCGCGTCGACGTCCGGACCAGGCTGCCAGTCGTCATCCAAGTACATGTCGTCGTGGAGGGACTTCTTTGTCTTCTTCTTGGGCGATTCGTCGTCGCTCCCCCTATCCAAAGCCAACGCATGCGCCGTCGACGACGGTCCATGTCCCTTGTGCGACGGGTCCTTGACTGTCTCAATGTTGTCGCCGGCGTTGACAAAGAAGCCGCTGTGCTTTGTCTTGACGGTGCTTTGCATGTATGTGTTTTCGATCGAGTCGTGGAGATCCGAGTCGTCAATGAACGAGTCTTCCGAGTCGTACAGGTCGTCGTCGTCGACATGCTTTCGAACTGGAGTGGCCTTGCCCTTGATATCGAGGATGCCGCCTTTGCCATACCGTTGCTCCAAGTGCTCAATGATGTTGAATTTGCCCCGTGGTGGCAATGGGGTAGGCGACGATGGAGGTGGAAGTGACGGTGGACCAGCAGGAACCTCGGCAACGACAGGCGTCGCAGCGGACGGGACAGTACCAGGCTCGTCGTCGGTCAAATCTACAACGTTGGGATCGATGTCGTCATCTTTGCATTCCGACATGTCGATGGCCTTCGGTGGCGGCGGCGACACCGTCGTCGACTCCAATGACCTCCTTGACAACGCTTTGAAGTCCACTTCGCCTGTGTTGTCCAACGACACTTCAAAGCGGATCCGCATATTGTTGGTTTCCAATGCGCCTCTCCTACGACAAGTCCCTTCACTTAACATCATGAGCTACGAGCATGCGTACCTTGCGCCGAGATTCTGCGAGCGCCAAGCGGCGATATTTACGCGGTTTTCGAGATTCGTGAGCTCCAGCATTAACATACAGGATATACGTTATACGTTTAACGTAGGTAAAACTGTAAAACGTTCAGTTCTTTGACACATGAGTATTTGCAAAAGGCGTTAAACGTCCAAAGGTTTTTGAGTCATCCCAAGTAAAACTAAGGGATTGGCTAAAATACGGAATATTCCAAGATGTAAAGATATGATTGGCCATAATGATGTACATTTCGCGCGCTATTTCCAGCCATTTTGAAACGACGAAACGCAGTTTCAGTCGCGACGTCTACCGATCCAAGGCAACGATGGAGCATGGCGAAGCAGGCGGAGCTCCAGGTAATGACAAAGCGAACGATGGTTGACGGTAATGACGCATGCTCCTTGTGTAGAGTCCAATGGCAATCCGTTCACGCTTCCGTCGGACGAAGAAGTGTTCCGCATGCGAGACGACATCAAGAAGAAGAAGGAAGAGGAGCGTGTGCGCAATGCCAACCTGAAAATCCACGAGAAAATCACACATTCGTCCCAGCGAGGCAACATCCGCCGCTTCCACTTTGAAGAATCGGTCGGTCATTTCCCCATTCCAACGAACTCACGGCACATGTTCTTCCACCATTAGTCGCAAGATTTGGGCACGATCACACAGTCAAAGCAAACCCGAGGGTTGGTCGCGGCGGCCACGGCGGCGATTTCCAGTGACCGAAGGCGGGAAAAGGAGAACATGACGGACTTCATCTCGAAGAAGCGCGAAATGTTCTTGGTGCAGGTACGTGGCCATGCGTCGGTGTATATGAGCGAGCACACATCGACGATCGTCCCTTCAACTGTACGATAGATGTCGCTCGACACAAAACGAGAAGAGATCCGAAAACTCGAAGAGAAGGCGCAACTAAAGGAAGAAGCGTTGAAGAAGAGCGAGTTGATGCTTGAAGAAGACGCGGTGCGGTTCGACACGTTCCTCAAAGAGAACGATAAGAAGGCCCACGAAGCAATCAAGAAGGCTGAGAAGGAAACCAAGGCCAAGGCGGACCGAGTGCAGGAGATCAAGAAATTGAACCAACAGATCCAGTTGGTTCAGAGCGACATGTCCAAGTTGAAGGAGCAATTGGACGACTGCCTCAAGTACAAGGCCTTTCTGGACGAGTTAACACCCCCGGAGTGGGAGTCGGAGCAAAAAGACAAGAAAGCAAAGCGGTGAGACTGCGTTGGCGGCGTGTGTGTAAAATGGCTGATAGGCAACAAGAGCGCCTTCGAAAGAAGAAGGCCAAAGCGGTAGCCGAGTGGGAAGCCATCAAAGCCAAAGCATCCGCCGAACAAGAAGAGCGGGATCGCATCGAACGCGAGCGGAATGTTGACAAAGACGGCAAAGCCAAGAAGAAACCCGACAAGGCCAAGAACGCGGCGGCCGCTCCCAGTGTCTCGCCACCGATGCCAAACTTGGACGAGGTGGCGGTCACGAGTAGCGGCGAAGAGCTGCCCATGTACTTTCAGAATCCCCAGCAACTTTTGGACATTTTCACGGCGCTCGAGGAAAGCAACTTGTTTCTTATCCAAAACAGCCAAGAAACCGAGCAATCGCTCGAAGAACTCAAGCAAAACTACCGCGAAACCAAGAAAAAGATGAACAAAAAGACCCAACTATTGAAGCAAAACATTGACGACTTGAAAGACCAGATTGGCGTCGAAGATGCCAAGGCCAACCACTTGCGACAGCGGGCACAAGCTGGCACGGGCGAGAACGTGCAAGAGAAGATGCTCAAGGAACTGCATGACAAGGTGTTGGTCGTGTACCAACGCTGCGGCTTCGAAGCTGACTCGAACCCAAACACGCTGTTCATGCTCACAGACCTGGAAGCTCGGCTCGAAGATCTCCTCAGCGCCATCGAGCACATGCCCGAGGACTACGTGGTCAAGGCCGAGAAAGAGAAGGAGAAGGAGCGACGAGAACGCGTGCGCCAGGAGCGTATCTCGCAACAGACCAAGATGTACGAAGAACGCATGAAGAAATCCATGGAGCGTAGCATGCAAGCGCCAAAGAAGAGGAAGGGACGACAAGTCATGTGGCGGTCGCAGCCCCAGCGACAGACCAAGCTGCAAGAGAACGAGAGCAGCGTAAACGACGACGATCAGGCTGACCAGCAACACTTCAAGTGGTAGATGTCGTCGTCATTAGGGTCATTATGGTCATTACCTGGCATAGTTCTTGCATAGGCCCTGTTCGGGCAACTTGTCGCGTGATCTAACATGTAAATGCATATGGACCCATCGAGAGACCTACATTCCTGCATTTAGAATTGCACCAATCAGAGACGAGTATTCGTTGACATCCCCGCCAGTTATTTTGAATTTCGTCGCATGATCATGGACTCGGACTCAGATGATGATGTGTTCAACATGGACGCCGTGGTACTGACTGCAGACGAAGATGAGGACGTGTTAAGTGAAGGTGACATCCTCAAAGAAGCGGAACTGGCGGTCATTGACTCCAACTCTGTGCGGATCGAACAGCTGCAAACGCAAACCGCGAACGCACGCTCGCACGCGACACTTGACTTGGCACTGCTGCTCAGTCGAGGCGAATACGCCGATGTCGTGCGCCATGAATCTGTCCAATCTCTGTGGAAATCCCTCGGAGATGCTGTCCGACGCCTTGGCTTGACGACCAAGCATCCGTGCACGCGTATCACCCAAGCACTTGAAGAAGTTTTCGTCGCCGACCCGTCCAACATGCAACCGCTGTCGTACACTGTCTTGTTCGCTGGTGCTGCCTTCTTGAATTTGTTTGTGCAACTGAACTACACGGGCCCTGCCATGGAAGACGCGGCGTTGGCCGACCTCTTGCCGATGTTGCACGTCCTGCTCGATGACTCGACGGTGGAGGCCACCAAGAGTACGCTTCACAGCCACGCCCTCGTGTCGCTCCAGGTCGATGGAGAAAGTCCGTTTAGCATTTGCGAGTACCCAGTGTTCTTGGAAACCGCGCGGTGCCTTCTCCACTTTGTTGGGTTACAGTCCAAGGTGAACTGGACCCATTCCGAATCCGACGATCACATCACAAAGCCCACGCCGCTCGCCAACTTCCTCCGTCGGCCTCGCACCGTGCATGGCATGGCTCGGCCATTGAATCCCCAAGTGACGGCGGCACTCTTGGCCTTGTCCACTGGAGCGTGGTGGACTGGCCGCAGCCTCATGACCCACCAGCGCCTGCTCATCACGAAAGAACCGTCCAACACACTGTGGACCGAGACGCAGTTGTGTTTTTCTGTGGTGGTGGGCCGTTCGTATCCGTCCGACACGTACCTCAGCGCGCGCGCCAAGTTGGAGTGGGGACTCGCCCAACACGTGTTTGAAATCCAGGGCAAGGGGCGCGCCAGCTTTGACGACGCGATGACCGCCAGTGGACTCACGGTGCAAATGTCTGGGTCTATGGGCAAGCGCACCAAGTACCAGGTGAAGAGCGTCGCCCAGATGGTGCTGCATGCAACGTCCAGGGTCGAAAACGTCGCGGCCGCGTCGGCGTCGGCGCTTGCGGAAGCGCAGACCACCCACGTGGACTTTGGAGGCCAAAGCAGCGGCGAAATGGAGGAGGCTAAAGAAGAAGAAGGGGATCCCCTCTCGTTTGAAGATCAACTGGTCGCGGACGGCAAAGCGGCGTACCGCAACATCACGCGGGACCAAGCCGACCCAGACAACATCTTGCTCGAACATGTCGCGTTTGAAGACGGCGCCGCCGCGTCCGACTCTAACCTGCAAGTGATCGATCAAGCGATTTTGCTGTCGCTGTGCTTGGACGTCAAGAACAACAACCCTGCCGACGGACTCACATCCGAGCAAATGGTGCGGGACCTCGTCATCTACACCCATATATATATATATATATATATATATATATATATGGTTCGTGTTGTTTGTGAAGTTTTTGTCTTTCTTTTACCCCGAATTTGGTTGACTTTTGTGCTGAATATATCGCCAAATCTATTGATCGATTCTTTGTATAACGAGTATCACACTAATTTCAGTCACACACGAATTCGATGTTGAAGTGGTCGATTGAGAGTGGATGATTTGATTGGCTACTTGATTTGTGATCTGGGTTTTCATTGGTCGATATATCGATTGTATATCTGCCAACTTGGTGCTACTCATTAGTCGACCCACTCCAACGTTCGAATCGACTTGACAATCAATACCTATGTATATATGTGTGTAGATGCCATACCTAACTCGTGTACTGGCCAACCCAAACAACTGGATGGTGTACTCGACGGGGTTACTTGAACGCGCATGGCTCGAGTGCGAAACCCAGAGATCCCGCGAACGCGCCATCTTGCAAATGCAAGCGCTGGTGGACCAACACACCACCCGCCTCACGATCACGCAGACGTCGCTCAAAGCCATCCAGGACGCCGCGCCAGCCCACGAACGATTGGCGTACGTGTACTCGGTCATATTTCCACCTCGGTACGAGTTGAAGCGGGACCTCGCCGACCGGTACTTGAGCTGCGGGGTATTTGCCAGCGCCCTCGCGACCTTTCAAGAGCTGGAAATGTGGGACGAGGTCGTCCAGTGCTTCCAGCTACTGGACCAACCCAAGCGCGCCGAAGCGCTCGTGCGGGAACGTCTGGCGGTCGCGCCGACGCCGCTCATGTGGTGTTGCCTCGGCGATTTAACTGAGGACGTCGCGCACTATGAGACGGCGTGGGAGGTATCCAAGCACCGGTTTGCCCGGGCCAAGCGGACGTGGGGCCGCAAGATGTTTGAGCAGCACAAGATCGACGAAGCGATCGGCCACTTCCAGGACGCCGTGCGCGTCGCCCCCATGTACACACAGGCGTGGTTCTTCCTCGGGTCGCTCTCCATGCGGACGGAGGACTGGCCCACGGCCGTGCAGGCGTTCACCCGCGTGGTGCAGCTGTCCCCCGACGACGGCGAAGCGTGGGGCAACTTGGGCTCGATCCACTTGCGTCTGCGCCAGCACAACGAAGCATTCAATGCGTTTCAAGAAGCGCTCAAGCAACGACGGACGCTGTGGCAAATGTGGGAGAACTTTGTGCTATGCGCCATGCAAGTGCACAAGTTTGGAGACGCTATGTACGCGATGCACCAACTGCTGGACCTGCGCGACAAACACAAGCGCCCAGTGGACCACGAGATGCTCGCGTGGCTCGTCGAAGCGATCGTGTACCCCCAAGCGGATGCAATTGCCGACGATGGCGGCGAAAACGAAGCTGCAACCATCGACATGCACGCCGTCTACCCCTTGGTAGGATGGTGATATGTTTTTTGCATTGTTTGGATCAAACAGATGATGACAATCAATGTGATTTTAGGATGACGATGACAATGATAATGGTGTTGTCACGCGTGCGCCGACCGCCGCGTCGGACGCAAACTACAAGGCCCAACTCGCCAAGCTGCTCGGGCGCACCACGTCCATCGTTACCAACAACCCCAAAGTATGGCAAGTGTACGCTCACTTTCATGACGGATGTGGACACAAAGCCAAGGCCCTCGAGTGCCGGTTAAAGGAGTGTCGCGCGCTGCAGAAGGCGGGGTGGGACAAAAACCAACACGACGTCGAGCTCCTCTGCCGAGCAGCCAAGCGCTTGTCCGCCAGCTACATTGAGGACGGATCCAAAGCGTCCCTGCATGCCTGTCGCCTCTACCTCCGTGGCGTGGTCAAGAAATCGCAAGTCGATTTTACCGACAATCCCGACGTCCAAGACCTCCAACGCGTGTTGTACCAGCTCGAAACATTAGAAGCCCAAGCAAACTAACACAGGAAGAAATATATGACAAACGTTATTGTGCTTTCGAGTGAAATTTCATTTTGTTGTGGTGTGGTTTCTCATTGGAATTTAAGTCGATTTGATTGGCTACTTCAAAATTATTAGCCAATCAAAACCTTTTTAATGAAATTCAACCAATCAGAGCGATTGTGGATGGGTTTGGTGATTCGATTGCACCCCCTCCCCAAATTTGTATCAAATTTGGGGAGATCCAACTCGATACAATACTGTAACGAGTTTTCTTCGTTTTGTGGATGGAGGAGGTCGGTTGTTGACAAGTGGTCGTGGGCGTCGAGGGAACCAGTGGTTGGTTAGGTTCATCCTAGCGGGTTAATATTCAAATGGGTTTAACTACATTAAACGTACGTTAAGTAATAAAACCTTCACTCTTCGATTTGGCCAGTTGGAAGTTTTTAGATGACGTGCAGGTACAACTCTACTTGTAATAAATATATTAATCTGGTTGTTCTTGTTCAGTACAAATAAAAGATCATTTATTTATTACAAGTGTACTTACATGTTATTAATACTGTTCTATCAGTATGCAGAGAAAGTTAATTGTAGCATTCATTTATCGTTGCATTGGACTTGAAGTAAATGATTTGTTTTGTATCCGGATATTTTGATGAAACGCTTCGTTTCGCATACAAATTTGGATCTGGGGCTGCCAACTTGGATCCGAAAATACCATCGACAGCCTGGAAGGAATGGCGAAGAAAGGAAAGCAAGCCAAACAGCACGGCACCGTAGATAGCTCCCTGGCCAAGTTGAAGATGGGTAATACCGCGACGTCTCCCACCGCTGCGGCGGACTCCAAGTCCACTCCCGGTGGGTCCCCGGTCAAAGCCAAACAAGGCAAAAGCGCTAGCTACCCCACGACGCCCATCTCGACCTCCAAATCGACCTTTATAACCTCATCGTCTCCATCCACCCAAGACGACCCCCACGCGGTCCACGCTGGAACATCGTCACCACACGACGATAACGACGACGACGATGTGGCAGGCGACGGCAAGGTCGTGACGTTGGTTCCCAAGATCGAGCGCCGATTGTCCACCCGACCTGAAGTCAAGGACTTGGACGACCAGGATATTCTCCATTCTCTCACGATTGCTCCGATGATCCAATCCACTGCCAAGCAGCTGCAGCGTCAACTGAGTGCGGACCATGTGTCGTCGCTCTTGACCAAGCGACCATCATTCGTGGACTTGACGGACCAGGGCATCGTGTCCGACAAGATCGCGCCGGCATTGCAGGCTACGAGCGATGCCTTGCGACGCAGCATCACCGCGGACCGCCTCACGCACCACATTGCCCGTCGACCCTCCCTTCAAGATCTGGCCGACCAGCATGTCGTCGACGACGGTTCGTTCGTTCGTTCGTTCATCATGATTTTTACACTCATGGATGCCGATTAGGAACGCCATCGTTGGCTCCAAGTTTGGCGGCGATGGCAAAGAAGCTCGAGCGCACGATGGTTCAAAACCAGGTGGGCCAGCTGTTGGAAACCCGGCCTGGCTTGCACGACTTGGTCTCCCAGCAAATCGTCACGGGTACTGCCTTCACAAGGTACACTTAGAAAAAGTAACCTAATCGAATGTATCTGTAGATGGACCGGAAGTGGCGAATGCGTTGCAAGGGCCTCGGCAATCGTTGGTCCGACAGTTGAAAGCCGACGAATTGTCTCGCAAACTCAAGTCACGCAAGTCGTTTGACCAGCTTTTCACAGGCATGAGATGTCTCCTCAAATCTCACAACTTTGGCATGTCTAACATGTCCATGTGCTTGTAGGCCCGAGCAATGCATTGAAGTCAAACCCAACTAAAAACGTTTCGTCTAAACAACAACAAAAGCCAGCGCTGTCCAACGCCCAGCGCCGCGCCAGGTACACGGTGGCACTCAAGGCGGCATCCCGCATTGCGGCGGACAAGCTCATCTCAGCGGCGGAGAAGGGCCGCTTGAAGGACCTCATTCTCGCAGACGACTCCCGCGTGAGCATGGCCATCGCGCTGTACGAAAACGACCGCGATGTGGAAGAGATGCTCGATACGTTGTACCGTATTGCCAAGTCCACCAGTCGAGGGTCGATGTGACAACGTGTAAATATGGACGATGCAATACAATACTATATTGTGAGAGATTTGTTGAGACTGTCAAGTGGGAGGGGGGGTGGCGGGGGACGGCACTGGAATTGGAGCGAGGAGGAGCAGCGGCGGCAAGACGACGTCGCCGTCGTGATCTTTGCAATGAACAGTCAGCAGCAACGACCACTTGGCCAGCGTCAGATCTTGCTTGCTCACAGCCATCCATTGATCAAACACACTAGGTCAAATCTAGTTAGTACTCTAAAGTACTAGTATGGGGGCGTGGATCATACTTGACTTTCAACGACTTAGGATCGGTAGACGCGTAGATTTCGTGATGCTGCCACGTCACCCGTTCAACGTGCACTTCGTACAGGGCCTACCCCCCAATGGTTTGACATTGCATTTTCGACCACGAGGGTTATATGTAGAGTTGATAGATATATGTACTGTACACTGTACCTTCAAGTGACGAAGTATGTCTTCCACCGTCAACAACCTCGGGATGTGCGTGCATTGCACCACAAGTTTATGCCTAGATAGGGCACAGTGAATGAGAGAGTAAGATTTTGAAACGAACGCAAGAGCGAACCACAACGTCATGTTGTCTGGACATATCCGAAGGGGCATGCCACGGGAGCGGTCCATGGAGGTTGAGTGCATGACGGCGGGGGGGTGGGGGATGTGAAATTGCAGCGCGCCGTTGAACCCAAGGTACTCGCAGGTTCGCAACGCCTTGGGCTTGCGGAAGAGGATCTTGGTCGCTTCGATGGTGGCCAGTGCCCCGACGATGGTGGCAGACGCGAGCGCATCGGCACGACATCCGCAGATGGCTTTGCACTGGAAGAACGAAATGGGCGCGATGTCTTGGCGCGCGGCCACCGCGTTGGCCAGGAGCTGGACAAAGTACACATGCATGTTGGTGTCGTCCATCTACATGGGCCATGAATACAGGAGTGGGAAATCAAACATGATATATATATGTACACACTTACGACGTTGAACGGCGTGGGGCGACACGGGTCGACGGTCGCCTGCATTTGAATGGCTGTCAGCGCTTGAAACACTTGCAACGAAAGTAGGTTGGACATGTCCACCACTCGTGGCGGGTGTGGGACCTGTCGACACGTGGCGACCGTCACATCTGATAGTGAGGTCATGCTGTGCCCAAAGAGCACCGCCGCGACCATCCACAGGTCGCCATGGCTGGACTCGTCAAAGGAAATGTCATGCGGGGCAAGTGCAGTCTGGTTACCGAGAGACCAAACGGTGTCACATATGAAATCACATTTTCAACGCAAGTACCTCCAAGAACCACCGTGCCATGTCGACGCACGCGGCGACGGACGTCAGCGCTTGGCATCGACTGTACGCTTCGCTGGCCATGCGGATGAAGGCGGGGTCGCGCCGCTTGCCTCGAGAGGACCCGATGCGGTCGGTCCAGGTCGCACGAAGACACACGAGGCTCTGATGGAATGCGTCGTCGAAAACTGTGCGCGCCCACTGCACCATGTGATGGATTTCAAACGCGGACGAGTCGGTTTGGTCCACACCATGGGGGAGCGACTTGAGCGGCGGGGAAATCGACGCGCGGAGGGCTGTGACGCGGTCTAGCAGGAACAGCGGCGACGACGACGACGACGGGGAGGATGTGTTGAGCAGTTTTGTTTCCACCCATCGCTCCGTGATATGTGGGACAAACGTTTGGGTAAACGTGTGGTGGCCGTGCGAATGGCCCAATACCCATGGCTTTTCGTACGTAAAACACTCGTCGTCCAAGTGCAATGTGGTCTAAAATATATCACTTGATGGGAAAAAGTGATATATCAATATGTCGTACGTACGTGATCGGAGTCGACGGTGCTCACGACAACGTCCGTGGGTTGCCAAAACGAATGGTTGAAATGCACGTGCTATGCCATTAGTGACGACAATATGGAAGGAAACACGTAGGAGTACATGGCTTTGTTGAAGATGCACGGGGACGGAAGTCCATGTTGGATAATGCGTCTGAACAGCATGCGCTTTGTTGAGACCTACGTCGGCCTCACAATAGGCACTCTGCGTGGCCAAATCTTGTCGCTATAATAAGGCAATGTCGTGAGGACCCTTGACTATCGAAACGTGCAATTGGATCGTCTGTCGCAGATACCTTGACACGGGCGCCATCGACGACCACGCCCTTGGCCACCCCCATTTGAGTGAAATTCTACTTTTAATTACTTCCATCATGGGGTGCATGCAATCGATCGGTGGAATCAGCACCTGCACCACTTGGCAGCCCACGGAACCACATCCGATCACGACAACCCGCGCATCGCGAAGTCGCTCGACCGCTGCACGACCAAACAAAGCCAACACGTGTGCTTCACCCACGGATCCTGCGGCGTCGTGTTGGAACTGGCGCTCCTTCTTGATGTCCTTTGGCAGCAAGTCCAGCAAATCCCAGTACACAAGCTGCGACACAGGACATCCAAATCCTAGTGAAGCGTTATCGATCTATCAAAACATATCCACGGTCATACCGCAAAATTTCAGCAGTTCTCGACAGGCCATTCCTGCCACCAACGCACTCAGAGGGGCAAACTCAGCGGACGCCGTACGTGCCACTTCAAGGGTTAGGGCATCCGGCACCACTTGGACGGACACGACAGTACGCCCGAACGCGGCGGCGGCAGCAGTCTAGGGTTGCCTTGTTATTCGTGTCGGATCACTGGCTGCCCGACAAGACCTACATTTGCGACGAAGTCCTTGGTCAAGTTGACAACTTCTTGGGCATGGTGCGCGTTGTTAACTTGGGGGAAGAAGCCGTGGCGTTGGCGGTAGCTGTACAGCCCATGCAAAATCGAATGCAAATGTATGTTGCGCTCTACAAACAAGGAAGTTTGGCGGCCAAAGCAGAACTCGTTTTAGCACCGTTGTCTTTGGACGAGATGTAGTACGGGCACGCGACAAGTTGAGGTGCGACGATGTTTTCCCGATACGATTTCTACAATGACCATTTCATCCATGTTAATAGAGAATGATGGTGTATAGCAACGAACGAACGAACGTGCTGGATGGTCCGCGTGCCACGTATTTTCTTGAGTTTGAGGCGGGTGTGCTGGGTCAAATCAAACACAAACAACGGCGACACACCGAAATTCACGACTAATCCGGACGGGGGCGCCACTTGAACGACGGGAAACTGCCGGCGATGGAGCCACGTCAGGTCGGCACTGTCGCCACCAGCATGGCAAAAGGCAAACTCGACCAAGTCGCCTTGTTGTACCAGCTAAAAACGTTAGAAATAAAGTTACTGCTTGATGTCCGATAGAAAATGTCTGTACCAGGTGGATGCATTGCTCTTGCACGACCACAGAGCCTCCAGCGACGTTCATTTGAACGACAGTAAACTCGAAGCTCTCATCTTCCGTCGCCTAGTACAGCATAGTCTTTGTCGTAAGATTAGTCGTTCGATTGAGTAACGTACGGTGTGGGGGCTACCGAAGTCGACGAATACTGACCCGAGCAATCCTCGGCTCTCGGCCACCACGACACCAATGGGAGGGCTCTGCGCATGGCAGAATTCACTCAACCCAATGATTTCTTCCCGGGATAGCGGTCCGCTTGAAAACACAACTGCCTATTGTTTGATGTGTTTGTCAATCATGGGAGATTGTGCTTGTGGATACGAACGTGATAATTCAGCAGCAAATCTGACGTGAGTGTTCCAGACAGCGACAAGAGGACAGTGGAGGGGGGGCTCGTGCCGGCCAGTCGTTCCTTGATCACAGTGGCTTTCTTCTTACCAACATCCACTCGCATGTATGCAGGCTACCAAAGGTTGTCCTGTCAAATCCATCATGTCCACAGCAGTACGAACATGCGATGCAATATCGTCGTCTCGGACACAGTCGTCGTCGTGGATTGTAATAGACTTGAGGCTATGGCTTAGCAGAGTGCGCACTGACAAGTTGGCCATAAGGAATAAGTTGCAACAGCATAAGAAGTGTACAGTGCACACTTCTTACCAATGTCCACCCCCACCCCACGCAATCCAACGACGAGGATCTGCATCCTGGCAATGGATTTCATCCTGTTGTATCAAGGGTTATACCTGCCACCTCTTGATAGGGGTACCATGTTGAGCCAAACAGAAGCAACGGTCGAGTGTAGTAGTCCTTCGCAAGAGTCATCGGAAGAGGAGGTGTCTGTTCGCCCATGGAACTTGTGGTCTTTGCCAGTTCGAAACGTCACAATATCAGTACCTCCGTAGGATTAAATATTGAATAGTCAGTCACGTTGGCATGCAAGTCGTACACAGGAGTAGACTTTTCAATCAGGTAGTGCAACGCTACGCATAGTCAAATGCAGGAACGATGAAGAATATTTCATAGCCATAGCCAATGACCGATTGGCCTTTAACGCTATATAATACTCGGGGGGGTCCCAAGTTTGACGACTTGTGTGTGTTTTATGCATTCATGGACATCGTATTCACTACTGTACACTTGAGGAATCATCCCCACAACTTGATTTAGACGCTGTGTTTAACATTGAGGTGGGGGTGATACTTGGTGAGGAGGTCGCGGATGTTGGAGTACGGGCTGCTTATTGACAGTTGGCGCGGTGAATACCTTGAATGGCATATGCCAATGGACACGCACAGGAACGATATGACTAGAAGGGCCCACACTTGCAGCGCAATTCCAACCATGTCTCGCGCGATCAAGAGGGCGAGGCGGTCAGCAGTCAGCGCCTTGGAAGACGAACATAGCGCCCCCTTCTTGGCACACATGCGGATGGATACATAGTGCACTGCCGAGATCGAATCGAGAATCACCAACGCCGCGAGGAAGGCCGCGACAAACACGCGAAAGCTGGCGTGGAAGTTGGTGGAAAACCCAAACGCGATGCCAAGCATGGCGCCGAGGGGACGATTGAGGCTATCGAACAATGAAGCCGCTTTCCCACTGTCTGGCAGCGAAATCGAATGGGCGAAGAGGGCCAACTGGGCCGAGAGCATTGCCACGCATAGGCCACGGAGGAGTTTGGTGTTGATCTTGATCATCGTGAGCTCGGGTACGTGGCACACGGTTTGGGACGCGTGGATATGTTGTGTCCAGTGGTAGCAGCAAGCAAAACCGACGAGAAAAAAGACCAGGCCACATCCATACGCGACCATAAGTTGGTTTAGATTGGCTTCAAACTCGTCTGGTTCTGTGGGGGGTGGCGTTGCGCTCATGCTAGTCATGTTGTAGAGTTTGTAACTGCAAGGAATAACGCCATCGAAAACGAAACTGTGCCTTGGACAAGCCACACAAGTGAAAACTTACATGTCAAACTGTGCAAGACACCAACAACGCCATATCCATTCTTTGTTGCATGTCCCTGATAACGTAGCTCGTGAACGGAATTGTGCACACAATACGAGGTCAACGACTATATAAATCCGGTTGTTCAACCCATCGCCCCTTCCAAGCAATGAAGCTGATGACGACAACCACTTTCGAAGTCGAGATCTTCCCATTCAATCAACTTTTCATCATCACCAATCACAGTACGTATTGCAAGAACCTTGAATGAAGCCAAGGGCAGGGAGTAAATGCATATCCGAGTGGAATTCCAGTTGAAACGAGCGTTACACGAGAAAAGCGTAGATTCAAATGTAGCCAGAACTTGAAACCGCCAAAAGTAACGGCCACGTTCGGAAAAGATTTGTCGTGTCCTACGGGCCATCTGGCATATCTACCCATGAGTGCCATGCAGCCGCGCACGGTGCTTCGGCAGACAACGCTGCCACAAGCCACCGAGACGACCCCGCTCATCCGTCGGTTCTGCCTCGTGAACTTTGTGCTGTGCCTCGGTGCCGCGCCAATGTTCTTCGTGTTTGCAACCAAAGCCATGACCTTCCAAGTGCTCTACGTTGCCGGTGGGGCGTTGGCCATTTCGTCGCTCCTTGCCTCGGCCATGGTACGATTCATCTTGACACTCGACAAGTTGCTCAGGTCGACTCTAGGGCATCTTGAAATCCACACCAAGTCTTGTTTGGAGCATGATGTTTGCCGTCGCCGCCGCGTACGGACTCATCAGCGCGGGAGGTCTTTGTGTGTTGTACTTGCCTTATGCGAGCGCTGAATTGACCAGTGCCACCGACTCGCAGTATGCCAAGAGTGTCGTGCTACCGAGCGAGCTCAAATCCGTACGTGGCAAAGGCGGCAGTACGTGATCAGTTGACTCTTGTTCCCTTAGCAAGCTGTGGTGGAGCGACTGTACCTCCAAGTGGGCGGCGCGGTTCAGCTCGTGCTAGGCCTCATCGCGTCGTATCAAGTGCGCCTCTTGTTTCACGTGTTGGGGGAAAAGGTGAGCGTCAAGCTGTTACTACAATGACATTCCTATGCTGACATGTCCTGTGCTAGCGAGCGTCGGTGGCCTTTCTTCAGGTTCTCTCACGCCTGATAAACCTCCCACCTTCTGACGCAAGTTGTTGGCGTACAGGCATTTAGCGCCTTCATGATCCCCCTCTCGCTGTTGTTTATTGCCGGGGGGCAGTACATCATTTCATCGCAAACGTTGGCGTCAGCTCCGTACACTGGTTTGCCCTGCATCTCTCTCTCTTGTCAAATGAAGCCCAACTTGTTGGCTCCTTGGCAGGAATCTTCATCTACATTTGCGGGCTCATGGTGCTGGTGCTGTCGTTGTTGGCATTCATCGGGTCCGGGTTCGAATACCGTCGGCTCCTCAACACGTTTAGCTGGCTGGCGTTTCTCACCGCTGTCTTGTTGATCGGGGCGGCCGTTGCGTGTTTGGCAGTCACGTCCAACGTGGAAAAGTCCGTGATCAACAACTGGGCCACCATTCGAGTCGTGTTGCCGCCGACGCTCCAAGCGCGCTACGACAAGAGCCAGTTCGTGCTGTTCGTGCAGGTAAAACCAGCAGCTTCGTCTTATTGTCTATCACGTGGTTATGATTTCTAGCGCAACTTGTACGGCATGGCCTACGTGGGCATCATTTCCGGCTTGTTTATGCTGTTGCAGAGCTTATCGGCGCAGTCGATTCGAGAGATCATGAACGTGGTCAAACGCCGCGCCGCCCAAGACAAACGATGTGCTTTGGACCCGGAACTCCATCCCGAATTCGTCGCTCGCCGTGAAGTACGACCATATGTGCCTTGTCGAGTGCCATCAATGATGTTGTGGTTTCATCTGTAGTGGACCCTCCTGTTTAAATCGTCCAAGCGCAACCAACGCATTTGCATGCGCGTGATCTGTGGGGTCGCCACGTTGCTGCTGCTGGCCATCACCGTCATGATGACGCTGAGTGTCGTGTTCACGACGCAGTGCGCGAGCATCAGCAAGGCAGCCGAGAGCCGCTCGTATCGATTGGGCAATACTACTACTCCCTGTGCGAATTACCGCTTGCAAAACACGTTTGCTGCTGGACGCCTCCAGCTTGTGCGGAGTACGACCACGCAGGGCAACATCACGTTCCAGCAAAACGCCGTCTCGGTAGGCTGAGCCTGCGATTGTAATATTCGGAAACGATGAACCATGTTGCAGGACAAGTTCTTGGCCGGACAAGCGTTTCAAAGCTCTGTGGACGCGGACAACGTGTGCACGGTCGCCGCCACCCCCACCAACTCGGCGACGTTTCTGTGGTTTGACACATCCTGTCAGGTGTGTAGTAGATATGGACTTGTACTTGGAAGGAAACTATCTATCGTAAAAGGTGGCCAATGTCAAAATCGAGCTGCCCATGCTTGTGGCCGGTGGGCGTGTACCGTTCGTGTCGTTGGCATCCAAATCAACCGCCATCGACATCAATTTGCTCCAGGTAGTAGTAGTTTGTTATGGTTTCAAATGTTCACACAGGCTAAACGAGTAGAATGGGTCGTCCACGCTGGTGCAAGGGCTCAACGTGACGTCAGACCTGGCCAACATCAACGGCTTTGGCGTGTACATTGGTTCTGGAGGGCTCAGTGTCACTTCAACCTCGGGGGAAGTGAACATGTCGACCGTGTTTGTGAATGCCACGAGGGGGGCGCTGGGGGGCAAAACGCCATCGACCCTAACGTCGTCGTTGGGAAGTGTGTCGCTTGCGAATGCGACGCTGGTGGACAGTCCGCTGACAATGTCTACGGACGTGGCGGGGGTCGTGGTGCAAAACGTAGCAGCGTACGTCGTCGCATATCATTACTAGGCGCGGAAACGTAACGTAACGGCACATTTGCAGGACGGTGTCCCATGGCCGGAGCAATGTCACCTTGTCCAGTGGATCGGGGGGTATTGTCGTATCTGGGTTGACGGCGGATTGGATTTCCATGCAAACGACGTCCGGCGCGATCACCACGGACGGGCTCATCTCTAGCGTACGCATTGTATCTGGACTCACCATGGGTTTTGGTGAATATTCTCTACACTTTATTCTAACTTTGAAGTCTTACCCAGGGTACGGGACCGTTCACGGGGCGTATTGATGTGACGAGCATTGGCGGCGACGTGCGTCTGCTCAACACTGTCGCCAAGGGGTATGTGCACGTGGAAACCAACTCTGGCAACGTGGTGGTCCACCTGGCGGTAACTAAGAGATGGCAGTCGATAGTGGCAGATCCTTTTGAACATTTCCTGGTAGAGCACGTCGTTTGTGGGGTTGTACTATGTGCGCTCCGAGTACGGACGAGTGTCGGTGCGGTATTCCAATTCAAGCTACGATTCGGTCAAATCGTTGCCGGTAACATAGTCAGAAGATGAAAACTCGGACAGGTTTCCACTGATGATGGTGTGTGTGTAGACGGCGGACCCCCGCGAGTCGCAGGGGCTGATCAACTGCGACACGAGCTGCCACTTTGTTGGAGACATTTACATCCGAACGATCTATGGCAACATCGACGTGCTCGTGGGGTGCAAAGATACAACGTGTGCTTGATCATGCACACGACAACAAGGCAGCTTATAAAGACTACATAACCATCGACTTCAGCTATTGTTATGTTGAAGTAGTTACGATATATGCGAAGAGCATTCTCTAGAAACGTTCCAACAACGTAACTGTACGAAACGGTCACTAGTTGACCGATGGAAATTACCGAGGACTTGCTGAAGCGCCGCAGCAAACACTTTGACATTGCATGCATTCAACGGCTCAACCTGGCAGGCTGCGACATCCGGACGGTGGCGCTCTTGGAAGGGTGTACGAGCCTCGTGGAGCTCAACTTGGCCAAGAACCACGTACGCTGTCTAGCTTACCTCCAACTCACAATGCCATATGTGGTAGCTGCTGTCGTTGCATGGGATTCCGACGCTGCCAACACTCAAATGTCTCGACTGCTCGTTTAACACCGTGACCACATTGGGTACGTGACGACCAACAGAGTAGTAAATGTGGTGACAAGTGGTCGTAGATGGCATGTCGCCCCAACCTCAACTGGAAGAATTGCATGTCGAGGTGAGTAAAACAATTCATCACGATATGCTATGAGGAAAGGGGTTCGTATTGCGTTGGTGAAGGGCAACGACTTGGCTCGTGTCGATTTCGCCTTGCTGCAAAAGCAGGTACTAACCTCCTTCCCCCATCAATCCCTCCATCTCCTTCGCTCTCTTTAATAGCTCCCTCGCTTGCGACGACTCTTTCTGCATGCGCCGGCTGCACCTCGGTCCAACCCAGGTAAGCTATTCTGTGGTGTTTGAACATATCGCTCCCGTATATAATATCTTCAGTCTGCAAAATCGACAAATACTTCGACGTCGTCCACGCGGCCATGCCGTCCCTCGAGAGCTTGGACGGCGAGGTTTTCGCGCTTCGTCAAGTAACAAGCCAAACAATCTCTCAATAGTTGCTCACTGCGATTGTTAGGTACATACAGCTCGGGCTGTGAACGACGATCCTGAAAGCGACGCCGACTTGCGCGCGGCGTTGGCCGAAGCTGCGTGGGACAAGGTGTCGTGGGGGCTGCCCGCCACGGACGACCCTGCAAGCTTTGTTCAAAACAACACCAAGAAATTCAAAGGTGCCAACAACCCTCCATGTGTCCCCGACCTATTACGATCACAGTACTAAATTGGTTTTCGCAGCACTTTTGCTAGAGTGCAACAACGACTTGCACGGTGAATCACTAGATATGCTAAACAAACTCAACACGATGCTGAATTAATGTCTTGGTCTTATGGGAACAACGACGGGGGGGTGGGGTTGGCTTGCTGCTTTCGGATTTCTTCTCGCTTGACCCACAACTTTTCGCGCTCTTGAAGCATGGCCAGTCGTAAGTCGGCCATCTCGGCCTTCATCTGGTCCATCTCTAGCTTCCTCGCGGCGGTTTCGGCCGCGCGCTCTTTCGCCGCTTTCTCCATGTGCACTTTAATCGCGTCCAAGTCTTGGGCTAATTTCTGCGACTCGGTGGCAAAAAAGTCAGACCCGAGGAGCACTTCTGGCTCAGCCGCCCCCACTTCAGTGATCGACGGACTCGCGCCGTCCTGAAACAAAAAGTCGTACCGCGCGAGCATCTCCTTTTGTTGCTCAGGGGAGTACTCTGCCGCCGCCATGCGGTCCATGGCTTCCTGACGCTTCCCCAGAAACAGCAGCCGACTCACGACGCCCCGGACCTCTCGACCCCGTTCCGCGACCTCCCACCCGTGCTTTATGGCCGCAAACTTGTTCAACGCGGTGCAGTCGGGAGTGAGTCTCGCCGGCACGAGTCCAAATACTTCGAGCCGCCACGAGGTGGTGCCGTCCTGTCGCTGTCCTCCGTCGGGCACGGGAGGAGAAGTGGCAGTAGCGCTGTCGGGGACCGGCACGACGCTACCGATTTGATCCGGGGACGCTGCTTCGGTGGGTTTGGCAATCAACCCCGAGAATGGCTGGACAGACCGCAACGCGTCGGGCACCACCCACCGCGTTTCGTCGAACCGGCCTTGAATGATGTACCCTCCTCCGTCGACACATGGCGGCAACTGCATCACTTGCGTGTTGTTGTAGTTGGTCGCCTTGACAAGCAGGTTGCCCGTGGCCGCGTCGAGCACTTCCAGTTTCACCGCAGCATTCGCCACCGACGTCGACAGTTTCAAACTTGTGTGGATCGATGACGTGGCTGTCCCTGCTTTGGCCTTGGCATCGTCCTCGCCCGCGTCGGGCCCAAACACGTCCCGGAACAGAGTTAGGTACTTGTTGGGGGTGTACGACCCCGAGAACACAGACGACACGACGGGGTACTGCGTCAGCGGTGCCTGGATCGTCCAATCACTGGCCACCGTGATCGTAAACACCCCGGGGGGGATTACCACGTTTGGACACGGCAGACACTCGAGGACCACCGTGTAGCTCTCCGACGCGTTCGCGGGGTTCAAGTCAAAGTACCCGCCAAGGAGATTCAATCGAGTGGACACTGACGGCAGCTCCGTAGCCGACGAGGTGTTGTTGTGGACCAAATGCACGTGAAAGTAGGGCGACGCGTCGGCGTCGTACATGTGCAAGCCCAGATACAGTCGGTTCCGGGACCCGCTGGTCGCCGTGACAGTCATGTTGAACCGATGGACGACATGCCACGTCCCCGCCGCCATCGCATCATACGACGCGTCTAGCGTTTCCACGTTCATGTGGCAAATGTCCCTCAAACAATCAACGACGGAGTGGACGAAGATCGGCACGTCGCTCTCGACCTCGAGACTGTAGCCGTTCTGCAAGTCGTGTGGATACAGCCGGTACACATGTGTGCCGGGGCCTACGACTTCGAACGGCCACGTGACATTTGGTTTCAAGACGCCGGCGTTTTGGTTGATCGTTGCGGCGGGGGGCGTGGGCCAGCTGAGCTGCTGCTTCTCGACCAGCAGCATGCCCCGATCGCTTGGAGCGTGGAGGACGTCGTCTGCGGCGGCTACCGGCGCGCAAGTGAGCGTCACGTACAGCATCGTGGAGGACACAGTGTCGGGGACTTGTACGGTGAGGAACTTTGGAAGCGCGTTCGAGTACGGTCGCTGGATGCGTTGGGGGTTGTCGGGGTTCGTCGTATCTACTTGAACGGTCCTACGTCAGAAGGCATGGGTCGGACGACGTTGATATGTACGAATGTGGACTACCATTCTTGCACCAATTGATGCGTATAAGTTGGAATCGTGTGCAGCACGACCGTGGTCAATTTGTGATACTCGATGCTTTCCGACGTAAACGACAACGTGTCGTGGGGCGGAACATTGGGCTGCAGCGTGAAGATGTTGATCGAAAACGATTGCCCCGACGTACGAATGCTCGACATGACAAACGCTTCGCCGCACGACGAGTTGAAGTGCCTTGTTTTGATGCTGGCCATTGAGCACACGAGCAGAACGTTCTACGTGCAAACTCGTCAAGTGCAAACACGCTGAAGTGCAAACTCATATCCATCGGGTCGTACGTTCATGGTCAACGACGGCTGAACGTCCGACAATGTCGTGGAGGGCACTGCCGCATCCAAACAAGGCGTGATCTAGCAATATCGTACCGCAACATCCTCATCATCACGTTTGAATATCGCCATCAATCTTGTCGATAACGTCATGGGTACTTCTTACTTTGGCGATTGCTTCGGCCGCGTTTAAATCCGACAAGCCGACATACGCACGCGATTTCCATCCTGCCAACGCGTTCAAGATAAACCCCACCGACTGCGATACCGTCGAGGGGTGGTTCATCGTCGACAGCGTGTTGGTCCACGCAAACACCTTGTAGATAGCCTTGGCCAGAAGCGTTGGCCAGATTTCGCTCGGCTGGGAACTGCTGAGCACCACCACTTTGCCCTGGTCGTCCAGCGGCATACGATCGTCCACTTCGACCTTGCGCCATTTGCCCATCACAAACAGCTTCACGAGGTACTTCCCGCCCGGGTTGACCGTCGGGATGCGTCGATTCGTTGCTGTCACGGTCTGGGGGTAGATGGCTTCCCAAAAGTACGGCTGATTCGCCACCATTCGATCCACGAGCCGACTGATAACGCGGCAGCCCGAGGCGAGGGGCGAGTCGACGTAATCTCCTTCTGGTACGGAGGGCTTGACGACTGAGTTGGGCTCGATTTCAATCACGGGCGCCGACCCTGCCATGACAATGTAGGTAACGTCGTCACAGGGGCGAGCGCGACTGGTCACATACCAAAGATCTCGTTAAACAGCAACGGCGCCGGCGTGCCAGCGGCGGGGAAATCAAACGTTGTGTCGCCGTCGTCGCCGTCGTCGAGCAGATCTTCGTCGTTCAACTCGGCCTCGGTGGCTTGTTTGTGGGCTGCGATGGCCTTTTGCAGCTTGATTAAGCAGCTTTCCTCGTACGCCATGAGGGCTAACTCCTTTTTCTCCTTTTCGCTTTGAATCCGCGCCTCTTCCGTGTCCCATCTAGCCATGCAAACGGTCATTCAGTAAGGGACTATGCAAAGGGCACTGTACCTTTTGATATCGTGGGCTTGTTCCGCGCTCCACACACGTTGAAAGTCGTTGGCCCAATCCAGGCGTTCCGCAGTCAATGGAGGGGCAAACCCGGGCTGTGTGCCCTCAAACTTCTCGACCATTGGGTCCAGCGACGAGTCGTACAGCACCTACGCTCAACGACGTGTGCTTATTCACTCGTTGCTGAGCAACTACTCAATCCCGTACGTAGCAACATCGTGGCACTTTGGGCTCTTCAGCCTTGGCATCGATCGACTCGATCTTTTTTCCAGAAGCCAAGTTCCCCTTTTTCGTTCCCCCGCCAGGGGTCTTCACCGCCGGGGCAGACGTCGTTAGCTTGGGTGGCTCGGGTAGTGGCGGCAAATACTGATGCGGGCGCTTCCATGTAATTGACGATGTCTACAATGGTCAAGCAATGAGCTCCTTATGAATAGCGACGATTATTGTACGAACGTCAATGTGTGGAGGTAGCACGGGTAGCCCCATGGGATCTTCGAATGGCGCAGTGGCAGTGTACCAGTTCTCTTGATCTACACGACAGAGTAAGCGTTGCACAGTTACAATGAAGGTACCTACCTAAATTTTCGTTCCATTCAGGAAAGCTCTCCTTTGGCATGATGGACGGAACGTACAGTGGCGGGACGTTTTCAGGAGGCGGACGTGTTGGGTGGCGCTACAGCAAGCATGTCGTCATTGTCTTCCTGTCATGCGTTCGCACATGCTATGCATACCTCGCGGTCTTCGGACACAATGACTTGAGGTCCGTCATCTTGAACGTCCTTGACTGGCTTGGACGAAGCGGCAGCAGGTTTCTTTGGCCCCATGCTTGGCAAGGATCGAAAAAATGGTGCCTTTTCAAATTTGGTCGAACAATATTCCGGATACAAGAACTGCCGGATAAAGTTTGACAGTTACGACGTGAAACGGCCGTGGGATTTGCGAGAGTGTGGGGGAGGAGTAAGTTGTCTCGCGACGGTCGTTTCGCTGGCACCACCACGATCTCTCGCCACCAGCACATGTGGAAGTCAACGTCCTCCATTGTGGGCAAGACCAGCGGCTTGGATGACCTGCCCATGGTACGTCCCTGTGCTCCTGACGTCCATGCCTAAGTCCATGCACAGGTCCTGCAACAAGAGATCAATGATTTCCTTCACTTTGCGCAAAATCGAAAACAGCAGAAGCTCGTGCCACGCATTAACAAGTATGGTCCCATCGTGACCATACCGTTCATGGGATTCAAATGCTCATCTAATAGGGTGGACTTTACAAAGCCAATGCCAGACTCGGAGTTCAGCCTCTGTCTTCAACTTCAGCTTTACAGCAAGGATTTCGTCGATGTTCGTCACACATTTCCATTCGAAGTCTCATGGCATGTTCCAGGGCTGGCCTCTTTCGTCGATGACGTCCATAGCGTCCATGTCCCTTACATCGATCTCCCTCGAGCGCGATCGCGGCAAATTTACTCTTGTTGTGCGCATCCCAAAGGCGTACCCACAGGCATCGCCCGACATATCGTGCGTCATGGGGGGCGAAGTACGTACCATCGGTTGGTTTCTACAAGCCATGACCAGTGTGGCTGGTAGTACGTTCCCCCACAACTCAAACGCGGGCCAGCGTTCGTCATGCCTTGGATTCAGCAGGGCTGGCCATCCACGTATTCCCTGCTTCAGTTTGCAGAAGACTTGTGCACAGCACTTGGAGCGCCCGAGGACATTGCCACAGCCAGCTTCCTTGCGCCGGACCCAAAAGTATTTCCCCTCAACACGCATCACTATGGTGCTAGCCCTACGTCGCAGCCCTCGACCGACCTGCCAAGTACGTCAAGCCTTTGCGTAGTTAGTACTGGTTGAGTCAAGTCGTGTTTGTAGAGCCATCGGTTGAACACACTGTGGACTTGCTGATGATGGGCAATGATTATCATGCTGAAAGGCAGGTAAAACAGTTGTCCTTTCAAGGTTCGGCAAAGTTGGCAACTACCAACATTGGTTCCCCAAATCCATTCGATTCCAGTCCGCATACGTCGGTGCCGAAAGCAAACGCGCAGATGTTGAACCCAGATTCTTCTGGGAAACGGGGCAGTGTGTCCCCTCAGTCCACGCACGATCTACTGGGCATGCATCAACCAACTACTCCAAGCCATTCGAATGGTCGAAGCGCGACGAATGACTTACTTGGCTTTGACATGGCGCTGACGTCCTCATCGCATCTGCCACCCCCCGTCGTGCTGCGAAGCAACGGCCACAGCACAGGAACCCTCGCGATTCAAACGAGAAACGGGGGCAACACAAGCCCCCAAGGCGGAGGCAATGTGCAGTCGCCCCGGGGATTGGAATTGCGCTACCAGAGCAACGAATGCTGCATCAAGTGCAAGTTCAAGGACGAAGCGCGGCGGTTCGTGTTTGACAAGTCCATGAGTTTCCAGCAACTGCAAGACGCGATCATGCGGTTGTTTCAATTCCCGCCCACCACCGTCGTCACGCTGGCGTACTTGGACAGGTGCATATACATTTATATATATATATCATGGTTCCTCGTGGGAACTTGTGTATAATCCTCACACGGTCGACTGTAGCGACGGCGACAAGTGCGGATTGTCGTCCGACGAGGTAGAGCCTCCATGTTGTCCCCTCTCAAACTACCAGTCCATTTCATTCGTGAGTTACATAAACAACTTGCTTAGGAACTGCGAGCGGCCTTGTCGCACTTTCCAGACACGTTGATTCTGCATGCAGACATCAAGCAAGGCGAACCACCCAAAAAGCCAGAGCCGCCCGTGGTGCCAGCGCCTATGAGGGGTCCGAGTGGTATGTAGAGGATCCGACCACTATTTCATAACACTAACGACATCCGTCCAAACTCCTTAGGGGCCAAAACAGAAGACACGAGTTTACGAGAAATCAAAATCGAGGTCTGTCTGATATAAACAGTGCTAGTCTCACGCGATTGGTGTAGGATGTAAAGCTCGAAAAGTGTATTGGCGTGGGCTCCAGGTCTGTCAGAACTACCACGACGATTACTCCCTTGAAACCTTTAAATTTATTTCATTTCCTCACATTGTTGTGGCATCGTAGCTGCAAAGTGTACAAAGCAATCTGGAGAGGCACCGAAGTGGCGATTAAAAAGTACGTCAAAAGTCGACAAATATATATATTTATATATATTAGAGATATCGTTTCTATACATCTCTGACATGGGTCCCAGGTTCACGTCCCAGAACGCCGACACGGTCAACAAAGAGTTCAAACACGAAGTGCACATGATGACGCACCTGGGGTGCCACCCGTGCATCGTCCTGCTCTTGGCCGTGTGCTCCACCCCCAAGAGCATCGTGTTTGAATACCTGCCCTTCTCCCTCTTGTAACCCAAGCACCTCAAGTTCAAACTCACGTTCCGACGTATGACGTAGCGAGCAAATCAACGGCTCCCAGGACCCGTCCAAGAAGATTCCGCCGTTCCCCAACACGTGGCAAAAGCGGCTGCAAATGATTGTACGTCGGAACGTCTCGATAAACTCTATCTCATACTGTGTGGGTATAGATGGATGTCGCGCGGGGGCTGCAGTTTCTGCATTCGTTCAACATTGTCCACCGTGACCTCAAATCACTGTACTATAAATATGCATCAGTGGAGGGTTCTGACGACCGAGTTGCCTAGAAACTTGCTCATCACAGACGAAGGCCGAGTGAAACTTGCTGGTGAGTAGTCAGCTCAACAAGTCCTTCGAGCCAACGTTGGTGAGAGCTTCGTTTGCGGTAGATTTTGGCATTGCCAAGCTCGCACAAGATGAGTTTATGACGCGGTGTTGCGGCACCTATCAGTGGATGGCGCCGTACGTGATGAATATATATATATATATATATATATATATCTCCCTTTTGCGGCGAAATATTTTTCAGAAGAGTTATATATATATTGCATGCATGTAGGGAGGTGATAGTGAGTCAGTCGTATTCTGTGAGCGCCGATATTTACAGCTTTGGCGTGGTGATGTGGGAGATCTGCGAAGCGTCGGTGCCGTTTGCCGACACCCCCGCCGCGCTGGTGGCCATGGCGGTGATTCAGGAAAATAAACGACCGGCGATCTCGCCCAACATTCCCACAGTACGACCGTCGTCGCTTGGAGGTGTCTCTAAAGATAATGGGTGGTGGTGGTGTAGCCGCTCAAGGAGCTTATCTGCAAGTGTTGGGACAAGGAGGCCACCGTGCGCCCTGATGCGGCCACGATTGTGAACGACCTGACCAAGTTCCTCCAAGCTAGTCAAACCCCAACGTAGTACACACGATGGGGCTCAACTGGGCGTTCTGAAGCCAACGGCATGTCACGGGATGGGTTGTTGGAATGGGTAGTAAAAATATAACACAATTTCTTTCCGCTGCTTGAACGGCTTGGGGGAATGCAATAGAGGAGGTCGTTGTTGCCAAACAAGATTGTGTTAAATAATAATATCTGCGATGTCGTACGGGTGAAAACGGCATCCCACGGGCAGTGTGACGTCATCGCAAACGACGTGATACTCAATCCGATGCTGGAATGCTCCCGGGCGACGACACGTCTTGGTTGATCGCCGTACTACTCCATGGCTCTATCCGTGGCGACGCCAGTGCTTTGCGCAGATCTTGGACGCGCCGCCCATACAATGACGACGACGGTCTAGTCCTAAAGAAGAGCTGAATATAGAAAATAATAGAGGTCTAGCCGAAACGTAGAGTTGAATATATACGTCGAAGTAAAAATTACATTCACAAATATATAAATGAAATCTCACTCTATTTAAAAAATAGGTCAAATTTTATACATAATTATTTTTATTATATATTTTGTTTGTGTTTAGTACCGAAGAAGAGGGCTTGGCTGGGGTGTGATGGCCGGCGTGCCCAAATGCGGCTGCTGCAACTTGCGTAGAAGGGACTCGACCGTTATCGGTAGGATCACACCGGTTTCGTGGGGGTCCATGGCGCGTACGAGCAACGTAATCTACCAGATAATTCATGGGTATGTCATCGTGACAAGATATGTCTGGTAGCATACGTCGTGTTGCGTCCACCCGAGGTCCAAATGAAACAAAATCGACCGCAACGCCGACACGGACACGGACCCATCGCCTACTCGATCGGTCTGACCAAACAAGTCCAGCACGGAGATGCGCCGCTCAGTTAAGTGCAGCTGCAGCGTCAAGAGCAGCTACAAAAACACACACATTCTGGGCTTAGTGACACCATAGTGTGTTGTGAGTGTATGCTTGCAGTACCACGTTGGTTTGAGTCGTGGCGTGGGTGCGGGGGCTCTTGGGGGGTGCAGATCGAATGGACCGCACCGATCGGATGCCGATGTTATCGTTGTGGATGTCTTCATCTCGATAGCTAAGGTCATGGGTTGATGATCGTGGAGCAAGTAATGGGGCACAGTTGGTTTACACATGGATGGCATGCAACCGACGCTTGGCTTCATCGTGGATGGGGCCATCGATTTGCCGCTACACACTCGTTGGTCGTGAACTTAAAGTACTTGGCGTTCTTAAAAGAGATTAGAAGGGGCCAGTGTGAATCAAACCTGGATGCCAAATCCGTCTTTCAGGGGGATGTTGAACTTGTTGTACTTTGCGGGGGTAGAAGGCAGCAGCTGTCGACTGGACGACTGGACATGCTGTTTTTTCTATCCCGTTTGGCAGTAGTAGTGTGGGAGACTCGACCTAAGTACCGAGGTAGCAAGCAAGCAATGGGTAGGTGTTACCGAGTAGTGCAATATCTTGTGCATCATGACTTTGATCTGGTTGCGATGGTCCACCAACGTTGTGTTCTCGGCGCTTTTGCGATTGCGGCTGAGTCGTGCTGACCTGTCAGCCGGGTGAGTCTACGGCCTCACATGGGCCCAACACACACACGTACAGGTCGGTGGCTTGCACAGACGTAGCTAGGCGACTCCGACCTAGAGGCATCACATAAGCTATCGAAAGGTGCTAGACATCGACGCACGTAGGGACACAATGCTGCCAGGCTTGGATGTCTTTGCTACGTCAATATCGTAAGGATATATCCAGATTGGGCCCACGGTGGCTACCCGATGCAGAACCAGATTGGGGATTGATACTCAGCAGTTTCATTTGGTGGTTGATCAGTTCATCGTACACGGCGACGCGCCCGCCAAAGTTGCGCGTGTCGCTGTGAAAGGCTCGACGCGACGGAGTCGTCGGAGCCATCGTTGGAACAACTGCACTTTGCACGTGGAGTGATCTATTTATAGCGGTGTTGTGCACACGCGGCAAAGTGACTTGGTACAACGTACGCGGTAACGTTATGAGATGATTACTACTTAAAGCAAGCAAGGGATTCAATGTATGCCTTGATATTGGCGCGAAAGAGTTTGCACTTGATGGGCTTCGTACTCCGCGCGTCGTGCACGGGGTTCTTGGTCACCAACTCGACGTACAAGTTGCCGTACATGTACTGCAGCGCCTCCTGCAGATCGCCGCTCTGGTTGTCTGTGGAGAGGATGAACCGCAATCCAGACGGAGTTTCCAAGTGGTGGCACGTGTACACGTCTGTCTTGAACGTCTTGAGCGAGTGAGTCTGCGGCGTTGACGTTGGAGGCGACATCTTGCGAAGAAACTCCTTCAGGGAGAAAATGAGCCCAAACATGAGCCGCTTCTCCTCTTCCGCGTCGTTCAATGTCATGGCGTCACTCGACCGGTTCCATTCCTCGTACATCAAGCATGCTCCAGACCGATTGAAGATGTAGAAGTTGTAGATCATGACCGGCGTCGGGTCGATCGATCAATCGGCAATCTGCAAGTTGCCATGTTATCCGGATAGGGCAACCTTTTCTAAAACAATGTGTTTTTTTCACGAAATGTTTTGTACTCCAAAGTATCATTTTTCACATGAATCATGAATTTATGGCATCTCATCCCAAAATGTCAGGTGGAATTTCCAACAGTCACTTTATATCCCAAGGACTTACAATATGGTGTTGTTACGGCACACACGACCTCCCGCTGAAGCAAAAGGATGTACAGTAGGCGGTGAAGTTGTCAGAAGCCGTCGTTCCCGATCTACCGCCTCCCGTAACCAAGCATTTCTCCCCTTCTACATTTTGCCATTCCCATATTCGATTCGAATGAGCCAATCACAGGCCGTTTCACGTAGTGCGTGGCTATGTGCAAGCATAGAAACATCAGCTTGAGTTGTCCATACTTATGGAGTGAGGTTTGGCGCCGAGACCTCGATCATCATCCCGCACTACGACGATCTCGGTTCTACCTACCATGAACCCTCCGCAACAGCCAGGGCCGCTCCTGCCCAACACGGCGCTCTTCCGAGCGACACTCCCGCGACCACTCACGTGGCAACGACCCGCAGACTTGAACAACCGAATTCCTCTCATGCAGTCCATCGAAGGACTACTCGCTACAACGACGTCTCCCCTACCTACCGTCGGGACAGCTCTTGCTGGGCTCGCGCGTAAGCTGGAAACGTACCTATACATCGAATCGGCATCGTATGCCGAATACGCCAACCTTCAAAGCCTCCCTCGGCGTGTCCAAGCGCTGACCGCGGCCATTGTGAACCGCAACATTCGCAAGCGCGCCAGACCCGCCGATTTTGCATCGTCTGGAATGACCTCTACCAGCGCTCCTCCATCACACTTCCATGCACCGCTATCGCATGCCACTCCATCGAGCCACACGTCGACGTCCCTAGCTACGCTTTTCTCCTTTGCAGGCGGCGATATCTGGCACACCCTTGTGTGGGAGTACGTAGGGGGCCTGGACACCCTTCGCTGCCGCGGCGTCCACCGAAACGCCGCGCGACTCGCTCCCACCTACGTCAAGTCGCTCCACTTGAGCTGCAACACCGCACGCGCACTTCTTTCCTTCGGCCACGCCGCCCTGTCGCATTGCATCCACCTTGAGGAGCTTGAAATCTACTCCCTCGCCGCAGGCATCACATTTGGCCGTCGCTCCATGTTTGCACGGCACTGCTCGCAGCGCTTCGTGGTCACTCACGACGACCACGAACAGATCGTGTCGTTGCTGGCCCGCCAACTTCTCCGGCGGTGCTGGCCGGTCCTACGTCGACTGTCGATTGTGTGTCTCTTCACAAATGATCAAGCGAACGGGGAGGCCGACGTGCTGCTGCACTGCCTCAAGCAGGGTGTGTGTCCAGCGCTGACGGAGCTGTCGCTGCCTGGCAACAGTTTCGGCGACTACGGCGCCATCCGCGTCGCAGAGTTGCTGCAAACGATGGGGTGTCCGCAGCTGTCGTTGCTGGACCTGCGCCGCAACTTTATCGGCGAGCGGGGCATGCAAGCCCTCGCGAGGAGTCTCACTCAAGGGTCGTGCGTGGCGCTAAGCGAACTGTGCCTCGGGGGAAATATGCTCACGGATTCGAGCCTTGCCCACTTGCTCGTGTCCATGGAGAGCCGCCAGGTGCCGCAGCTAACATTCCTCGGCCTCGAAATGAACTACCTCACGGCCCAGGGCATCCAACAACTGGGCACGAGCGTCGGGAAGCTGGGCTGCCCCCGGCTCACTCAAATTTCGTTTGGCGAAAACAGCGTCGACGACGACGATGCCAAGAAGATCTTGAACCAAGCGATTCTCATTCAGCGGGTCAAGCAAAAGCGCGCCGCTGCTGCCCATGACGTTGTACAGCGTCGGCTTGTCATTTAATGCTGGTATTCACGAAAGTCGATATTTCCGTCGCAGCTCATTCGACTTAGATTGCGTCCACTTGTCAAGGCTTTCTTCCTGGTAATTCGAAGTCCCGGTGGCTATCACTGTTTCATACTAACATTACTCTGGATTAAGTAGTAGCATACAGTAAGATGGCTCCATTCAGATTTTGATGTAAGCCAGGAAAGGTCAATCCCAGCTCAACCACCAAAAGGGTGGGTTGGCTCACATCAGCGTTAACAGTAACTGTAAGAGTATTCAAATGTAGGCACTTCAACTGGACAATCACTCACGAGAAATTTCTACGATAATGGTAACGAAAACACCTGTTTGCGAACAAAAATATGGGTGGAGATTAATTGAGTTTTGGATTATTAGTATTAATATTAATATCATTATTATTAAGACATTCCTTCGTGATGCCCCACTGGCCCAAGTTGGTCACTTCCCCCATTCCACTGAACAACAACCTCGTCGTGCGTCGGGATCAGAGTCCGATCCCGACGACCTCATCAAACTGGCCGGCGAAATCAGCGGCAACGTTGTGGTCTATGGTGGTGCCATAGTTGGAGACTTTGATCGTGTTGCTGGGGCGGCATACCCGACGACAAACCACTCGTGCCATTCTGTCATAGTCGACACGGCTAAGGACAACACGATCGTGTCGAGCTGAATATCCTTTCCACAAGTGTGGACGTATGAGTCTAGGGGTGGTGGTCACTCCCAAATTACCGTTGATCGCGCGCCCCGATGCCATCCAAGCCCACGTGGACTACCGAAACCGAGACTTGGTCGCTGAGCACATGACAGTGCACCTTTCTTGGCTCCGACCCTACAGTGCATTCGGGGCATTCCCAATTTCGATAGTACAGGAGGTTTGGCTACGCCTTGTGTCCTACTCGTGAGGTTGGGCGGCCACAGTGTCCGGCGTTCATTTTTGACTGGGTGGCTCGACCCAGCGACACGGCATCTCATCCGATGCGAGTCCTGCCTTTGGAGAAACATCGTCGCTGGAAACGAGTTTGGGACTTACCAAGTGCGCCTCATCTTTGTGATCCATGGCCCTGTCGTTACGCAAAAGTACCAGGTTTGTGGTGGTACAGCGGAAATGTCCATCAAGTTGAGCTCGACGCCCCAGAAACACGAACTGGATCTCGTGGGCTGACGTTAAGCCTGTCGTGCCTCGTTGGCTGCCGACCTTCTACACTAGTGTGTTCCTTCCCCGTCACGTTAAACACTACGCCCTCAAGCCAGTCAACCCTGAAACCACGAACGACGGTGACGTCGAGTCGCCCACCAGAGCTGTACCAACTGTAATCAAGTTGAAATGTGACGTTGAAAATGTAGACCAGCCGTCCGTGCTTTCGAGGTGGAATGACGCGTGGCTACCAGACACACATCGTGGCGACTACTGGTAACACTCACATTCCATCGCTTCCAGTGTTTTTGAAGCAGATTAGATTATACCGGTGTTTAACAATCGTTTGGCTACCGCCCTGAATTTCCAAGTCTTGACCAAGTCGTTTGAAATCCACGGATGGCCCAAACATTCGGCAGAGGCACGTTGTTTGAAATCGTTCGTGGCTAAGTGGCGAATATCTCCGAGCTCCCCCGCATGAGTATCTGGGCGGAGGGGGCAACCAGGCATCTCCGCTGAGCTTCTCCCCGACATGTTGTCGACACAAATGGTGCTGGACCATCCCAAGCTGGCCGACCGAGCTTCAGGCGGCGCACGTGGAAGCCATGGCGAACAAATTCATGGGGGCGTGTATGACTGCGTGTTTCCGTGCATAACAGCGGATGGTATAGTGTGTTCAGAGTAAGAACCGTAAGCGATTAATAGACACAGGTTTGGCAACACTTTTCTTTGCAAACGACATCCTATTTCACTTACAGGGGGAGAAATTTAACCAGTTTTCGTTCCCACTTGAGGTTGCAATGGTTTGGGACAAAGCTAACGATAGCGTTGAAGTGCACATCTTTACGGACAGTGATTGTACCTCACAAGGAATAGCCCCATATACGCAGCAATGGTAAGAGTGAAAGTGCGGAACGAGTAATGGACAGTTACAACCACGTTTGGACGGTTACATTTCGCATGGGCATGAGCAGTTACAGATGGTTCGACCGTTACACCTAGTGCAATGTAGATATGGGCTGGGACGACGAAGTACTCGTGGAAGGTGGCAACGATGTGGATGATATTGTGGTTGTGCCTACTGCCCAATTGGTCCAAGTAGGAATGGCAGACACCAACCTCATGGCAACATAACTGAAGTCTGATAGGTTCAGAGACGACGCAGGGCCAGCCAGCCTAGACCTCAAAATATGACAACCCGCCGGACTCTGCTCATGTACTATGACGAGGACTCGCAAGTGTTCCTGCTTCGAGACGCCGAGGCCACGGTGCCGCACGTCGGCTCCACCGTCCCAACGGTTGAAGAGTCCTTGCCACTATCACCAGCCAAGACATTACTCCAGCTTGTCCATCCATGGAAATGTCATGTCCAAGATGTCGTTGAAATAACATCCCCAGAGGACACCAAGATCCAAATGCCAAAGTCCAAAAAGAAACGAGTACACTTTAAGGTGGAATCCCCCAAACGTAATCGTAACAACACTCCGCCCTTGTCGACGGATCCAAAGGCGTTGGCTAGGCGTGAAGCCATCGATGATGTGTGTTCAACCTCCCCCAGAGTTGAATCAGAAACCCTTGTGCGCGATGTCAAGACTCAAGACGCACCGGGATTCGTGGAACGTAACCCGTCGACACTACCATCTAGTTCTTCACTAGTGGTATTTCCCACGGATGAAGGATCATTGAGATTGGCAATTGACGAACCAAACAAAGGCGCACTCAAAATCCAGCCTGAGGGCGTCCTTGCGACTGACTTGGACGTGATTCAGTCCCTCTTAACGGCGCTCGTGGACCAAGTGGTTGCGTCTATAGCCATTCCCCCTGCGATCGAAGAGCCAGGACTTGCCATTGCCATGGACATATTGGAAGCTGTTCTCGATAGAGTCTTCAACCCACTCAGCTGCCAAGATCGTCATCGTCATCCAAACAGTCAACCTCTACCTGCCGCCACGGTCAACAACCAACGTGTACAAAAGACGCTTCTGAAAGCATGCACTCAACCCAAGGCGGCTTCCCCACACTTGTCCCCAAAGAAATCACTAAAGAAGGCCCATCAAAACAACCAAAGCACCAAAAGTCAGTCGGTACTACCCCCCACGAATTCCAACGACTCCGCAGCGCCGGAGACTTTGATGACGTTGGAGATTGAAGGACGCTGGGGCCCATTGGTTGAGCGCCTCCGTCGCGACCCCACGATTCCTCGGCCATTGTCGCAGATCGAATGGTGTACTGGTATCAGTGACGTTCATGTCAAGCAGCGTCGGGATGGCGTCCATGGCCTTCGCTGCACGTTTTCAAACGTCACGGGGGAATATTGGGGTGACGACGAGTACTAGGAATGTTTAGTGTATGAAGCAATATCCTATGTTAACGTTAAAAGGGATTCGTAACTCAACATGTATAGTACAGTACTTCGAAGTAGTAAGAACCGGAACTTAGTGATTTCGTTGTACATCTAGTATTTGTTACATCGTCATCAAACTGACGCGAGTGCCTCAATTTATCATACGAAGTGACAGCTCAGCGACGCGCAGGACCAATATTCCGTTGAATCGGAAGTGGTTCAGCTTGGGCTTGAATGGCCTTGCGGTTGTGGTCGGTGGCGCCTTCGTCTAAACTTACTGCGAAGGTTGTCAATCATTATATGAAACCCATCAAAAGGGAGTGTTGGTACTGTGAGTTCAGTAAACATTGGCAGGATTTGTCATGGGCTTTCACACGGTACCACAGTCCGCTCGCTTGGTGTATTCGCCGCCATTGGAGCGCTTGGACAGCGACGTGTATGCCATATACTCAGAGGACGCCACGATGCAGTTCGTTCCCTTCCTATGCCGGATGCCTGCCAACGACTGGAAGGAGCGGCGCCAGACTCATCGAGCCATGTACCACACCACTGGCACAGGGGCCTTTTTTGATGTCGTCGAGGCAGAGTCAGGAGACGTCATCGGGACCAGCGGTTTTCGAGTGGTGGATGTTGCTGCCGGGAGTGGCGAGTGGGGAGTTGTGATCTCGTCCAAGTATCAACGACGAGGGTACTGCAAGGAAATCCATGATGCTTGCATGGCATGGGCGTTGAGCCAAGGCGTCGTCACGGCCACTGCAAGAACTTGGAGCTCGAATGCACGAATGGTGACACTCCTTGAACAGTATGGGTACCGATTCGTGGAAACCGTTGAAAACGACACTGGCACTTGGCGAGCGTACGAACTCCACCTGCCCGTCACGTTGAAGGGTTAATTTCCCATCGTTGAGTTTGTGCTAAATTGCACTTGAACTTTCCACGCGCCGTCGTCCTTGGTGGACAATTTCGACACGATATGCGATATAGTGGGCTCTGGAGTAGTATGTCGTGGACAGTGGCTAGGTTGGCTGCATTTGGATGACTCAAACCGTACTGCATCACACTTCACAGTTAACGATTCTATCCTTATCTACTGGAGGTACGAGCTCACTAGCAGCCAGTTCGTCGAGGTATTGCTTGGTTCGATAACTTCCCACAGCCACGAGCAGCAACGTCGACACCACTGCCACGACCATCAACATTTCTTGAGCGATCACGGTATCTCCGCTCGCAGCATGAGACTTTAGGAGCTCCGTCATGTGCGTGGCGCTGTGGCCAATGTACACTGTAAGCAAAGTTCGGACACCACAGACGACATGTGTCCACAGGAACAGGCCAAATGACACATTCAAGAGGGCGAGACCGTAGTTCTTGACAAAGAGCGGGATGTAGGCAAACTGCACCAACACGACAAACTGGATCTCGTTGCGCTCGAGTAGCAAAGCCTACGGCAAGGTGAATATGGACCTATGTATTGTTCGTACCCAAGCCCGTAGCATTGGCTGTCCATCGTGTAGCTTTTGCCGAACTGTGTCTTGCATGACATAACGACCAAGCAAGAAGGCAGCGACGGATCCTAGTGTCCGGCCCCCAACAGCGACTGCTGTTCCAACGCCAAACCCAAAAATATACCCCGCCAAGAGGTCAAGCACCGTCGAAGGGCAGCTAGAAAGTGTCGTTAACAATATTGTCGATGATTCTTCTCAACCCACCACAAAATCACACACGCAGCGTAGATCAGCACGTAAATGAGTCCGCCGGACACTTGATGGGTCTAGAAAGACATTGTGTGCGAGGTCCGTACACACGAGCGTGTCATCAACGCGCACCTGTTCCCAGCGGACCAAGTCACGGAACGTTTGGGTTTGAGTAAACGCCCACAGGCCCACGACCACGACCAAGCACAACGCCCCAGCGACTGTGGATACGAGGACATTTGAGCAACGTGAAGACGGTTCTTTCGACGACTCCACTGCCATTGGAATCGAATCGTATGTCGGGTGCTCGCCCATGGTTGAATGCACCGATGAACGTTGTAGTTATCCGGATATCTTGAGGGTTAACCGAATTATCCGAGGATTTTTCGACAGGCGGAACGTATGGAAGATTTGTGACTCTTTGCCCTAGTTAAGCTTATACAGTATTTGAATTCAGGAGTTTAACGTGGAGTCCGTGAGCGGTTTTATTTTGCCTGGAATTGGATACTATTAGTATAACGTTAGTACTGTATACAACTCCACGAGCTTTGAAACGAAGTTTCAGCACCTAATGGAACGTACTTAAAAGAATTAACAGTAAAACAGTACTTCGAATTATTTATATGGATTTCAAATATCCGTGATAGTATCATGTGTCATCCAAACGTCATCCCAACGTAGGCCGTAGGCCGTGCCGCTCCCGGACGAGGCCTGTATACAATGACCTAGCATTATCCTAATTTACTCTCATCTATACTAATTAGGATATGACCTAATATTAATGGTGACCTGCCGCTGCCCGACAAGAAGAAAAGATAGATCATTCGGTGAAGTGAGAAGCTTAGATCCGCGCTCTCGTACGGCCGCGCTTGCGCAGACGGCCTCCCGGGCGCTCGGGGCCAACGTAAGGCTTGGTCACTACTTTAGGTTTCATCCACAACTTCATCCAATGTCATCCAAATTTCATCCACATGTCATCCACGCTTTTAATTCAACAATTATATTATATTAACCATAGTATCCAAGGTTGGTATTAATATTCAATGCTGTCCCGTAAGTCTTACGTATACCGGTTCGAAGTATACCGGTACTATACTTGAGTCTTAAAATAAAATAGTCGTTAAATAATGTATAGCATTACTACATGAGAGGTGCCATTTATTAAAACAATTGAGAAATTCTAACTATGATAATATTCTACATCATTATAATATTACGTTTGTGTTCATGAATCGTTGCTTGCGAACGTACAGCAGAGTTTCTCAGTTGGACCTTCAAGATTCTGCATCCAGAATATGTGGTTGGTGATGAAGAGATTGTAAAAAACAGCATCAAAATCGGCTCACTGGAAAATTTCTTTGCATTCGTCTCGCTCAAACGGACAGTACGTAATACTATAAATAGTAGTACTCTACTCGGAGAATTAATATTACTTCGAAGTACTACGTATTATTCATAATAACGTAAATGACCAATTTATGATCACTTTTTCGAAGGCGTCATCGAAGAATTCACATATCTCCGGTCTCAGGAACAATTTTCACATTCTGTAAAGTGATTGTAAACAACGAAACATGTTGCTTTAACCTCATCATCATATTATCGCCTTTAAGAATATTGTTTAGGTACAAAAGTCAGACTTTCCAAG